ACAAAAAGCTTTCAAAACAAAAAAGATACAAGCACGCAAAAAGAAGTCCGGATAATTATGAATCAACCCAATATAATCTTACAGTATATTCAGATGAAATTTATCCTACAAAAAAGTACAGTCGAACTTCGACATAACGAACCTTAAGGGAGTGGTCGAAAAGTTCGTTGTAACGATGTTCGTTATTCGTTCGTTAAGTCGAAATTTCGACATAACGAACTTCGTTACAACGAGCTTTTCGACCACTCCCTTAAGATTCGTTATATCGAAGTTCAATATGAGGTTCTATATGAGGTTCGCTTGTTTTTTTTTATTCGTATAAATTTCAATTAACAATTAGTTGGCTTAATTGCTTTATTAGTCCTGATTTCATGAAGCTTAAAGTCATGCTTAGCCATAGCCTTTCAAATTTCATTTACAGTTTGACAGTTTAGATATTGAAACAAGAAGAATTCGAATCCGACGATTTACTTTTTTTGTAGGATAAATTTCATCTGAATATACTGTAAGATTATACTATGTGATTTATTTAATATATGAATAGTTTCTAGTTCAAAAAATTAAACACTCATTGTTCTGGTGCTGGATGTTTCTGGTAATAGCGAGGTTAGACTGTAACTGTAACGACTGTTTTATTTCTTTCGCAATCAATATGTTCGTGAATGTTTGACGATGTTTTGTGTTTTATTTTCAAGAAGTCATCACCAACAAAGCAATCTCTGAACTAGTTTTAAAAAGCTGAACAATTCTCTATCATTCACAAGTTTTAAAAAAAATACCTGTGCAGAAAAGTAGATCTTTTCTGTGAAATCTTATTTGATGCTTTGATTTTGAATATCTCTGATTCTCTTGTCCTTCCTCTAAAGATCGTTTGTGTGATAAAAGGGGACGGAGCCCACTTTGTATGGCTTTTCTTTGGCTTTGAAACACTGAACCGTATTGGAACCGTATTGGAACCTATTAGATCAAAAAAGGAACCTTGTTGGAACCGTGTTGGGACCGTATTGGAACCTATTAGATCAAAATAGGAGCCGATTGATTCTAATTTATTGTATTATTGTATTATTGTATTATTGTATTATTGTATTATTGTATTATTGTATTATTGTATTCTTATATTCTATCTCGCTAGATTAGTGATTGTGCTATATTCGGAATAAAATATCCAAATAATCATTGCCCCATTGGTACCCTCTCACGCACTGCACAAAACCCTTGTCATCCTGACATTTTCTATGATGTTTGAGACAAAAACAATGAGTAAAATGTTGATCATCACCATCAATCTTTAATGTTTGTTTGTGTTTTCTTCTGTTTGATCAGATGTTTTTCAAATAGCACACAAAAAGAAAAAGTTTGATCATTTGTAAAAGTGAGCACGTGAATTGGGATTAAAATCATCTTTTAGATGAAAATTGGTCTTCTCTTCTCGAATTTTCTTTTTGAAATGATCAGTCTGGGCATAATCCTCGTGTACAAAATCATTTCTGAACTCAAGACGGGGAAATTATAGATTAAGATAAGTTCTCTCTCTCTCTCTCTCTATCTTTTTTTGTTGTTTTGCCATAGAAAAGACTTTCCTTCATTGAGTGTTCAGAAATATGAAGAGGAAAACACCCAACAGACATCACGTATAAAGCTGTGTTTATTCAATGACACATTTACAACATCGAGAATGGGAATAGTTTCTCCTACAACGTCATTTCGATGAAATTTTACTTTCAGCTTTGTTGGCTGACTGATGATGGATGGATTGTTCGAGTTTTAGGAATGTTTTGGGGACTAAAAATAAAATCATCGCAACTTAAGGGACTTTAAAAGTGACGCTAGCTCAGCTATTATTAGCTCAGCTATTATTAGCTCAGCTATTATTAGCTCAGCTATTATTAGCTCAGCTATTATTAGCTCAGCTATTATTAGCTCAGCTATTATTAGCTCAGCTATTATTAGCTCAGCTATTATTAGCTCAGCTATTATTAGCTCAGCTATTATTAGCTCAGCTATTATTAGCTCAGCTATTATTAGCTCAGCTATTATTAGCTCAGCTATTATTAGCTCAGCTATTATTAGCTCAGCTATTATTAGCTCAGCTAAACTCTGCCGTTTGCCGTTAGCAATCTATGAATTTTGCTTGTATCTTGATTGGGTTTGTTTGAAAAGTGTTGAATTTGCTTTCATTCGACTCGAAATCAAATGTTCTATCAAATTCAATAAATTCAACGTTTTTTCAAACAAACCTGAACATGGTGAATGGGGAAATGGTGAATTGGGAAGTGTGAATGGGGAAGTGGTGAATGGGGAAGTGCTCCGTGCATCCACTGAAGCCCGACCAATGACAGAGTCGCCACCACGAAAAGATCCAAATTTTGTGTGGTACCCTTTTTAAGTGTAAAAGAAGATTTGCAAATGATTTGTGTTCACTCCGAGGCTCTACTGTACATCCTTTCTACTGTACTTTCTCGCACACTCAACCTGCTTTTTTCTTGTGTCAACGAGTTAGTACTGTGAGCTAGTACTGTCAACGAGTTACTGTGAGAAAGGCGTAAATTGAGTGCACTAGAAAAGGCACGTTTCCATTTTGCCATCACAAAGAACAAACTCCAGCAAAAAGCCAACAATGAGTACGCCAGAAAGGGGTGTGTTTAGAGGATACACCCGAGATTTTCTCTAAGTATTATCGGAAAGCTAAACCTAACTCTTTTGAAAAGCTTTTATTTAACTCTCTCATCTATCAAAGATTAGTTGTCTCAATATTTCACAATCCGAGCATTCCCTCTAACAAAAGCCCTTGTACACGTTCAATAACAGGATCCCCTTCACCTTTTCCTTTCCCCATCAACATTTCATCACCAATTTTATGCTTTCTGACCTATCTCTTCTTTTTCCACTCTTTTCCAATCATTCGATACAACTTCCGATCTCTCATCTCATTCCTTTTTTTCTCTGAATCTCCTAAAAATTGCAGAAATTTCTATTTTCGTGCAAGAGGGGTAAAAGGAGAAAGCGACGAGTCACCATCCGATTCGATCAAATGTTTACGAATCTTTTCAGAGAATTTGTTTTAGGGACTTTCTAAAAAATATAAAAATAAGGAATATTTCCAACTCTTCTAATTCTAAGCTGCGCCTTTTTTTGATTTAAGGAAATTATGAATTAAAAATTTGAGCTTTACTTGTTGCTATTTTTAATTATTTTTTTCCATAGATCATCTATCAAATTAAAACCAAATATTTGGCACAACTTTTTATAGAAAATCCCAAAGTGCAACGATATGTATTTGATCGATTTTCGATTGCTTTTTTATCATTTATAGAATTTGATCAATTTTCAGGGCTAAATTTGGGGTAGACACGAAAATAGAACGAGAAAATGTTTCGAAAGTCGCATTGAGTCATGAAAAGAGAAAATCAACTTCAACAAGAAAGAAAGAAAGAAAGAAAGAAAAGAAAACACGCATTGGCACAGTTTGATGTGGATAGTGGAAAGAAAAAGGGCACAATTCAACTCATCGGTACACATCTCAGCAGTCAACTCAGCAGAAGAGATTGAGGAAAGACCAATGAATGAGTTAGTCATCATTGAGAGTTTGTGATCAATTCGAGAGTACGTCAAGTGTATTTATTTCCGTTTTCTTCTTCAAATAGAGATCACTTTCAAACTGTCAAATTGTCAAAGTCAATGAGTCAATGACAACATTTACTCGTATTCTTAAAATCTTGCAAATAATAAAGTGAGCCAGTGAGTGCATGTTTTCAATGTTGCAAAATTTGTACAATTCTATGTAATCTAGTAATCTAGCTTAAATTCTGACCTTATAATTTAAGGAAATTTAAAGATTAAGTACAAATAAATCAGTTTCTTTCCAATTTTTTCCCCAATCAGATCACTTTTTGTCTCATTTTTTTTCCATTCTTCTCTGACGAAACAGAAATAACATTTTTGCTTCGAATCTTTCTAGTCAATTTGATCTTTTTTCTTCAACACAACAAGCATAAACTCGAAAATTTTTGGATGACTACGGAAAAAGAAAGAAAAAGAAAAGAAGAGAGAGAGAGAGAAAGATTGTCAATTTCGACTGGGGTCAAGAAGAAACTACAGAGTGATTAAAAAGTTCCCCTCACACTTGTAAATGATACATTTTCATTTTGTAAATGATACATTATAATGCTAAAACAAAATTCCCCGTGTTTTATATTTTGAAGCTGAAATTCTGATGAACATTTCTATAAGTAAATGACTTCGATCAGAAATTTCGAAGCTTTTCAAGAAGCCTTGCACTGCATTCAAGGCAAACCGTCAATGAGACTACATTAGACAATAGACAATCACTACACTAGATATAGACACTAGACACACAAGACACTAGACAACACTAGACAAACAAACGTTTTTATTTTAACGAGAGATTTGATTCTTTTAAAATAACAATTAAACTGTTACTTAAAACAAAAGTGTGCATTTAAAAAGGCTTTTTGAAGGATTCTTCAATTGGATTCTTCAATTGAAAACAGATTCAAATAGGTGCCATGACAGTTTGCTTTCAGCACACTACAATGCTTCTTCAGAGAGCTAGGTGCCTCTGGTCAGGACGATTTAGGTATAGAAATGCTCTCCAGAATTTCACCTTCAAAATACTATATAGTAAATTCAATTTCGATCTGGATTTTAGCTGAAAAATGGAGCTGTAGATGGCGGAAACTTTTTTATCACTCTGTAGAAAGTTTAGGCAAAGAAAGTGCTAAAAACTGACTTTCTTGACAAATAAAAAGATATTGTTTGTAAAAGATATTGTTATTGTTAAAAAGATATTGTTTGTGTGTCAGAATATTGTTTGTAAGAGCTCAAAAATAAGTTAAGCTATTGTAAATCTCCCTTTCATTACAATATTCCAAATTACAATATTTTGACAGGTTGCTGAAAAGAAAAAGTTGTAGGTTTGTATTTTGAGTCACTGAAATGAGTGCTTTCAAAGATTTTTATTCTTTTTCAGAGTTTATTCAAAAAAATGGACACCCAGACGGAGAAGAATAGGCGTTTGGATCGAGATTGTCGAAGAAAGCATAATGATCCGTGATTGCTACAGAATTCACTGAAATGAGTTATTATGAAAGAATTGTGTGGCATGGATTTGATTCCTTTACCCCAATCACAAATCTCGGCATCATCTTCCGTTTCTTCACCACTCCCAGACGATGTACACGAGGTCACTTCACCATTTGGTTTCAATTGAAGAGCTTCCTAACTTTTAAATATAAATATATCTTTGATTTGAATACTCTTGAATGAAAGAATGATCTTTCTCCTTTTGTATATTTCACTTCATCACAAACAATCGATTCGTTTGAAGATTTCTTCGGATGACTCTCAAATTTCTTTGTTATTTAAGAAGATTCAATGATAACAATGTTAAAAACAACAAAAATCCAATCTAATTTTGACCTTTCTTCTTAGAAAAGTTTAAAACTCACCGACATCGGATCATTTTTCCAATAATAGCGATAGTTTTGCGGGATTTTCTCATGAATCATCATAACATATCTCTTAAATATTTTGTTGATCTTTCTTCAAAACACTCGCTGCATCTCGTACTTGATCTCCACAACGAGGCATTCCAAAACCATAAAATCTTATGCATCCATCTCTCCATCCAATATCTTTTTCCGTAACCAAAGCTAACATTTGAGCCACACATCCGCCAGTGGAAAAGCCGGAAAACTTGAGTAAAACTTATAGAGTAAGTAAAACTTTGATAATAAACCGATATCGAGTGTGTTTTTCCATATTTTTTATGAAGTTGTTTAAGTGTTGATCTAGATAAGTTGAATATTGCTTTCAGGAATTTTGAAATTAAAGTTTACTTTAATGTCGTGGAACTTTGATGATCTTGATCATAAATACGATGGTAGAGATCGGACATTACATTCCCGACACGGACACCGTGATTACAATATGGACGAAAGGGAACCAATTTCTGCAAAAAAGTCGATAAAAGAATACCGTATTTTCTCTAATAGTAGTGCGCCTAAGTTGATCGAAATGTCGAGAACCGCTTATCAGAACCTATCGATGTGGGGTCGGAAAATTTAGCTGACGATGAGATCTAATGGGGGATTAAAGTGTTGAGCTTCTGGGGAAAATTGGAAACCGTAAACTAGGCATCAACTCGGCTCCCCCCGGTGCACTACTATTAAAGAAAATATGGTATTCTAATAAATTTACTTGCGACCTTTTTCCTAGAAAAAAATTGGGTTGGCGCTTTAAAGCGTGGTAAAGCTACCGTACCCCTCCAATTCGCGGGAAATTTCATTTTTTTTCATTGTTGTTCATTTCATTTTATTCTTTTTGCGTTTTTTTCAACGTTTCAACGTTTTTTCAACTAAAAAGTTACAAAAATAAAGCTTCCGCCATAGAAAATGATAAAAACCACTTAACTTCACATTAGTTGGCATCAAGTTCGTGGAGTAGATCGTCGGGAAGCAAGTGGATCTAAAAAAGCTCTACAAACAAAACTTCCGCCACCGAAAATTCTGTTAAAAACGTAACTTAGCTTTATCCTCTTTGTTTCCTGCAAAAACAAACGAGCCCACATCAGAAAAACGCCAAAAAGCATAAGATTAAATGAACAATGAAAAAAAAAATTTTGCGCAAAATCGGAGGGCTACGGTATTTTACCACGTTTTAAAGTGCCAACCCAGGATTTTCTCGGAAAAAGTTCGCTAGTATAAATACCGTAAAAGCTGTAATAGTAGCCCCCCCCCCTTATAGGAGCGTCGCGTAGTCTAAGTTTACACTAAAAGAACCGCTCATATCTCGACGCTCAGGCATTTGTTTCTGCGCGTTTAGGTATCAAATTAAAGTATAGAGGATGAGTGATTTTTTTGCAATATAACATATATTTTAGTATTAAACAGCGCTTAGAGAAAAATGGTTGAAAAATCGGCCTTTTTTACCACTTTTCAATCATTTTTCTCTAAGCGCTGGTTAATGTTAAAAATACGTGTTAAATCTCAAAAATTACCCATTCTCTCTACTTTAATTTGATACCTATGCGCGCAGAAACAAATTTCTGAGCGCCGAGATATGAGCAGTTCTTTCAATGTAAACTTAGACTACGCGACGATCCTATAAGGGGAGGCTACTATTACAGCTTTTACGGTATCCAATATTCTATAATCTAATATAAATCGAATGAATCAATCGAATAAATCAATTCTATTGAAGAGTTTTATATTCTTTAGTATCTGTAACTCTTTTAAAGTTATTTCCAATTAAACCTGATCATCGATTTCTCGCATGTTTGCTTGCATCGTTTGAACAATATACGGTGGGCCAGAAACGAAAACGAGAATTTCTGCAGGATCATCTCTCTTTGAAATCTAATATCAAATACTTTATCAATATTCTATAATAAACAACTCACCCCAATTCTAATCTCATGCCAGTTTGTCTTACTTGGCGGTTTTCGAAAAGTCCAACTAAATGTTTCTCTAATAGACATGGGAAAATTCCAACCCGAACCTAATTCCACCCTCGTTTTCTCTTGTCTCTTGCCCGATTCTTTTGAAATTTTCTTTATAAATAGATATCTACTTGTAGAGAAAATTTCAGAACAATCGGTCAAGAGGCGGCTGTGAAAACGAAGGTTGGAATTAGGTTCGGCTTGGAGTTTTCCCATATCTAGTGTCTACCCATTTTTTCTCCAGCTTTATCTCTTACTCATGAACGGCTGTGTAACCACTTTTCTCATTTTGCAAACATTCCTTTGCCGGATCACTGATTGAAGCTGTAGCCACGTGGAGAATCTCAAATTTTTTTGTGTTTTGAATGCGGAAGAGTAGGTATAATTTACCTTTTGAGCGAGCTCCCAATGAGCTTTTTCATTTTCGGGTGGAGAACATATAATTGGATTTGATTTGATCGTTGTTGTTGAAGTTGTAGCTAAATTTTGGCTAAATCTTTATCAAAAACAAATACAGGTACGCTAAAGAATCTTAAAATGAAATAGAAGATCTTTTAGAAAAGATCTTAGTCTAAACCTACAACGTGATCTTAAGATGAATTCTTACAAGCTTTTGTGGTGAGAGTCGTGGCATTAGCTAGTGCTGATGATGTTGTGATTGTTGTTGTGATTGTTGTCGTTTCTTCAAGTCCTTCAACGATCACAACGAAAAACATTACGATGATCATCGCTTTTGACGTAAAAAAAAGAATCTACTTATTAACTTTCTAGGAAGCGTTTTCTTTTCTTTTGGCTCATCAAATTGCCAATATTCCCAATATTCCCAATATTCACAAGACTTTTCACCAGAAATTAATCATTTCTCCGAGATTTCTTCGAAATTACTGTAGAATTTTTGCTGAAACACATAACTTTTTTCTTTTTTCTTAAAAATTTCTAAGTCTTTGTGTATATTTTGTTCGTCTTTTGTGTAGTTGTGAGTTTTCCTCTCTCTTTTTTTTCTCTTCTTTAGTTACCCCATTTCTTCGTAACAAAAAGATCCCGTTGCCTAGAGCCCCTTAGCACCCAAAAAAGAGAAGGGAAATCCATAAAAAGACTTCAAAAGAAAACATTATTGAAATTCCATTGAATATCTATAATATTGATTTCAAATATCTATATTAATTAATTGCTGAAATGACAGAAAGTTCCCTAAAGAAGAAAAGATCATCATCATTGAAGAGACGAAGTGGAAAAGCACCGAGAGATTGGACAGGAGGTGGAGGAGTGCCGAGTTATGCATTAGCTGATACAAAAAGGATTCATGTATTTCGAAATGGAGATATCTATCATCCGGGAATACGGGTATGGTAAAGGAAAAGGAATGTTTTCCAATGTTTTCAATGTTTTCGAAGAAATGTTTCAATCCAACATTTCAGGTAGTGGTGAACCCTCGTCAAATGCGTGATATGGCTCCATTTCTTGATCTTGTCAATCAAAAATTACAAATGATTGCCGGTGCTAGGAAACTCTTCACAACTGGCGGAAAAGAGATTAAAAGAATCGCAGATATTGAGAATGATAAAGTGAATTGTAAAGGGAAAAAGATAAAAAAAAAAACGGATTTTATAGGAATATGTGGCATCACCTGGACCCTTCACTCCATTACCTTATGGTCAAACCCTTGTCAGATCGGCTTCTTCTTTTATCACATCAATGACAAGTACGAGTGTATGTTTTTTTGCAAATTTAAATAGATATTACAGATTTAAAGTGAACTATAAGATGTTTAGCTAGCTTCTCAACTTGCCCGTTCATCTCGATCCTCAGAGCCACGCAAATCAAATTCGGAGAGTGGCGGAAAGAGGAAAAGACCAAAATCACAAGCTGTAAAATATCAAATATTCTATTTTTCACTTTCAGCCAAATATCGGACATTTGATCGGCCCCTTTTCCCATTAGCAATCTAACTTTCAGCTCAAATACCTTGGTGTTAAGCTATCCAATTGAAATATTCTTGATATCATTGGATGCGTCAAGTCTTTCTCTGTCGATTCGTATAAAAACTATTCAAATTGAACAGCCCAACACCAAGAGATTTGAGTTCAAAGTTGGATTGCCAATGGCGGATGCGTATCAAATGTCCCATAATTCTTTCAGCCACCCGGTACAGCACCAGCCGATCTATCGTCTAGAGTGAAAAGAGCTGTGAGTGTTGGAGAGAAGTTTGCAAGTTAAATAATTTCTTCTGGAAATGATGATTTAGAAAAATCAAGAACTTGTCATCAAGTAATGGAGAATCGACAACAAAGAAGTTAAAGAAAAAGATACAAAATGGAGTGAATACTGCAAAAAAGACGAGTGGAGATGCACAGAATAATGGAAAGAAAGGTTGGTTTGAAAGTTGAAAAAAAAAGCACGCTAATATCTTTAAGTTGTGAAAAAGATGAAGAAAAAGGCTCAAAATGCGGTGAATGGAGTGGTGAAAATGGGGAATGATGGAAAAGATCATGTGGTTGAAGGAGTGAATGGAATGGCAACAGCTGGGGGAGCGGCTATTGGTTTGTTGGCAATTGTTGATCTCAATCAACGTACTACAGGGTGACTGAAAAGTTCTGTTCCCTTAAACAAATTGGGTAATTTTGATAGAAACTTTTGAGAATCCAGCGAAGCGGTGATGATTTCCAGATTCTCCATACATTTTCACATGAAGAGTCAAATTTTTCGAATCGCTAGCTTTGCTCGGACAATTTTTAAATCCCCATTTCGTCGTGCATTACCAGTTTCATTAAAAATTCTTTCTTAGTTATTCTTAGAAATAAAAAAACGAATAGATTAGACAACAAAATAACATGTCTTCATCGTGCATACGACAAAATAGGGATTCTTTCCGTTGCTTTTATCAGGTTCGAAAGAAAGTCCTCGGAATTTTTTCTTACTTTTGGTTTATTAAATTCCTCGAACACGTGATCCAGCTACTGATAAGTATTCTTGTTTACACCAAGCCTCATTGATTCACTACACACAAACCCAAATGAATCTCCAAATACTCCTATTTTCTTGCTTTACTTTTTATTTCTTTTGGAGCTGCTCAGGAGCTTCCCGAGGGTCATCTTCGGCATGTCATTTTCTTCTTTGTCAAGAAAAAAGTTCCAGCCAAAGAAGTTCTTGAGGAAATCAATACTATTTATGGGCAAGGTTCAATAATTTTAGACCTCAAAGCTTGCAAAGCTGACACAAGAAAAATTCAAGGAGTTGGGCTGGGAAGCTCTCCCTCATCCACCGTACAGTCCAGACCTTGTCCCTTCTGATTTTCATCTATTCCGGAAGCTGGCTGCAGAACTCGATGGAGAGCACTTCGGAGACCGAGCTGAGTTCGAAACCTTGCTACGCGACAGCCAGACAGCCAAAGAAGGGAATCCGTGCTCTACCAAATAAATGGCAACAATTTATACTTAATAATGGGCATTACCTTGAACCCATTCGAAACTTCTGCAGCGAATAATCGCTGCAGCAAAAACTCATGAACGGACCGCTGCAGCGTTATTCCTCAGCGCTAATGAGCTATTTTCATCAATTAATTGGTTTTTTTTTTGCTGTTTTTCAGCATTACATGTATATTCCGATTGTAGCAGATCTACAAATTACGTGAGCAAAAAAGATGTTTCATATTTCCCGGATCAATGCAGTCTCTGGTTTTGCATTGAAATGTTCCATAATAGCTCTAATCTTATAAAGCCGATCTCCTGCAGGATCCAGTTCATTATCACAAAACACGCGGTTTCGAAGAATAGATTCAAATTTTGCTCTTGACATAATGTGGGACATGTGGGAAATCCTCCTAATCCAGACCTGCTACTCAGTAGTCACGAATCCTCGGTAATTTGACGATTCCCATTTGAAAATACAGAGCCAGGAAGAGCTTGAAAGATTTTGCATCGAAATCCTGCCAGTTTGTTTTCCTTTTTCCATGTTTATTAGATTCGCCTACTAACATATTGATTAATTTGTCGTCGATAAAATAAGAATAATAACCGATAGGATTTTGAAAAGTACTGAGGTCAAATCCAAATCGTTCTTCATCAAAAATAAATGGTGAGGAGATTCTCTTACATCTTTCCAACCATAAATAAACTGCTTCGGAGTCAAAAATGTCAAAAAAGGGCTTGGTCCGTAGACGAAAAAAAACAAAAAACGCTGCGGTTTCGAATGGGTTAATAATACATGTTCAAGGTATGCATTACTTAATAATACATACCTTGAACAAATTTGTTTTCTAGTTTTTGAAAAATTAAAGTACAAACTTTTTCCGAGAAATTTCTTTCCAATCTAATCTTCCCCTTAAGGGTGAGACCAAAGGCACTTGTGATTCACCATAAAGAAACATTCATAAAAATTGTCCCAGTAAAGCTAGCGATCGAAAAATTTGACTCTTCATGTGAAAATATATGGAGAATCTGAAAATCAACACCGCTTCGCTGGATTCTCAAAAGTTTCTATCAAAATTACCCATTTTGTTTAAGGGGACAGTGCTTTTCAACCACCCTGAATATTCTTCTGATCTATTCTAAAACTGCAATATTCTAGGAGCTGTTGGTGGAGCAATTGGTGGAGCTGTTTCTGGAGTTTTTTCGGATAAAGATGAAGAAAAGGAGGATCATGAAGGAAAAGAGGGACATCATGAAGGGTAGAAAAATTTTTAATTGAGCTAATCTATAAGTGAGTCCTCTGATTATCCAAGTTTTGTTTGGGAGTTTCGAAGAAAAATCATTTTACACACAACACTCCATTTAGAAATCATCATGAAAATCACAAAGAAAGCGATAAAGATGATGAGAGTGAAAAAGAAAATGATCACGAAAAGGATGAAGATGATGTGGAGGAAAGGCATCATTCAAGAAGACATTCAAAAGTGTCTGTGAAATCGAGTAAGTGCAAAAGTCTTGAATCGTATCACAGAATATTTAAAATGCTGATGATGAGAATTTGTTGAATGAATTTGTTTTAGCACACTCGGAAGCGCATCATAATCAACACGAATCGGGAAGAGAACATTCGGAAGAGAAAGATGATGAAGAAGATGATGAACACGATGAAAAAGAAAGTAAAGCAGGTAAACATTGGATTATCTAATCTAAAAAAAACCCATCTAATTACAATCTCTAGAAAAAAATATTCTTTGAAATATAATGAAATATAAATATTTCAAAGATTGAAAGTTTCAGAGTCGGATGATTCAAAGCGAACTCAAACAATCATGAAACATGATTGAAATGAATGAAATCATTGAAATCATTGAAATGAATGGCTATTTTTTTCGATAAACTTTGTTTCTTTTAATGAAAAATTTATTGAAGCAAAAAGCAATCGAATAAAGCAATGTGATTTATTTTTAATTATTTTCAGCTTTTTTAATCTCCTCATTTTCATCGGATGATTGAACATCTTCCTCATCGTCATCCATCACATTCAGAAGAGTGACACCAGTTGGCGTTTTGAGATTTGATCTGAATATTGCATTTCATAGATTACCAGCCGGGTTTTCGCGGATTTTTTGGGGAAAAACGGCTTTTGTCGCCATGGCGCAGTGGATAGCGCGTCTATCGCCCATACGATCCGGGTTCGACCCCTGCATATGACTTCAATTTTGCTTTCTAAAAAACCCAAAAGCACGTTGCACAATTACATTGAATTCCCTATTCAACGGCGCAAAATTCATTGCAAACGGCCCTCTGGGAGCTGAGAAGTAGCGCGCACAGACAGACGGACAGATGGACAGACAGACAGCTGGACAGACAGACAGATGGACAGGCAACACAGATGAACAGACAGACAGACAGATGGACAGAGCTTACCTCAAAGCATCGGGATCAAGTTCCTCCAAGTCGCCTAAAGTCTTCAAATGAGGAGCCACACACTCCCAAACCTGCAGAATTGATTAAAGTTTAATATTTAATTACATTTCTTAACAAACTTTAACAATCTACAGTACTTTAATAATATGAAACTATGAAACTATGAGACTATGAAGCTCCTCCAATCAGATGTTCACCTTATTATCACGGATCATTTCAATGACTTTCTCGATCTCCGGTTGCATGAAACGATCCTCATTCAATGGACTAAAAGACTTATTATTAGAATTTTTAGATTTACATTATCTACTTCATTTAAAAATATAACTTTTCACTCACGGTGATACGGTGCGAACCATTTGATAGACTTTATTGAGTGGAGCTGTGCTGATGAGTGGTTTGAGGAATTCGATGCCTTGACATGCTGCTAGAAGTTCCATAGCCAACACTGAAATTTAGCGAATACTTACTGTAGCTGAATCCTTAATATATTTATTGCATCACTTACCAGCTTCAACATGTTCGACAACGGTTAACGCCTTTCTTGCTGCAAAACCACCCATCGAGACGTGATCTTCCTAAAGCCGATCTTTCAATCTTTTTGCCTATACTATACTTGATTGCAAGATGTGGGAATTGAATCACAAGATGACGGATGGCATAAAACTTTGTTTTCAGAAACTAAAAACAACGTATATTCTTTGGTTATTTTACTTTTTTTTACCTAAAGAAGCGGCACAGAGTTGAACAGTCATGAAACCCGAATTGAGGCCTCCATCTGGAGTGAGAAATGTGGGAAGGCCCGATAAATCCTACAATTTACAATATATATATATATATTTGGAAGCTATTTTCTATTAGATATTTACATGATTGACGAGTCTCTCCAATCTTCTTTCACTCATTTGTGCCAACTCGCTCACAGCAATCGCTAGATAATCGAGAGCCTAGATTATACATTAAAAACTCATTTCCTTATCTATATCTTTTAATTTTTAATTCTTTATTTAAAATAAACCTTAGCCGGATATTCTCCATGGAAATTTCCTCCCGAAATTGTCTCTTCTCTTTCAGCAAAAACGAGTGGATTATCAGTGGCTGAGTTCATTTCAATTTCAATGATTGCTTTCACAAAATCAATTGTATCATGAACAATTCCATGAACCTAAAGAATTTCATTACTTATTCATTTATTATTGTTTATTATTCAATTTCATTTATTATTGTTAAATAGTTATTACCGTAAATACTGTAATAGTACGCCACCCCCCTCGTACAGTCGCGTAGTCGCAAAAATTTTTTAGTGTTTCATTTTTTTTCAAAGCGCCCGTGCTTTCAAAAAATGCGTCTTTGGTATCAAAAAATAGCTGAAATTCAGGGCTATTTTTTGATACCTAAGCGCGCATTGTAGCATAAACCAGTGTCGAGAAAAACTCGTTCAAAGCTAGACTACGCAACACTCCGCACCGTCATTATGGGGGTGGCGTACTATTACAGTATTTACGGTAGGTAAGTAGTCTTTGTTTTGACTAACTTGTGGAACACATCGTAAAGTGTACGCATCTTGAACACGATTACAGTGACGATGGGATTCTAAAGATTTGTTGAATGAACTTGAACAAAGATTTAGAAAGATTCCAGATTTCAAAAATCTTTACAAATATTGGATTTACCCGCAATTTGTGATGGATTCGCATCCGAATGGAGCAAAGCGCGGAGACGTTTCGCTGTATCATTTTGTCCTTTATGTGGACGAATACGATGAATATCTAAAGAAACTTTGCTTTGAAAGTCTTAGGATATCTTTGTCAACTCTAGTTATTTATTTATCTATCTATCTATCTATCTATCTATCTATATTTCTAGAACTTACCCGCATCGTATGCCCTTGTGGTACCCTTGAGTACATCGAGAGTCAACGCGGCAATCACATCGGCCTGTCTCGCAATGTTATGCGCTCTCTCAACAGCTGAATATCTCTCTCTTGGATCTTTGATTTTCGAAATTTGGGTTACTGTAGGCTCCAAGTGCGGTCACCATTTGTGTTCCATTGATAAGAGCTAAACCCTCTTTTGGACCCAAGTCCATTGGTTCAAGATGATTTACTGATAGAACTTTTGACGCATCATCCCATCTGGAAATAACAAAATCTTCATTGGCTAGATGTTTTAAAAGAAAGCTATTATCATTCAAATTCTCAGTTTTTTCTTTGCTATACTCACCCTGTGATAGGACTCCACATTTTCCCTTCTCCTAACAATCCAAGTGCAAGATGTGCTAATGGACAAAGATCTCCCGAACATCCAACTGTACCCTGTTGTGGGACATATGAAACACAAAACGCTAAAGTATTTTTATGGAAAAGAAAAAAGATCTGAGCAGTTTACCATTAAATGCGGCAATCATTTTCTTCAAATTCACTAACGAGATTCCCGAATATCCCTTGGCCAAGATGTTGATTCTGCAAAATGCTTTCAATTCTCAAATGAAATCTCAAAACCTTAAAGCTAGAAGCATTCTCGCTTTTGATGGACTCAATGGTTGTCCATATCCTGTTGAATGTGAACGAATTAGATTAAGTTGAAGTTGTCTAAATGTTGTTGAATTTCTTTTTTTGTCTAAGCCATTTAATGTTCTCGAAAATCACTTCAATTTATCCGCTGAAACAATCACGTTGGCGAATGTGCCGAAACCGGTTGTCACTCCATAAACAGCTGGAAATTTTTCGTTTAAATGTTTTTAAATGTTTTTAAAAGATTTCCAAAAGAACAAACTTTTATGTTCAATGGCAATCTTTTCGAGAAGATCTCGACTCTTTTTCACTCGTCCTTCGGCTTCGAGAGAGAGCTGAAATTCTAGTATGAATTGCGAGTGAATTGAATTGAATTCTAGTATGAATTGAATGAACTTTCTATGATACATTATGTTGAAATTATGTTTCTATGATACATTATCTTTATTCTTTACCTGTAGAATACATTGCCCTTTTTCACATTTCACAAGATCCTCGGGTCTTAGCGAATTCCCATCCAAAACCAACAATTTTGTCGGTTTCTCCATCATTCCCCAATCAGGAGATGGATCAAAATCGAAAGTGATTCTAATAATTTTAGAGATACTTTGAAAATCGATCAAACTAACTTTCTCTTTGGTTTTTCCAAATTCAACTTAATCTTCTCGATTTTTTGATCTGTTGATTCTCCATTCTCATGAACATCAAGAGCTAAATTCTTTTGTTAGAACTTTTTTTTCCTCAATGAAATCTTTACTAATGATAACATAATCGTTGTCCTTTAGAATATCTCCAACTAGATCATCGGGATCAAGCAAAGAATTTCCGATTGTTCTTCGGATCTAAATTCTTTTTTCGAAAATGTTCTTAGCGCTTCCGCTAAACCTCTTTGAAATCAGTAGTTGGTACGATTTCAGGCTTGAGTTTTCGAAGTTTTTTGATCGTTCGCTCAACCATCTAAAAAATTTAGAATCCTACATTTTCATTGAGAAATAGTTTTCAATTACCGCATGAATACTTTCATCTTCCGAACAAGACACAACCACACATTCGATTCCAATTTGAACCTGGATCCTCATTCTCTGAAAAGTTGAATGTAGCTTATAGTTGGAAAACAAAAATAAAAAGAATATGCGAAATGTGTATGATTTCTGGGTGACGGGTTGTGAAATCTCCCGTTTCCTATAAAACTAACAAAATCAGGACGGGAAACCTCAATTGGAATGAAATTTCGAGGAGATTTCATGCGAATCACCAAGTCCAACTTGGTGATTTCGCCTCGTTTTATACCGACCGTAAACCGTAAACGAGAAGTGGGCGAAATGGACGATTTTCTCTCCGAAATATTTTCGAAATGAAAAGAGGGGAGAATGAGTGAGAAAAGGAGGGGGATGTCACGGGAAGAGATCGAGGCCATTCAAATCTCTTCTTTCAGTTCAATCTGTAATTTCATCTATCTCATTCTGATTGGATGCCACCACGTGATATGAGAAACTCGAAAAAACATTGGTATCAGCAATCACGGTGAATCACTTATTAATCTTCTAACTTGTTGGCTTGTAGTTAGAGAACAAATTGAGCTGCGCAAAGTCTGTAATAGCAGAAAAAAACCTCTTGCATTTGATTTCATTTCGTGAAGTTTGAATTTTAAGACGTTCCAAAGTTAAGTCAACTTAAAGTTGAGCCAATGTTGTAGTACCAGATAAAAGTAAGACACCGATGACACGCCGATGACAATCCGTATAGTGTAGTCATTTTTGAGCAGCCAAAGATTCTCTTTTTCAAGACTTTCAAAGCTATTTTGAAAATACCTGTAATTTCCATAAGCCATTTTTTGTGTATTGAAAAGGTTCGACGTGTGATGGGCGAATTCCCCAAATTTCTCCATCCGATCACCTTTTTTTCTTTCGTTGACCTTTTGAGTTCTCTAGGAAAAAGGAATTTTATTTAAATGTGCGCTAGTTTTCGTGATCAGAAAAAAAGGCTCATCACATTGAAGATCTTTGGTTTTATAACCTTTGATTTTCGCGTGATTTGTCAAAAGATGAGTATTGCCTAGAGTTTTGTAAATTGAAATTGTAAAATAAATGCAATTGAAAGAATTTTTATCCTCAATTATTAAGTAGACTTTAGCGGTATCCGTGAATATTTCGATTCGAGTGAGAGGCTTGTAATGGATTCATGGCAGAGGCTTTTAGCACATACCACTTTATCCACTGAACGTTGACTGCTGAGCTTAGGGCAATCACAAAGAGCTTATCTACGCCAAAAAAAAAACATTGAATTTGAACCGCGTCGTTTCACAGAATTGCTGACTGATTGCCACGAATCCATTCAAGCCTCTCGCTCGGATCAAAATATTCACGGATAGGTCTAGATATGCAGCAATGTTAAAGGACTAAGTGTCTATTTATGCTCATACAAATATGGGACCTGGGCGGCTATTCCAGTAGAATAGCGACCCAAAACTTTCAAAGTGAATTGATGATAAACTGGAAAGTGAGTTTTCGGGTACCGTTTTGGACGTCTTTCCGTGTCGTTTTGCATCAATAATGTTTTTCTTTTGCAGACATCGCCATATTCTCCTGATTGCAATCCGATTGAACATTTGTGGACTCATGTAAAACAAGGATTACGTGGATATCTATTTACCTCAAAAGAGGAGCTTTGGGATAAAGTACAAGAAATTTAGAAGTCGATCCCAGTGCCGACACTCGAGAACTTAGCTGCAAGCATGCCGAAACGAATGGAGGCAACCATTCAAGCCGTTGGAGGACCAACAAAATATTAAAATATGTAGAACGTTTTTGTAAACTCGTCAATACTTTTTTGGTTCATAACATTTTACTCAACTATGAAGCCATAATTGATTACCGTCTTTTGTGTATGACAAGTCCATACTTTCTATTATTTAAAACTCTTTAGTTGTTTAAAATCGGATGGATGGAAAAAATTATACGTAAAAGAATTGAAACGAGGCAGGGCGGTCAATACTTTCTTTTGACCACTGTGACGGCGTTGTTCCAAACAAAGAATTTAAAAATTTACATTCATGTCTTAATCTGCATGTAAAAACGTTTTTTTTTATAAAGTGCGTTATCAAAAAATTTTTCAATCTAAAATGAAAGTTTCATTAAAAATTGCCGTCATTTTTGCTTTGGATTTTGCGTAATCTCCCTTACAAAAGTATCGTGTTGACTAATAACATAAGCATTGCTGAAAAATCATTGTAAGGAGCCTATCCACACCCAAACCCACACACAATTTATGACATTTTTAACCCTTAAGCTGCACATTTTCACGCAGGCACAAAACTTGGATGCTTCTTTCAATGCCTTATTCCTTTTTTGAATTCGGCAAACTAACTTTTTTTGCCATAAAACTCCCAATGACTCCACTTTAGGCTATCTCGGTATTTGTTTGGATGAGTAATTGGTGTGCTATTTTGCATCAAGAGCTTTTTGGCACGTTGCCAAGTAGTCTGTTGATTACGACCCTCCCTCTCGAAAGATTTCACACCATCACCCAGCTGATTTTTCGCTAAAATTGACCAGTTTTTGCACACCCTATATTGTAAATGATTCATCGTGTCATTGTTTTTACTCTTGCTTTTTATGCATAAATTTGGTCCATTATAAGCCTTTCTTTTTAGGTTTCTCGACTTCCCGATTGTTTGATCTCTTCTCGATAGACGGGGTACAATCGAGAAGCTCCAATCAGCAACACCAATTCCCTGCATGCGATACAGCCGATTGGCATCAAGTGAAGCCGAAGCGGACGAGACGTCGGCCCTTATCCGACGCTCCAATCGTCATACATCCATGGGAGACGAAGTTGTCAGTTTTATTTTATTTACTTATTTTTGATTCATTTTCCAAAAACCATCAGGCTGATTGTTAAAACTATAATGCTAAAAGTTTTCATGTTGCTTAAGACACGATGTTTTGAGGAAAGCTGTTTTTTTCAAGTCCTGGTTTTGTCGGGAAATATTTAAAGCACCAGCCTATTCATAACTTAGCTGCTATTTTATTTCTCTTCAAAATTTCCATTGTTTAGACTGTCGAGAGTGGTTCTTCGGGCGACGAGGTCCATCTACTGCCCACACCATCTGCATCTGGGTCTACTTGCAGCATGACGCGGTATGTTTGTAAATTGAGGTGTTGGGATCAATGCTACTAACAAGTTAAAGAGCGTGCTGTACAAAGATAACATAAAACGTCGCACATCTTGATTTTTTTTGAACAGACATTGACAGCTATTTTCATTCGAATGTTTTGCTATCGGGAAGTTCAAAGGAGACCCCTTAAATTCTCCATCGATTATTGAACGATTTCTCTTTTCTCCGTTCACCCATTTTGTGTTGCTTTCGTTTTCCGTCCTAAAGCCGCCCAAAGGTGCAATCGGGCTCGGGGGATGGGAGTAGAGGCTCTCGATCGCTTTCCCCTCTTCACCTCTGTTTACATTTTCCCATCTACTCCACGCGATGCGCACGCCAAAAAGGAAAGCCTTTATTTTGTCGTCTCTTTGATTCATTTTGAAGTACTTTTGAATTCCAATACCGACATTCACAATTTATCTTTATTCCGAACGAGCGGCCATGAAAGTTTCAAAAACATCGTTTGTTTCGTTTGTGTCCCTTTCTATAGCTTTAAGACCAATTCTGTTACCTTGGAGACATAGAAGGCTTCTCTTGTTGGTCGTATTTTTCTTTTTTCCCTATTCCCTAAGCACTCCGTCGTTTTTGACTACGAGGAAGAGAATAACAGCTCGTTTCTCACTTTTACAAAACGCAATTGGAGAAATGTTTTACTCTGTTACTTGTTGACTAGAAAAGGTTCCACATAATATTTCGTTTGAAAGAGAGTTTACTCTATGACAACCTTTGACCGTGTGTGTCTCTTCGTATTTTTTGTCTGCTCGTCTGTCTACTCTCTTTGTGCATCCTCAGCACAGGGGTTTATGGCTACGACGACCTTGTTGCCGTCAATCCGGCCTCCCATCCACCCACCCCTCTTTTCTAACCAACAAAAGGAAGAGCGCGCTGTCCCCCGCGTGTCACCTTTTTTCTTTCACGTTATTCATTTCAATTTAGATTGTACTTTCCAATAATAAAAAGTAATAGATACTTTTTACCACTTATCGCTTTAGTTTTTTATTAATCACTTGCTTGATTGGTCTAAGGCTTTTGATCGATTGAATAAGCGAACTCTTAAAACGAAAAGACTGGTTTTTAAGAAATTTTGGTTCTTGCTATTGCATTTTTGTGTGGAAATTTTAAAATCGATATTATCTCGAAAAGTTTTTCAATTTCGTCATTGGAAACGATGACACACCAAACATTTTTCCTTTAAACTTTCCCGGAAAAGGTCACCTTTTAATTAATTAATTTAGTTAGTTATTCATTCGTTACTTGCCCCTATTTAATCCTACTCATGTAAAATGCGTGGTTCAGCTTCAATGGAAGACGATATTGTATCTCTGGAGATTTCCATGGATACTGCCACCACATCAGCTGGTGGCTCAGCAGTCTCTTTAGCTGAACGAAGAAATAAAGCAGCTTCTCTAAAAAGCAATGCCACAGCATACACAATAAACTCGGCTAAGAAAGGATGGGGGTGTGTTTGTTTAAAAATAAAAGACTGAAACACTTAGAAACTTTAGTCTTCCTTTGCTTCATTATTCAAATTTAGATGTTGCTCTTCATTGTTTCGTCGACGACGAGTTCTACATTCAAGAACGGTTCGCGTTGGTTATGGTCCCCTAGCCACTGGAGCGGCCTCATTCTCACCGAACACCGTCTGCAATCAAAAATACAACATCTTTAGCTTCATTCCATTGGTTTATTTGTTGTTTCATTGCATAACTGTTTTGTTTTTAGGTGCTCTTCCAACAATTCAAGTTCTTCCTCAATCTGTATTTCCTACTTATGGCTTGCACACAATTCATTCCAGCTATACAAATTGGATCTCCGATTACTTATTGGGGACCATTGGTAAGCGAAAATTTCAAAAAACTTTAAATTTTATTTTAGGGATTTGTGCTGACAATCACTTTGATCCGTGAGGCTTTGGACGATTTTGTACGTTTTCTACGTGATAAAGAGATGAACAGTGAAAAATACGAACGTTTGACACGGGACGGACTTCGACGAGAAATTAAAAGCTGGTAAGCTTGAAGAAATAAATCAGACATAAATGGTTATTTTTAGCGACATTCAAGTCGGAGATGTTATTGTCATTCAAAAGGATCGTCGTATTCCAGCTGATGTCATACTTCTGAGGTTCAACGAGAATTAGCCATTTCCCAACTTATTGTTTTAAGAACGACGGAAAAATCTGGAGCCTGTTTTATTCGAACGGATCAACTTGATGGAGAAACGGATTGGAAATTAAGAGTGGCTGTACCGGCAACCCAGCACGTACACAATGAAGCGGTAATTTACTCTGAAGCTTTCATATAATCTGTTTATCTTTAGGAAATTATGGAACTCAACTGTGAAGTCTATGCGGAAAAGCCTCAAAAGGACATCCACGCATTCGTTGGCACATATAAGATTACGAACGAAAACGGTGTGATGGATGGATCGTTGAATGTGGAGAATGTTCTCTGGGCGAATACTGTTTTGGCATCGGGAACGGCTGTTGGAGTTGTGGTAATGTAATAAAATTTGGATTTTTAATAGTATGATTAAGGTTTACACGGGACGTGAAACTCGCAGTGTAATGAATACAACATTGCCCGAATCAAAAGTTGGACTACTTGACCTTGAGGTAGAATTGTTTGTTTGAATTGAATTGAAAGTATTCTTTGTTCTAAAAAAGTTTTTAGGTGAACAATTTAACGAAGATTCTCTTCTTATTTGTCTTGTTGCTCTCATCGGTGATGGTGATCATGAAAGGACTTGATACTTACTGGTACCGATATCTGATGCGGTTCATCTTACTCTTTTCCTACATTATTCCAATTTCACTGAGAGTCAATTTGGACATGGCCAAGGTATTTTATTTAATTTGCGTACATTTCACCTATTTATTGCTTAGCTCTTTTATTCGTGGCAAATCGGTCGTGATAAACACATTGCTGAAACTGTTGTGCGTTCTTCCACCATACCCGAAGAGCTTGGAAGGTAACTATAGACCTAATGCTAAACAGCAAAATGTGTTTTAGAGTGAGCTATCTCCTGAGTGATAAAACAGGAACATTGACAAAGAATGAAATGCATTTTAAAAAGGTAAATTTTTTTTATTTGAAAATAAGCTGTGTATTTTAGATTCATCTGGGATCAGTGTCTTTTTCCTCTGATGCATTTGATGAAGTAACAAAGCACGTGGTTAGCGGCTATGCTGGCGGCCTTGGAAGACACTCATTTAGCGCTAAACTTCAGGTACGGTTACTTAGAAAGTAGAAAAATAATCAACTTTTAGACAGCCGTTGAAGCAATCGCTCTTTGTCACAACGTTACGCCAATCTTTGAACATGGTGGCACAAGTTATCAAGCAGCTAGTCCAGATGAAGTTTGAGATTTTTAAACTGTGATTTAAAAACTTTGGTTTTAGGTGGCTCTGGTCAAATGGACGGAAAAAGTTGGTGTTCGTCTCTTTACTCGGGATCTACATGCGATGCGTTTGCAACTACAAGTAATTTACTCAAACACAATCTCTCACACTTTCAATTTAGGACGGGGCTGAGCGCCTTTTTCACATTCTACATCTTTTTCCGTTTACTTCTGAAACCAAGCGGATGGGAATCATTGTGAAAGTAAATACAATTTAAATTGCCCACTTAAGTTTGATTAAGGACGACATCACTGATGAAATCACGCTCTACATGAAAGGAGCAGATACAGTTATGGCAGCAATGGTTCAATACAATGATTGGTTGGAAGAGGAATGCAGTAATATGGCAAGAGAAGGTTGATTATTTCGTTCTATTTGGTTTAAACTAGTCACTTTAGGCCTTCGGACTTTGGTTGTCGCTAAGAAGGTTCTTTCATTAACAGAATACGAAGCATTTGACAAGGCTTACCATCAGGTATGTAAATTTTTCTAAACCTAATAATTTGACTTTTAGGCTAAAATGACCGTTGCCGATAGAACGGAGAATATGTGCAATGTTGTGAATCGGATGCTTGAGAAAGATCTACAATTGCTTTGCTTAACCGGCGTTGAAGATCGACTACAGGCTTGTTCCAGACTGAAATTTAATAAAGGTTGAGTTTAGGATCAAGTAACTACTTCTTTGGAATTGCTACGAAATGCAGGAATCAAGATTTGGATGTTAACTGGGGATAAACTTGAGACTGCGATTTGTATTGCAAAATCGAGTGGACTCTTCAGCAAAGCCGACACAGTTCACGTTTTTGGACAAGTAATTAAGATCTCAACAACTTCTAAGCATAAGTGTATTTAGGTTCAAAACAGAACTGAGGCTCACAATGAACTGAATGCTCTGAGAAGAAAAAGCGATGTGGCGCTGGTTATGTCTGGTGCGGCTCTCAACATTTGTCTGCAATATTACGAAGCTGAGGTCGGCAGTTCTTTTACAATTGTTGTAAAATGATATTCAGGTTGCTGAATTGGTTTGCGCATGTACGGCCGTTGTTTGCTGTCGATGCTCGCCAGAGCAGAAGGCACAAATTGTTCAGCTATTGAAGTGAGTTATAATCGACTTGTGCAAAGTCCGCATTAAAGATCATTAATGAGGACGATTTAGGAAATATCGGGCTCCTCTTCGCGTAGCTGCAATCGGCGATGGAGGAAATGACGTATCGATGATTCAAGCAGCTCATGCTGGGATAGGAATTGATGCAAACGAAGGTACAAAAGAAGATAACTATTGTAACGTACGTATGACTTAAGGAAAACAAGCATCATTGGCAGCTGATTTCTCGATCACTCAATTCTCTCATGTTTGCCGCCTACTCTTGGTTCATGGACGATTTTGCTACAAGCGGTTTGCTAATTCTCGTCTACTAAAGTCAAATATTAATGTAGGTCTTGTGCTCTATCGCAATTTGTTATGCATCGGGGCCTCATCATTTCAACAATGCAAGCTGTGTTTTCGTGTGTTTTCTACTTTGCCTCCGTTTCCTTATATCAAGGCGTACTGATGGTTGCGTAAGTTTTTTAAAATATCGATGTTTCAATGAATTTATTAGTTACTCGACTGCTTACACGATGTTGCCTGTCTTCTCTTTGGTCGTTGATCGTGATGTCACTGCTTCGAGTGCTCTCACTTATCCGGAGTTGTACAAAGAGCTTGGCAAAGGGCGATCCTTATCCTACAAAACTTTCTGCATCTGGGTGTTGATTAGCATCTATCAAGGCAAATATTGTAAAAGTGTAGCAGTAACCAATAAGTTTTAGGTGCCGTCATCATGTATGGAGCTTTATTAGTCTTCGACGCCGATTTTATTCACGTTGTATCAATCTCGTTCTCAGCGCTCATCGTAACCGAGCTTATCATGGTGGCAATGACGGTTCACACTTGGCATTGGGCGATGCTGTTGGCTCAAGTAATTTTTAAATTTATTTGATTCAATTATTCATTTGTTTAGGCACTCTCATTGGGTCTCTATGTTGCCTCGTTGCTAATTCTCGACTCCTACTTCGATCGTCAATTTGTTACTTCGTGGGAATTCATTCTGAAGACATCTGTGGTTACGGTTATCTCATGCTTGCCTCTCTACATCATCAAAGCTTTACGGAGAAAATTCAGTCCGCCAAGCTATAGCAAAGTAAATTAAATCCCGCTAAAATTTGATTTTGTACATTTTTCAATCTAGTCCTTGTCAATTTTCTGTAGACTAAAATCGTTTGTATCAATTGACATTGTTCTGAGTATGCTTTGACTCTGGTGATTTTCCGGTGCCAAATGTTTTCTTTGCATCATTTGCTGTACTTTAATGATCAAGCATAGATTTGGTGTGTGTTATTCTTCGGGTGTTTCCGAGAATGTATGTAATATTTCGGGTGTTTTCAATATATGTTTTGCTTTTTAAATAGATCGTTGTTTGCTTTAAATATCTCTAACTTGTGTAGCTTTTTACTGAGTGCTTTTTTATTTGAATAGAATCAATACTCCCGAACTTGTGATATCCCTATTTCCGTGTCTTACTGGGTATTTTTTATTTTTAAAAATGAATAAAGCAACCACCGTGGCTCTTGTCTTTTCGGTTTTGGCTTTATATTTGCTGGAAAATAAAATATTATATTTTCGCTCATCAAAGATACACGGTTAAAGCACTACAATCATTATCTCCCCGTTTTGTGTCTTTTAAAATTTCTAATTATAAGATTTGAGTGTAGTTCCTTTATTTACAGCGTGATGGGCGTTCTTCTCGTCCTATCATGTTATTTGATCGAATTTGCCCCGGCGTTGATGTTTTTTAGAACGGTGATAGCGCCTGACCCGTTGAGGATTATTCTATTCGTATTAGGGTTTGTGTTTAAACAGTAAACGTAAAAATAACAGCTTGAGCGATAAGATTTGGTTTAAATGCAAATGATTAATTTAGTGCCTTCTTTTGGATGCTTGCTCTACTTGCATCGGGCCTCGTTTGGTTTCTTTTGTATCCATTGAGGGATTATCTTGTCTTCAGCATTTTGACCTCTGTACTGATCCAGGTTTGTTACTGACTTTTTATAAACCAGGTAATGTTACTTTTTAGGAAGCGTCTCGAGTTGCCCTGTTTACCGTACTTCGAAGAGCACAACAGTAAGTTTAAATTTTAACGGCACTCTACTAATGACCCTAACAAAATTCAAACGCTTTAGTGGGCTCAATCAAATGACAACAGTGGGTGCTGAAGCCGGTAGACAAGGACCTCCCGCAATTTTCCATGATTTCAAGAATGGTCGACATTTGTTGGCGGTTATTTCTGGACTTGGAATGGGTAAAAGAAATTTTTGAATTTGTAATAATAATTTTTTGCTAATAATAATTAATTCTTTTAGTATGATCATTTAGGAGTACAAGCTGCGCTCTTTTTGACGATGAACATCTTTGCAGCTTTGTCGGGGCCAGGAACAATTGGATTGCCATATTACTTTGCTGAGGTTAATCAGATTTTAACTTTCAACTTGTGTACCTTTTTGTTTTAGAAGAACCTCTCCGAAAGCGTGATTGACGGTGATTCAAGTCCCTATTTGATGGAACCAGATCGATCGTTGCCCTATTATTACGCTTTTTCTGGAATGACTTTATCGCTGCTTCATGCGGCTTGGACTATTCTGGTAGTGTAAGTTGTTGTTTTTATTTCAATTGTTTTAGGTGTGGGACTCTTGTCACAAATATGTGAGAAACAAGCCTTTTTGGTGGAAAGGAGTTGTGATCGCCGTGTGCTCGCATCTATTCCTTACGTCTTTGGTTGGTTTGATTTTACTTTCAAATGCATGGCTAAAATTTAGTCGTTCATCAATTCCGCAGGATTTCAATGGCTTTACTTGTTTGTGCAATTTTGGACGGCTTTTGCATTGACGATTCAATGTCATTTTCTGATGGGCGGAAACTTCGGATCGTTTTTGGCAAGTAAGTTCTTTTCTACATCTTTTATAATTTTGTACATTGGTTTTCATCTTTTTTTACATACAGCTGAAAACTTTAGATACGTTTTTTGCTCTTCGAGATTGGGTGCTACTTAAATGGGTGCGGCAGGAGTATAGGCACTGTCGAGATAAGATGTTTGGCCATCCAAATAATTCCGCTTCAGCGACAAACGAAGAGAACGAAGCAACTGAAGTATGTTTGAGTTTTTTTTGAGGAATGAATATGAAATTCGGTATTTTGTCTATAACTAACTATTTTAAGAGGTCTCATGTCTAGAGCTCAAAAGTACTTCGCTAGCACACTAGACATGCGTTTTGGTGGATTTTATGGTACAACAAGTTTAATTTATTGGAATGTTTTAGATCAATGAAGCTCCGGCTGCGTCTCTTCATTCCGAGGCCCCAGTTACATTCTCTCAACTTGCCACCAAACATCAAGACGAAAATGAGCCCAGGCCAGCCCCCGCAAATGAAGATGATGAAGATGAAGGGATCGTATTGGTAAAAACATAAGGAATTTCGCTTTTCACATTCCATTGAAGCGATCTCATATGAAACGGATTTGTTTTTGTGTTTTTTTGTCTTTCTTAATCATTGTCTGTCATTTATTTCTTGCAGCTTGTACGTACAGTTTCTTTAGGTTTTCCCTGTTGATCTTTGCTTTACGGGTTAATTTCTATAGCAATCGTGTAATTTATCAGCTTTATATTTGAATTTATTTTCTCTAAAATTAATGTTGCTTGCTGCTGCTTGCTTGTTAGAAACGTAATAAATTGGTAAAAATAAATAGAGTAACATTTAAAAGCTTTTGAGGATATCACAGATTAAAACATAGGTTTGCAAGTAACAACAATTGGGAGGGGAAAGCGAATCTTCAAATCGAGAAGAGACTCGTACTCGTTGAGAAAGAGCAATCAATGACAAAGTAGGGCATTTTAAGTGAATTAGTGGAAAATTATGAAAGCTATTGATTATCTTCTTCAATAACTTGCACATTGTATCGAATAGTTTTACCCCACAATTTTCCATAAGTATTATCGAAAATAAGTTTGTAGATACCCGGTGCAGAAGCGATCACCTAAAATGTTTTAGAGTTGACTTATCTTTTTTCAGGAGATATCATTTAGTTTTTTGTTTCACTTTACTCACCTCTCCACATTCGGGAACAAATTCGGTTTGCAATTTGAATTTAGGCCAAATCATCGTGTCACTCTCATGTTCAGCCAGCACATCGCCGTCTTTGTTATTCGAAAGGTTAATCGAGAAAATAACATCATTACTCTCCAATCGCCACCACCAACGAATTTTTCGATTCGGATTAACTCCTGAAAATTCTCTATCATTTTCTGAACTTTACGAGCTATTACCATAAACAGTTACAGGGACAAAAACGGTCGATCGAGCTGGAACTGAGAGTTTCGTGAGTTTTTCAGCGGGAAGGTCATTCGCCGAATTGTATCTGAAAATGAGTTTTTGGTTCAGTTGATATTCGCCTTGAATGAAAAACTGTGAAGAACTAGTTGATGCACATCTAATTTGTGCACTCACTTCAACGATTCCGGTACTTTCCCTCCCGTTCTCACTGTTCCGTATTCATTTTCATGTTCTTTATCACCTCCCCAATGTCTGAAGAGATTCTCGGCGCCGATTGAGTCCTGCAATACACAATATTGTTTTTGATTTTCTTCACTTTTTCCTTTACTCACTCTCAATCTTTCTTTCCAATTATTCCCTAAGAACTCGATTTTCTGTTTCGTTTGCGCTGCCAAACATGGGGAGATCAAATTCCAGAGCATCTAAAAATAAAAACATGACAATTGATTAGAATCATCGCAAATCGAGTAATCTTTCAATGTTCAATCTATTGGTAATTCTATTGGCAAAGTGGCAAAGTAGTATTTCAAATATGAAAAGAATCGTGTGATATGCAAACATTTAACAATTATACACGTTTTGACAGTTTACTCTTTCAGACTCATTTGGGCAGTTCCCTAAAAAAAATCTTAAAGATTGAAAGATTTTGAAAGCTTTAAATTGAACCTGAATGAATGAGGGAGCATTGACAATGTAGATGTGACGGATGACATCCGGGAACATTTCCTGCATTAACCCTTTTGTTATTTTAAAGTTAAAAGCAAAGTCAGTCAGCACCCAATAGAAATGAAATCGACTTTTTGCAAATCTATTAGGATTTCAGATTCAGATTCAGATTCAGATTCAGATTCAAATCCGATTTGAGCCCACATCTGAACGATATGATGGCCGGAAAATTCCCCCGTTCACCTGCAATTGTGACAACATTGTTGTGATCACTTTGAGTGCTCCCGTGTCAAATTGTCCCATATTCACTCCATCCAAATCGAAGATCACACAAGTGCCAACCTGCTTGCCAAGCTCTTTCTCTTTTCGTCTAAAAATCTTATTTGTTGAACATCACAAAAATGAATCAAACTTGTAGTAATGAATTTTATTATTATTGTTGATGATAAGATTCTTATGAAATCGAGATTTCTGTTAGGGACTTTGAATGAAGGGACAACGTTTGACTTCTGCTAAAATATTTTGTAAGATTATTGCACAAATCATCAAGTTCTATGATCTATGAGGTTTATGAAGCTAAATCTCGATAGAACAATAGTTCCGACCCTACCCCCTTCTCCCCTCCCGCCATTTAGGCAGGTTTTTCTTTCCAACGCCTCGTGGCTCAGTGTTTGAGGGGCTGATCAAGGGTTCGGCACCCGGCAATGGCATCTGATGCCGAGCTTTGCCTCGGGAGATTTCATTAGCTTTTTGGTTTATTAGTTTCATGTGCTTTCTGACATTTTGCAATGCATTTGGGGTGGCATTTTCATGATCTCCTTCTAGACGGAATAGCGTAATCCAGCTAATCCTGACTGAATGCCTTAAATTAGACTGAATACCCTAATCTAGATTGAATATCACCCGGCAATGGCATCTGATGCCGAGCTTTGTCTCGGGAGATTTCGTTAGCTTTTTGGTTTATTAGTTTCATGCGCTTTCTGGCATTTGGGGTGGCATTTTCATGATCTCCTTCAAAACTTGAACACTTCTTACCTAATCACATCCATCACTCCTTCACTTTCAGCGATTCTCATCAAATACAAATCCGAATTTCTTGTGCACGGCATCAATCCGGTTGCATCACAACGACCGATCATCTGAATGAAACGAATTCAACAAACCGTTTTCTTCACATTTTGTTTAGAACTCACTTGAATCACCAACACATTATCGTTTTTATCGAATCCAACAACTGAGCCTTAAATTCACGAACTTTCCACCAATGCTCAATCAAATATTACCAGGTAAATATTGTAAAGGTTTTGATACAGAATCACAATATTCATTCACTTTGTCGAGAGTCTCGAAATCGATTCGATTAAAGCCGAGAGCATGGATGGCACGAAGGGAAAAACGAATCTTTGGAACAACGACATCTGCAAAAATCTCTACATTGATTGATTTTTTTTGCTTTTTGAAACCAATTTTGCGATCCCAGCCGACGATCCATCGAAGAAGAGACAAGTCATCATCGTAAGCGGGAACAAGCTGCAAATTTGAATTTGAAACCTTTGAAAGGCATTTTGTGTTCTAGTGCGCTTTTATGGATCACAGTTTAGACAGTTTCTCCCCTGACTGACCTCCAATTCATGTTTTATCCTTTGTCTCAATTGCTCGATCAACGCCCGATCTGTATCAGTGATATCTTCTGGTCTCATCTGAAATTCTTGTATCGTTCCTGCATTTGGACTCTTCGGCGATTTCGGGGCTTTCTGTGAACCATTGCTTTTCACACTCGCTTTCCTTAGAGTCATTTTTGGCTAGAAATTTGAGAGATTTTGATTGGAAACATGAGGAAATGCTTTAAATAAAATAATTTTTTTAATGTTCTTGCCATAAAGATGGAGGGAAATTTGAAATCAAATTGATAAAAATCGTAATAATAAAAGACTTTTTGAGTCAAGAATCAAGACTAAAAACTTGAAAAATGACTATAAGAAATTGAATTTTAATTAATTTTCCTTAAGAAATGCTTGTTAGGGATCAAAAAAGCGATTTTCAATGCTTCAAAAAACGAAAGTAATTCAAAATAGATTGAGATTTCAAAAGTAGCTTTCAATAAATTGATGTTTGACCGCTAAGAAGCATTTCGTAAGAATTTAAAGTTAAACAAATTCAAATTATTATGCTATTAAGAAAATTGAACTTTTAAAGAAACTTTTAAAGAATAATTTAATTCCAAAAAAAGGGAGTGTTGAGAAATTTTGTGTTTTGTGTGTACAAAAGGGATGAGACAAAAGGGGGGAGAAAGGGAAAACGATGAGAAGTGAGTCCACCCTCAATTTGTGAGTCGTTCTGTCTCTTTTTCTTTCTTTTTTCTTTTTCTATATTCATTGAGAGTATTCCCTTAAATGAAAGAGGAGAAACCCGTAAAAAAAAAGAAATATCCTAGCAACCCCTTGTTGTTTCTCTATTTTTTCCTTTCATCGACCTCAAACACGGTTTCACTCGTTTTTCTATGATTTCTAGAAGAAAGGTAAACAAAAACGCTTTTCTTTTTTCTCTAAATTGTTTTTAAACTTAATTGATTTTATGTTATATTCTTTTTAAAGAAAGAATTCTTTCTTTTTTAAAGAATATTCGACTAACTAAAAAAACAGATAATGAAGACTTTTGATTGAATTTTATTAAAATACATCTATGATTTTATATTTATATGTTGTGTTCGATTTAGATTTTCGTTCGATTTAGATTCAATCTAAATAGGACGTCCGATTTAGATTGAACTTATCGCGGGCGTCCGATTTAGATTCCAGTCTATATCGGACGTCCGATTTAGAACAATAATAAATCTTATATAGATTGAACAATAATATAAACATGCTTAATATATGTTCCTAAGCGTTTTCTGTAGTTTTCTGCATTTTTCAAAGGTCTTTTATTGATTACAGTCTATATCGGACGTCCGATATAGACTGTAATCTAAATCGGACGGAAATCTAAATCGGACACAACATATATAAACGTTTGAATAAAGTTTGAATAAAATAGACTTTACCAGCAGAAAATCTCAAAGATAATCTATCAATTTTATTGAAAAACAGAGAAAGAAAGTTAAGAAGTTAAGAATTGAAGTTTTTAAACAAAATTTGAAAGCTATCCGAGTTTATAGCTACTTTATAAAGTTTAGAATTGATGAATGTATTCGTGAAGAAAAGAAAGGAAAAAAAAGATAAAGAAAGGCTTATAGAAGTCCTTCTCTATTCTCTTTTTCTTTTCAAAAACCCTTTTCCTTTCCTCACGTCACATGAAATTCGATAGAAAAAAGATGGCAAATAGTGACTGGGAAAAGGAAAAAGAGAGAGAGAAGGAAATGAGAAGAGACCTAAAAATAAAAAAAAGGGAAAGAGAAGGGAACCCTTAAAAAGGAAAAATCAGATAACAGTTGACAGAAAAATGAGAAAAAGGGGGAAATGACAAGGAGAAATCCGTCTTTGGTATGCACTGAACTCTTCCCGAATTGTTTCATTTATGATTATCGAGATCACTTTTTCATTTCAACAACCTTTATGCTTTACTTATTTGGCTTTGCATTCTCAAATACTCAAATTTCTAATTGGATTCTTTAGAAAATACTCTAATAGTCGCGTAGTCAAACTTCTTTTTAGAAAATCATTTTTTCTCATCTCCAAGACTTTTCCCAACTACACTTTGGGTACGAAAAAAATATAAGATTTCAAGGGCTATCATTTGAAATCCATGCGCACACTGTAGCGTAAAGCAGAGAGGAGAATTGGACGTTCAAAGTTCGACTACGCTCGTCATTATGGCGTTCTATTAGAGTATTTACGGTGGTTTCATTTGAAAGGGACAAATCGTAGATTTGTAGATTGTAGATTTGTAGATTTGTAGATTTGTAGATTGTAGAAATCGTAGATTTATTATTCGATCACCTCTCTCATTATTTGTTCACAAAATTTCGCAAATTTCTATCATTTTTCGCACTTCGTCATAGAAAAACAGGGAAACATTCCCAAAAAAGAAAGAAAAAAAAAGCATTCCGCTTTGAGATCACAAAAAGTTTCGACAAAAAAAGTAAAGCAAAGCAAAATTTGATCTACAAGAAATTCTACAAGAAATTTTGTGTTTCTGAGAAATTTTAGGGTCAGATTCGACAAAAATCTGCTAAAATAACGGACGACGAGTCGAAAAAGAAAGAATAGACAAAAATTTTTATGAGAGAGAACGCATTTTTTTTTCCTTTTTTTTGATCAAAAATGCAAAGAAATGAGAGAAGGGTGAAAATTTAGATGAAAAGAGAGCAGAAGTATCACATTTTGTCACATATTGTCAGTCGAGATTGTGCGAGAATCAATCGTCCTTTTGGGGCTTTATTTGACAAGGATAATCAAAGCCAAAACTCTCAAAGATGTTTTGGAAACAATTATTTCTTATGTGAATCTGCCCTTTGCCTGTCGAAAGAGGGATTTTTCTCTTTTTTCTTTTTACTCTCTCATTGTGAAATCGAAAGCTAAATCAACAATTTGATGAGCTATTTTGTGTGTATGAGTCATTTCTCTCTTTTTTTTTATCTGTTTTTGATTGATTTTGATTGATTTTGACGATATGATAGGGTGTGACTGTGGCAAATATTGTCTCACACTCGGTTCACCGGAATTGGATTCGGAAACAACAAAATGCATCAAAGCTTAAAGGTATGAAAGAAATTGGGAAACAATAAAATGGTTCAAAGCTTGTTATTATTCCCTAAAATACGAATTGAGCTTGATAAATAAACAATAATATACTGGACAAAAAGGGCACTCATTCCTCTTTACTGACTACAAGCTAAAATAGGGTTAAAAGTTTCAATCTGTTTCTCTCAAAGTGTTTAGCTTTTAGTTTACCTCTTTAGCAGCCATCGTCAAAAAAAAAATCGTTTTCCTAGTTGTTGATAGTTGATTTAAAATAGAAATAGTATTGATTAATCAAAAATTTCCAAAGAATCGAAGCGAGGAAAGGCTGTGGAAAGAGAAATGGTTGAAGAGGAAAGGGTGGGACCAAGATATTTGAGGAAAAAGAGGGAAAAGAGGGAAAAGATTGAAAAAGAAATGGATGATGAGAGATGATGAGGAAAAGATGAAAGAAAAGGAATATCGAGTGATCGATGGAAAGAGGGGAAAGGAGAAGGAGGAGAGACGATCTCCGAAAATCGCAGACAGAGTGCCCATTCTGACTGCAAAGACAAACATTTCCATTTCCCTCCACTTCTCCGTATTTTCATCGTTCAAAATCTCTTCGTCACTCACTCCTTCACAAATATTATCATTTCATTTGAAAAAGCTTTGCGAAAGGAGAATGATCTCGATCAGTTAGCTTTGGCTTTGAATTTGATTTGAAAATATTTGAAACAACGTGCTTATCTTGCATGCATCTGCAAGATGCAAGACTCATTCTTGCACTTATTCAGCTCCGCAAAGTTGACTTAACTTAAAGTTGAATCCACAAGAACTTTATCGACAAAAAGGAAAACATTTGCAATACTTGAGTACAATAATTCATTGAATAAACAACTTTTAATTGAACACCGCATTTTCTCTAATAGTAGTGCACCGTACCGAGCTGCGTTGATGCCTATTTTACGGTTTCCAATTTTCCCCAGAAGCTCAACACTCGAATCCCCCACAAGATCTCATCGTCAGTTACATTTTCCGACCCCACATCGATAGGTTCTGATAAGCGCTTTTCGAGATTTCGAGGAATTTAGACGACGCTCAGGGTGCACTACTATTAGAGAGAAGGACGTATATTATTCCAGGTTAGGCTAGTAGATCAGACTGATCTATTTCCCTAATATTCCCGGGTGAGCCGAGTTGATGCCTATTTTCGGTTTCCAACCTTTTACAGAAGCTCAACACCCAAACCCCCACAAGATCACATCCCCAGCTACATTTTCCGTCCCACAGGTGTAAGCACTTTTGAGGTTTTCGAGGAATTTAGGCGAGGCTTTGGGTACACTACTATTAGAGAAAATACGGTAAATGAGTATTAAAATCATTAGAGATCAAACTGAAATCCTTTTTTACACATTTCAATTATACGAATCCATAGCCATCAATGGAGTCAACGTTGTCGGTTCATCTTTTCTCGGTGTTTGTGATGAGACGTTCAAATCACAAAACTTCTCATCTACACAAATTTTATCAATCGAATCGTTGTTGAGTCGATTCAAGTTGATCTGCAATTTGATATTAAGTCATCTTTGATTCATAAATTCTTTTGATTACCTTATTGATTAGATCACAATGCGTTGAAAATTGAGGATCATTTTTACCCTTTAAGCATTCGATTTTTAGATTCTAAAAGAAAATTTTTCTCCTAAATTGTTTAACGATTCGAAAAATCGAAATCCAACAATGATAACTTAAAAGAAACTTTTTCAAAATTATCCCCATCTTTTTGTTGTTTCGATTTCATTTGTTTTATTGCTTCTTTACAGAGCTCACACATGAAACTTTGAGGGATATCGTTGAAAAGATTTGTTGGCTGAAAAAGAACAAATGATTTTTTTTGGAAATTGAACCTTTTAAACCTTTGAATTGGTGAAATCGGTCAAATCTTGTTTCATTTCTTTTAGAATTGCACCCATTTCGGTGACGAATTTTTGCACCACCGAATCATTCGCATTCAAATTGATCTCCAGTGGGAATTTCAAACCTAAAATTGGAATCGATTCTTCCGCTTTTCAGAAGAGTTTCAGCCTTGAGTTTCTCAACATAGTATTCGTTTAACGGGGTCTTGAATTCATGGAGAAATACAGCCAAATTTGGGGCAAAAACTCCCAAGCATTTCAGCATAGTGACGCCGAAAGCGCCGAAACCGGATCAGTCGCTTCTTAAAGGATTCTTAAAGGATTCTTAAAGGATTGCCAGCCAGAGAACACATTGCCAGTCATTCTCCTCTTGTTCTGTAAATGATTCCCAAACAAGATTTAGTGTTAAAAATGTGTGCCCCGGGGTTTTCAGAGTCGTAGAGCCTATTGGTGGAGTTTATTTCAACCATTTGTCCCGAGAAAAGTCTCAAGAGAATCGAATTGGCTTTGAGTTTTGTAAATGATAGCTTTTCACAATGAAAAGATCCGGATTTCCGAGAAGAACCTTAGAATGTTTTGTGGAGATTTTAACAATGGATCTAGTAAACTAGACAGTTACTAAAATGGAAATCTCAAATAAGATGAATACACTGAAAAAGTGACTCATCGAAAAGCAAGCCGAAATCCAAACAAAAGGAAACGTTTTTGCTATAGTTTGTTCCTCTCTCGCAAAAGTAAGCCACGAAAAATGGTTTTTTTAAATTTGAAAACTCAAATAGATAACTAAGAAATAGTTATCAATTTATGAACTGACTAAGGAAGGTCACTGGTTTACCACCGAGTTTCAAAACGAGACCTATCACATCTAGACCGGTTTTTTTGCCCTGATTCCAAATCTGCATTCAAATCTACCCCACGAAGCCTCTGAAGCCACCAAAATAAATTTTTATTTTCTATTGGAAAAAGTAGTTTTCTTAAAAGCCGAGACAACAGCTTTGTACCTTTTTGATGCCTGGAAACATGACAGTGCTTAGATTTCGCGGCTTTCAATCTAATGGCCCGAGCTCCTGGAGACTACCCCCAATCAATTTCCGACCAAGAAATTATATCTTTTAAAAATTTCAGGCTACAAAATTGTCTAAAGAGTTTTTTAAAAAAATTCAAGAGGATCGAGAGATTTTTAGTGCAAAAATTTCGATAAAACGAGTTTTTAGGCATCAATAATTGCTTTTAAAAGACTAACATTGTGATTTTCAGAAAGTAGAGAAAATTTGACTGGCTGACCAACATCAAAAACATCTAGTTTTCGAGATTTTCCCCTTTCAAGTTTCAAGTTTTCAACGTTAGTCTTTTAAGAGCTCAAGCCCCTTGAATTTTTTCAAAAAACTATTTTAACAGTTTTGTAGTCTGAAATTTTAATTTCTATAATTTCTTGGTCGGTATTTGATTGGTGGTAATCTCGAGGAGCTCGGGCCGTTAGATTGAAAGTCGCGAAATCCTGGCTTCGATTTTGACGGCTTTAGAGACCTCGAGGCGTAGATTTGATTGTAGATTTGGAAATTCGTTTCACTTTTTCATATCTTAATTTTCATTTCACTCACCGAATTCACTTTGCAAATCCCTTTTCTCTCTGAAAACCGCTGAAGATTTCAATGAGAAACCATGGACAAATGAAAAGAATAAAATGAAGTAAATCATTGGGAATTGATCGATAAAAGATTCGATTTATTAGGTGTGAAATTGGAAAATATCGAGAAAAGATTTGAATGAGAGAAATTTTGATCGAAATATACCAAAAAATGAAAGCGCTTTTTTCTCTCAACAATAACAATATTGAGAAGAGAAAGGGAAAAGAGAAAAGAGAAAAAAAAAGAGAAAAGAAAAGAGAAAAGAAAAGAGAAAAGAAAAGAGAGAACAATTCTCAATCGGTCAATCTTTTTGTTTTGTCTTCAGTTCACAAGTATTATTGTCGTACTATGTATTTATTGTCGTTCGGGTTTTTTTCTTTTCTTATTTTAAAGTTGTAAAGTACTGTGCATTCAACAAAGTACATTTAATCTAAAGTTGAACAATTTTATTCACAAACTTCTTGATCAAAAATTTGAATAAAAGATACAGAAATGACTTTGAATAAAATTCTATAAACAATCAGAGTCTTTGGCTTGAGACTAGTTCAAGAAGTATTAAGTTGGAAAGAAAGTTCTCGGAAAAAGTTTGCACGGTGATTTCTCAAAAGCCAAGCCATCAATTCTTTCCAGAATTTTTTTGATGAACATGATTATATTTCAAAAAATTTTTGACAAAGTCGACTTCAGGTAAAAAATTAGAGATTTCTTCAGTTGAAGTGACTTGGTCACTTTTTGAGTGAGCAGCCTTTAGACAAGTTTTTAATGGGTTAATGAATAGGCGATGGGTCCCATTCAAAACCAAAAATCAAGTACTTAAAATAGGGAAAATCAGTGATAAAGGCAGATTTTTATCTAATGCTTTAACTTTTCAGAATCACCTATTTTAGCCAAATACTCAGTGCCAAGAGGATGACACCAAAAAAAAAAAGATTTTTTGAAATACAGCTTCTCTGTAAATGGCCAAAAATAGAGATTATAGAGCGTATTGCTCTATAATCCTATTTATCCTAATTATAAAGCGTATTGCTCATTTATGCTAGCTTTATCTCATAAGAAATCGTCTTTCTCGTGCAAAAAGTGAACTGAATTTAAGCTTGGAAAAGAATAATTTTTCAAATATCTCTAAAATTTTATGGGAAAGCTGCACTCATTTTTTTACGGGTAATTTCTTGGAGTCGATTTGTAAATAATAGAAGAAAATGTTTATGAATTGATGGATTCGTTTTTTAAGAAATAAATGAAATTCAGCGGGTAATCATGACTGATCTGAGGTTTCAACTTCGATGCTTGCACGATGCCCCGTACACCCCACTGGCTATGTGTGCTTTTCAGAAAACTGTGTACGAAATGGCAAGGTGAAGCCGCTAGACGTTTCTGTTGGCAATTTTCTCACCCAGAAAGGGGCCACTAGCAGAAGCACTAGAAAATTCCAGTGAAACTTTTTCCGAGAACTTTCTTTCCAACCAAATATATAAAAAAAAGGAAAAAAAAACTATTGATACCGGGCCAATAAATCACCTCAAATCTCAAAAAAACAAAAACAAATATTGAGCAAAAAAAAAAGGTTTCTATAATAAAAAGGATAGGGGTATTTTTTTTTACTTAAAAATAAGTATACTCTTTTTTGTCATGATTATTTTGATATGTACCATAATCACCTAAACGTTCATTATTATTATTATTATTATTATTGCTATTCATTTGCTGTTGTTGTGTTTGAGAGATCTTTCTGCCTCCAAGATGCCGAGCTCCGTAAATCTCTCCATATTGATCGTAACGACCTGAACAATTTAAGGCTGTACATAAGAAAATTGTGCTCTTGTGTAGTTTCCAGGGATTTTCAGCGGGTCGTCACACTTTAAAGGTCTATAACTTTGTCTAGAGATAATATTTTTGCTAACTTTTTATATCGTTGTACAGAGGACATTTCAGGCTTTCAAATGATACCAAATAGAGCTTGGCTCGATTTTCCATTCCCATAAAAACCAGGCGACACGACACCCGAGTCGGATAGGCCTCATTTGCTCAGAGTTGGCTCTGATTTTCTTGGACTCGCTTATCCAATCAAGCTCTATTTGGTATCATTTGAAAGCCTGAAATATCCTCTGTACAACGATATAAAAATTTAGCAAAAATATTATCACTAGGCAAAGCCGGAAACTACGCAAGAGCCAAAAAGTTATAGGCCTTTAAAGTGTGATGATCCGTTCAAAATACCCGGAAACTACGCAAGAGCCAAAAATTGTTTCTATACATCTTACATTTTAGATAGATTTAAAGTTGTTTTGTGTTTTTTTTAAAGTTCTTTATTTTTCAATGATTTTTTTGATGAAGAAACCTTGAGCATATTGCGGCGGTTGTGCGGGGATTGTTCCATAAATATTCTCTTGTTGAGGCACTGATCCATAAATGTTATCGACCTGGAAATGCGGTGTTTATAATATTGATCTCACTATTGATCTCGCTATTGATAATATGAATTCAAATTACCCCAATAAACCCATAAATGTTGTCGGGTGGCGGCGGGGGTGGACGAGTTTTCGGTCGAATTGGTGGCGCGTAGATTGGATCGACATTGCGTCCGTAAAATCCCCCATAAATCGCTTCTCCGTAAATATTCTCGGCGGCTTTTCGACGAATCATACCGTATACCTCAAATTTGACTATTTTTTTGCTAAACTTTTTTGCTAATATTGCTAAAATTCTTGAAATCAAAACAGCTTTCTCGAAAAAATTTATCCAATTTTATTTGGAGACACATATTTTCTTTTATTCTTTTAACAAATATACAAAGATTCTTTTTTTTTTTAATATTTTTTAAGTAGACTTACATCATTTTGTTGCCAATAGTGCTCAGTTTTCATTCGAAGGAAATATTTTGAAAGAGCAAACATCGTCATTGAAACGATCAATGAAGAGATGGCAAAGAAAAGTGATGAACTCCATAAAATCTAGAGAAATGATTATGAAGATTTGGCGACAAGTTGCTTTGTTTTCATTTGATGACAATTTTCGTTTCAAAGGCCGAAACTTTTCAGTTTTCTCTTTTACCTGAATTGGTTCCAAGAATTCCGAGCATTTATCCTCAAAAGCCGTCATTAGATTAGACGCAGAAGTGTCAAATGGCAAATTGTTTAACTAAATATGTTGATAAAAATGATGAATTTTGGAGAAAACCTTTAGTTGAGCGATTGGGCAAACGATCGAATGGATGTGGGCATAGAAAAGAGAAAAGCATGAATAGAAAATGAGGAGAGAAGTTGAACAAATCAATGATGTTGATAAAAAGATCTGAAATGAATGAATGAATGAATGACTGACAGAATGAATGACTGAATGACTGAATGAATGACTGAATAAATGACTGAATGACTGAATAAATGACTGAATGACTGAACGAATGACTGAATGACTGAATGAATGACTGACTGACTGAATGACTGAATGACTGAACGAATGAATGACTGAACGAATGAATGACTGAACGAATGAATGACTGAATGACTGAATGCTTTATGAAATCAAGCTAGTATAACTTTCATCTCTATTTTTAACTGAATAAACGGAATAAGTGAATCTCTTTTGTTTACCGTAACCAATCCAATTCGATGAGATCTTGTGCTTCGATCCATTGGATGATACGAATTCGCATAACAAACAACTCCTGTAACATTTAACAATTATTTCTTCTTAACAGTAACAAATTTCTTGACAGATTAACAAATTTTAACATTAAGATCTTGTTTTAAAGATGTTTTTTTTACCAGAAATCACTGCTGCAATCGCGGGGATAACCGTGAAAATCATGAAGAAAGCAATTGGGAAAAAAGAGAAACGATGAAACCAAAAAATGAACTGAATTGATGAAAATATTAAAGATTTAAAGAAAAGAAAACGAACATTTGAGTGAAGTGAATAGAAGACGATCTGAAGATCAGGTGATTCAGATGAGTGAGTCTGAATTTCGATTAAATATTACTTCAAACTTTTAGACATCAGCACTATAAACTACAAGCATGATCAAACTGTCACCCTCCAAACGCTTCTAATTTGCTTCAAATTTGTTGAATTGATATGATCTATAGCTCATCATATAGAGAATTTCAAGGGCTTTCGAATGAACTAAAGCACACCTAGAAAAAGAAATGTTAAAGAAAATTACAGTGTTTTGTAACTAGACTTAATGCGCGACTATGCGCGACTATCCGGTCCGTCAGGTTACAAACCACTGTAACTTTCTCTAGCATTCATTCGAAGCTTTAATCCATTCGAAAGCTCTTGAAATTCTCTATATTTTGAGCTATAGATCATCGCAATTCAACAAATTTGAAGCAAATTAGAAGCATTTGTAGTGCTCATGTCTACAAGGTTTAGGATTCAAACCAGTCGATCCGGTTTCGAGAGTTTCCTTTCGCCTTCATGTTTTGGACGATTCGATGTCAATAGTTTCATGGAGGATTCCTGAAAGTTTAAGCGTATAATATTTCAAAATCGCTTAACAATCTTCATGTCAACTATCTAGAAAACAGGTTTAACTTGATAATGAAACTTGTCAACAGTTAGGTAAGTCTTTTTTTTCTACAAATTCTTACCGTTGTTTGAGTTTCCGTGTCTACAACAGCTTTACTTGTCGATGTTGTACTTGGCATCGAAGTCATCGATAATCCTTTTCTCTTTTCTGTTTCCAAAATAAGATCTCCAAAATCTCGTCTTGTTGAAATCTCGATTTTCTCCATTCTCGATCTCGTGCTTTGATTGATCTCTTTCCCCAAATCTCTTGTACTTCCAACAAAAAGCTTTCTTGTCGTCCGAGTTGTACTCTCTGTCTCTGAAAAAAAGATTTGAAATTTACAAACTCTAAGCCAACCAACCTTTTTGTTCTTCAATCACAGACTGTTCAATCTAAAAGATTATTTAAAGTTTTTAAAGATTTCTTCTTACCAAATTGGGTTCTGTGGTTTGAAATTCAAGAGATTCAAAAGATTCCTCCAGAATTTTCTCTTTACGATCAAAATTTGGATCACTTTTTCTTTTCTTTCCATCTCCTGATTCTTTTGACCAATTTGTTAAATCAACAGAATCTGAAAAGAATTTTGTTTTCATAGATTTACGATTTGATAGATTTGATAGATTTGATAGATTTTATAGATTTTATAGATTTCATAGATTTACTTAAACTCACGTCCTTGTTGCCAATTATTTTGTAAATTGAAAGGTTGACGACTTTTTGCTTGATATGCTTCCATTGCTGAACTGTAGTAACTTGCAGCTAAAAGTGGATACAAAATAAAATAAATGAATCAAGTAAAACCGGGTGTTGATGGGTCCGATTTGACAGTAGTTGTTGTCGATGTTGTTGTCGATGTTGTTGTCGATGTTGTTGTCGTTGTCATGGTTGTTGTGGTTGTGGTAGTTGTTGTTGTTAAAGGCGTTGCCGTTGAAATACTTGAAGTAATGGAATCTAATCTCAAAGAGTTTCAACTTTTGCACATTAACATACTCGTTATTGGTTTTCTAGTAGTCCGATAAGAAGTCGAAATCCTTGTTTGAAATGTGGATATACTTGAGATTCTTGTCGTAGATCGAGGCTCTAAAAATAAGTTAAAGAAGTGTCAATATTGAAAATAATTTTACGAAGTTTGGCATGGCTATGGCCAACTAAGAGCTTTGAGCTCTGGCTAAGAGCTTTGAGCTCTGGCTAAGAGCTTTGAGCTCTGGCTAAGAGCTTTGAGCTCTGGCTAAGAGCTTTGAGCTCTGGCTAAGAGCTTTGAATCTAAGTCTGGACCTCAAGGGTCGAATCTCAAGATCTCAAGGGTCGAAAAAGGAAATACATTTTCCTTTTTCTTTTCTTTTACTGACTTTTTCCTTTACTTTTTCCATCTATATTTTTTTTAATATTAGCGGACATCTATAGGACTTAGTGGTTGTGCTTGTGTATTGTTTTTATCACATTTATTTTCCAATCAAATTACTCTAACTGACCAGTTGTAGTTGTTGTGATGAATGGAGCTGATGGAGAGAGATACGATGAGGTTTTCGGTGAAATTGTCATCACTTCTTTGGCCAATAATGGTCTTCCACCAGGGATCTGTAGGGGGGAAATGATGAATGAGAATAAAGATATAAAGATCAAACTTTATCCTTTCTATAATCGAAAACTTTTCTTTCATTTCACCTGTGCTAGGGTATTTGGTGGCAGATCGACTCGTTTAAAGATCACTCTTGTAATTTCATTTTTCATTGTTGTTTCTTGAGGTTTCTCTTCAGTTTTCCCTTGAGCTTTCTCTTCAGTTTCCTCTTCAGTTTCCTCTTCAGTTTTCTCCTCAGTTTTCTCTTGATTCCCATTCTCATCTTCATATTCGATTTCTTCTTTTTCACCAATGACATCAGATCTGATAAAAATCAATTATTAATAATGTTTTTTTTTTTTTTAAACCGATCAATATCGACTCGATTGTCGAGAATTGGCGGAAGCCATTGTTCGACTGATTTTGAGCGAAGAGGCTAAATTAAAGTATAAACGGTATTTTCCTGTTATACTTCCGCAAAATTTACAAATTGCATAGATTTAGACAAAGTAAGGAAAAGCCTGAAGAAGGTGTTCTTGGTGCGCGCGCACAATCGCTCTTGATCTGGCATACCGGTCTGGTAGAAGGTGGTTCCCTTTAGAAATCCGTCAAAAGCAATGAGTAGTCAGCGTCTGGTCAGTTTATCCGTTTAAGGGACCGCTATGCTCAACTTTTTTGAGGTCAACTTTGCTTCAAATTTGGCTGCATTTTTCTACAAATAAGTTAAACTTTGAATTGCCTCTTATGCCTTTTATGCCTTATAAAACTCTTTCGAATCTAATTTCCCAAAATAAAGCACCCCTTACCGAAATCGTTTGTATTTTCTTCTGTTCTTTCCATAATTCGGCTTTGATTTTTCCATTTAGTGGCTGAATGGTAGTTTGCTAAAAAGATAATATTATTTAATCCATTAAAAAATCTTCACTTCTTCATCATAATCATCTTTTCGACCAAAGAGTCCCAATGGAATCGGTTTACTCGTTGTGATCGCTCGATTGTTTAGCGTGGCGATTCGTTTATTCGTCTAAAATAAGTGTTGAGTTGAAAGAACTTTATCAATTTTTGTGACTTCATTTATTATTTGATTTGTTTAAAAAGAAACCTTTAGTTGCTCTTCTTCAGAATATTCGTACTCTTCATCAATTACATTTGGTGGAGTAGTTGAAGTGATTCTTCTAGAATCGGATTGGTTAAAAAGGGTTAAAAAATTTTGAAACAATAAAAACAATGCTCGATTCTGTACTATTTTGATGATATTTATGATATTATCTGTAATTTATTTTCGAAATCTTTATAAATCTGCTAACTTTTTATATATGTTGTGTCCGTTTTAGATTTCCGTCCGTTTAGATTCAATCTAAATCGGACGTCCGATTTAGATTGAACTTATCGCGGACGTCCGATTTAGATTACAGTCTATATCGGACGTCCGATACAGATCGAACAATAATAAACGTGCTTAATATATGTTCTTAAGCGTTTTTTTGCAATTTTCTGCCCTTTTCAAAGAAATTTTCAAAGAACATATGTTAAGCACGTTTATTATTGTTCGATCTGTATCGGACGTCCGATATAGACTGTAATCAATAAAAGACCTTTGAAAAATGCAGAAAACTACAGAAAACGCTTAAGAACATATATTAAGCATGTTTATATTATTGTTCAATCCATATAAGATTTAGATTGAATCTAAATCGGACGGAAATCTAAATCGGACACAACATATACACTACTGGACAATGAAATATGATATTTGAAAAAAAGATCGTCACTTTCGCGCGTCCGTAACTCCCTTGTCTTTACCGTATTTCTAAATATTATTAGGTTGGCAAGTTATAAACGATCGTTTTTGGGTAATGTGTTTTCTGAAAAAACGGCTTATCCAATCATTCCAAAACGGTTTACTTGATTCAAAAGCCCTACCCTTAATCTACAAGATGGCTTTTTTGAATTTTTGAAAGCCGTTTTTTCAGAAAACACATTACCCAAAAACGATCGTTTATAACTTGCCAACCTAATAATATTACCATTGTGTAGCCATTGAAAAGAGCTTTCAGAAAATGTATAATACTAGTAGTTTAAACTCAAAGACAAGGGAGTTACAGACGCGCGAAAGTGACGATCGTTTTTCAAATATTATATTTCATTGTCCAGTACTGTACTTAGCCGTCGTGGATGGAGTTGAAAGCGCCTTTTAGAGAGCTTGAGTTTGTGGTATTGACTTGAGTCAATACATAAATCAAGATTTCATTTTTGAGACTTAATCGGCTAGCCGAAGAAGTCTGAGACTTCTTCGGCTGAAATTCTTCATCGGCTACGACATATATACCTGGCCGTCGTGGATAGAGTTGTTGTGGTGATTGGTGGAGTGATCGGGGCAATCCCTCTATTAATTCCCGTTCTTCTGAAAAAGAATCATTTCGAAAAGAGAAAAGAGATCAAACTTTTATTCCTTTTGTTTTTTTTTATTTGATTTGTTTGATTGATTAATTTGAAATGAATCTTCCTTTTGAATAAACCTCAAAAATGAAATCGGAATCGAATATGGAGATGTCGATGGTCGTCTTGTTGTCTTCATTTCTTCACTTTCTTCTATTTTTTCCTCTTCAGATGCATCATATTGCATATATTCTAACTAAAAAAACAATCTATATTTGATTTTTTGTGGTTTGATTTAAAAGCCTACAAATTTGCAAGTTTTAATATCGTAAGAATGGAGAAAAACAAAATATACAACGATTTCTTGAATGTTATTTATTCCTTTAGCATTATTGGCGCTGTCCTGCCAATTTATGAAATCCATAGCACAGTCCAAACTCATTTAATGCGAGTATACTGTATTTTTCTTCATAAAAAAAAAATCAAACCTCAGCTTTTGGCCTCAACGGTATTGTGATCTGTTTTCGCGGCTTTTCATAGTGAATCGGGCGAATATTCAACATGTCGTTAGCCTTCTAAAATCATTCTTTTAAAAATTTACCAAGAAATAAGCGAATATCGAATTCCGTTACTCACCGATTCAATCGTATACGGCAAATGGATCTGATTTGTACTCGTTGCCGATCGATTTTTCACCGACTCTCTCATCGGTTTATTTAATCGTGGTGTTGTTGTTGTGGAATCATCAATTTTAAAAGCTTTCTCGTCTTTTTCTTTATTTATTTGATCCATTTGAAGATCTTTTCCGATTGGAACTGGCGCGTTTATCTGAATTTTTTCTACTTTTCAATATTTCCCCCTTCACTCAATTCACCCAATCATTTTATCAAAAAGGTACAAACGGTTTTGGAAGATTGTGGGATATTTAATAAGCCCCGCCCCTTTTACCATTCGATCTAACTTTCAGCTCAAATCTCTTGGTGTTGGACTGTTCAATTTAAATAGTTTTTATACCAATCGACAGAGAAAGACTTGGCGCATCTAATGATATCAAGAATATTTCCCTAGCCTAGCCCAACACCAAGAAATTTGAGCTAAAAGTTAGAACTAATGGTAAAAGAGGCGGCGCTTATCAAATTTTTGATAGTCGTTTTGAAAAGAAACCTTTGGACTGAGTGTTGTCTCAAAAATAATCGGTTTCTCAGATGCAGGCAATTCCTCAAAATTCCCATTATAATCATCATCATTAAAAAGAGCAGCCAATACACTCGATTCCCTCTTTGAACGATATCTTTAAAAAATATGTATAGAAAGTAAAAGATCAATATATTTACAATCGATAGAAATTCGTTGAATCGTCTTGAAGAGAATAGTTTGAGATTAGAACCGAATCTTGATAGTATTCACTATTCCAATAAGTTACACCTAAAAGTATATTCTCTATGAAGAAAATGGTAATCATTATTACCGGAATAGATAAATGATATACTACTGGATGCCATGATTACCCAAGAAACGAGAAATATTGTGAGATGAATGGTGAATGAACGAGCTGAAGTGGGATGAGACTGAAAAAAGAGATTCGATGAGTTTAAATTGACATTGACAATTGGCATTGACATTGGCAATTGGCATTGACATTGACAATTGACAACTAGAAGCTGGGGAAAGAGTTTCTTTTTTTTTTAGTCTAGAAAGCTTTTAGAATTACCCTAAAGTCTCGAGTATAAGTTGATCCGAGTATAAGTTCTGCCTTAATTTACATTCGCTTTAATTGCTTTGAATTTCTTTTTGTTGGGTTTTTATACATTTTTATTGTTATATAAACTTTTATTATTGTTCTTGGAGCGCGGGATACTACAGGGTGACAGCCTATCACCATTGCTAGCTGACAGCCTATCACGATTCCTAGCTGACAGCCTATCACCATTGTTATGTGCATGGATACATCCAGACGATAGTGTTGAAGAAGACGCTGGAAAGCATCTCTTTCGACCGTCGACGTGGACTTTGGCTGGATGAAGAGGCCAGGGAGGGATCCATAAGACTGAGCACCGGAGAGGAGCAGGGCGGACGCGCCGAGCCACGCCCGGAGCAACAAATAACAGCATGAAATTGCTATAACCCTCAATAAATTTGCTTCTATTATTGTTCTTAAAAAGCAAAAAAGTTATGCTGCAGCGGGGTTCGAACCCTCGACACACCGCACCGGAGACAGCCGTCAATTTGCATGCGAAAACCAAACAGAACTTATACTCGCGACTTTAGGGCAAATTATTTATGTTATCAAATTGTTTGTTTTCGAGTTTTCATTGAATTCAATTGAATTCAATTGAATTCTTTACTTTAAATTCTCTTACCTGATACCTTCTTGCTCCACATTTTCCATAAAAACGACAAGTGAGTAGAGTGATTGTTGAAGAGAGAAAACCGATTGTTAAAAGAAAACCGAACAAAAGAAATGTGAGAAGAAATGGTTGAGTCGAGACATGTTCACTCACAACACTTTCAGAAAGAAGACTGCTCTAAAATTATTTTCTAATCTTTTTGATCTTTTTTTTTCAATCTTATAATATTTAGATGAATATAATCTATTCATCTTTTCACTTCTTTTCACTTCTTTTTCCTTTTCTTTGACCATTTTATTTGTTTGTCGATCTTTTTGTCAATGTGCCGAATTTGCGGACACTTGAAAAAAAAAAAGATTCTTGCACAATAGAAGAGGAAAGATTGAACAAGGAATTTGTTTAACAAGAATTGTGTAATCACATTCTCTTCATGCTCAAGGCCTGAACTTAGTTCTTGTAATAAATAAAGTCTTAAACAGTTCAAACACATCTTTACAGCTGATTCAGGATCAGTATGAGAAGAGAAAGAAAGGAGACTTTGATTTTAGACAAAGAGAGTTGCTTGTGTGGAGAACGTTTCCCTTTAGCCTATCCATTCTCTTTACATCGAGTGTTCTTCACACTCTCCTTTCCCCCCACTTTTTCTGAATATTCTTTTGTGCTTGTACTTCGGTGTATTTGTATTCAAAAAGCTATCCCGGAAATGGGTCATGAACCTTTTTGGGTTGTTGAAAAAGGGGAAATGTGAGAATATTTACAGAAAAGGGGAAGTCAAGTGGGATTCACATTAGAGAAGTCAACACACACACAATACTCATCTCATCCTTTTCAACCGGTTTTTTTTTCCTTTCTTTTAAGTAAATAGAGCAATTCGGATTACTTAGATTTTTGTTTTTATGCGCTTATTTTTTTCTATAAAAAAAAATGAAAATTTTAGTTTTGTAATCTGTAAAAACTTTGCAAATAAATACAAATTTCTACATTGAAAGTGTAAATTTTAAACCGGAATACTCGATTGGATGACACTGAAATTGGCACAGGTGAATTGAACAGGGGAGGAAAAAAAAAACTGAAATCTCTCCGAAAAGGGGATGAACTGTTGTTGAAAATTGGGGCAAATAGGTGGCTCTCACTTGAAAAAAAAAACGAAATGTTGAAAAGGAAATGAAGTGAAAAAGAGAAGAAAAACAAGTGGATTTTCTCGGATTAGAAAAGGAGAACAAAGAAAGATTTAGATTTAGAAAGAAGTCCTCTCAATCATCATTTACATCAATCAGATCAGAAAGAAAGATCAGCAAGACCTATTTTCAAAGAAAAATACAAAAAGAAAGGCTTTTCAAAGGTACGGTAAAGCGTAAAAGCTCGATAATCAAATAGAAAAGAAAGTAAGTCTGAAGATTCTGTCAGATTCTGTCAGATTTGATTTTCAAATAAAAGCTAAATCCCTCACCGAGTCCTTGATTTCCTCAGCTATCGTTCTGCTCGTTTCCACATCGTATTTCAGCGTGATAAAATCCACGAAATATTGTGATATTGAGCCTAAGAAAGAGTTTAAAAAAAAAAAGGAAAATTGAAAAGTAATCTACCGGATTTCATTTGTGGAATTGAGTAGATAGAATTATCTCATCTAAATATTGATAGAATGATAGAATGATAGAATGATAGAATGATCAAAGATATCTCGAGTTCATAAATGGGAAAAGGGGATGAATATTGGAGAAAGAAGGATTGGGGAAAGGAAAGAAGAAAAAGTGAAATGTGGGTGGGGAGAATCGGGGGAAAGAGGGGTATTCGGGGGGTGAATGGGCAGAAAAGAGGAAAGGGATTTCGATCACTATTGTATTAGTGACAACCTATTTTCGATTTAAGCTCAAATTTTGGTCAAACGATGTGTAACAACAAAAGCGAGAAAGCGAGAATTTTTCTGTAAAGTCATTTACAGTTGTCTAAATCACAAGAAATTTACAAAAGAGTAGTTGTAGTACTGTATGATTGTTTGATTAAGATTTCCGCTTAAAGGATAAGATCGAGTTAATCAAATTCCATTCATACATTCACAACTTAAACTGGTAGCTGAGTTTCAATCGATCGTCTTATTTATTGGGTTGGTGAATTGAAAACTGCGGGGCTATTGTCATATGTGACAGTTTGAGCACTTTCTTCAAAAGAAACCCATTTTGGTCTCAATGGAAAAGTTGTAGAGAATCAAAAATCAAGCTTATATCCAAATTTTCAGAACGATTCAAAAACTGGTTTTGAAGAAATACCAAATTTATGAAAATGATGGTTGCTCTAGCTGCTTCAGCTGCTGCATGTACTCTATCAGCAGCTTCTGTTATCTTCCATCGTCCCAATTTGATCGTCACTTTTCCAACGCAAGCCTAGATATGTTTAGGTATGTTTTTTTAAAAATTAATATATTGGGTTGGTGAATTGAAAACTGCGGGCTATTGTCATATGTGACAGTTTGAGGACTTTCTTCAAAAGAAACCCATTTTGGTGTCAATGGAAAAGTTGTAGAGAATCAAAAATCAAGCTTATATCCAAATTTTCAGAACGATTCAAAAACTGGTTTTCAAGAAATGCCAAATTCACGAATTTTCACAAAACTTGCATTTTAAGCGAAACTACTAAGTGTATCTTTTTGGAAATTTGGCTATAAGCCTAATTTTTGATTCTCTACAACTTTTCCATTGATACCAAAATGGGTTTCTTTTGAAGAAAGTGCTCAAACTGGGACATCGGACATCTTCAGTCCTCGATTTTTGAGTCTCACACTTGTCTCACACAAAAACCAAAATCCTACTACGAAAGAGGAATCCGCAAATTGCCTGTAAAATCGGCAGAAGTCGTCAATAATAATGGGAATTATTTGGAATGAATTTATGGTTTTATGTTGAATAAATTTTAGTTCAAAGTCCCACAGTTTTCAATTGACCAAGCCAATATAAGGGCCAGTTCAAGGCTTGGTTTCTAGCTGATCAGATACTTTGGCTTTTTTAAAACCTCAAAAAATTGAGCTAAGTAAAATCTGAATACTTGAGCTAAACGTTGGGAAAGTAAATATAATCCGCAAGAATTGGTTTCAATTCTGAGCCTTTTCGTTTCTTTTGTGTAATTCCTTTGTGTAAGAAGGGGAAATCGTTGAAGTGACCTGTTTGGGAAGAAAAAAAAGAAAAAAGAAAAACTATAAGCGGATGTGTGAACGTTTTGTGCGCAATTAAGCAACTTTTCTCGATTTCACAAAACAATTTACATACAGGTCATGCAGAGGAAATGACTGGAAAGCTAAGAAATGAAAAAAGCAATGAAAAGGAATAAACTTGAAAAACTTGGGAGACTTTGCAAAGCTCACTCACTTGCTGAATTTATATGGATAATATATGAAAAAGACGAATTTACATGAAAAGAAACAGTCGATTTTATAGCAAGATTACAGAATAAGTAGTAATCAGAAGATTCAAGATCAGGACTATATTAGCATTGGACTTTTGGCTTTATTGATCTCTAATCTGTAGCTAAATTTGGCTAAAATCTGCTGATCGATAGCTGATCAAGTGCTTTGAAGAAAACTGAGCCTGCGTAGCATATTGAACCGGATTAGACGGGGGTTTCATTGGACCTTGGTCTACAAAGCCTTGCCTACAAGGGCTTGCTTACAAGGGCTGGGCCCAGGCTGGCCTAGAGCCAAGTTTTACTGGATCTTGTAATTGAGATGATGGATGAACCATCATCTCAATTACAGAATTACAATTACAGAATGTATAATGTAAATTTAATTAATAATGACACAAAAATGAATGACGATTTACATTAGAAAGTTGAGAAATGAAAGAGTTTTGATGAAGATAAGGTCTAGGAGATCAAATGGGAAATCAATCAAAATAAAAAGAGAAATGAGAAGGCGCGAAGCGTGACGCTCTCACAATTCAGAGGAAAATGAAAGAGATAGGAGATTGGAGACAAATGAATGATGAGAATGATGAGAGTAGTGAAGAGACCATCTATGGGGAATAATTACAAAAGGGGGAAAAGAAGAGAAGAAGCCGATAGACGATACGCAAACAACGACTGGACAGTGAGGGGGGGAATTGGGTGAAGAAGAGACTTCACAAGATACCCCCCACTCTCGAGATGAGTGCCCGTACCCATCTGGGGGGAAACCAGTCATTCTTTCTTTCTTTCAAGTAGCTATTGGGTTGGTGGGTATGAAATTATTTCGCTAAAAATCAACAACTAATTTATTCAATATTTTACATGAAATGTAAAATTTAGAAGTGAAATGTTCTCTATCATTCAAGTGTTCTCTATCATTGAAGTATTCTTTATCATTGAAGTATTCTCTATCATTGAAGTGTCCTATATTCATGAAGTGTTCTCTATTATTGAAGTATTCTCTATCATTGAAGTATTCTCTAAGTGTTCTCTATTACTTTGAATAACTTTTACCCATTTTACTGGCAAAGATCGGATGCCTCTCTTATAGAAAATTTTTGATTTTAATGCGAACCAATTCGTAAGCCACTTTTTAACATCATCTCTGGAATCAAAGCGTTTATTGGTCATTGCTCGGAATAAGTAGTAATCAGAAGATGCAAGATTATGATTATATGCTGGATGGACCATCATCTCTCATTTAATTACGTTTAGAATGAGTCATCTTCGAAAAGTGTAGTCTAGCTTTATCATCTTGATGGATGAGGTTTCTCTTTTGAATCTTTGGGAAAGATTTAGCCAACTTGTTAAGTTGCTCGGAGTATTTGATTTAGTTAAATGTTGTCTTGCCATCCAAAAGTTCCCAGTAGATGGAGTCTTTCAAATCCCAGAACACCGAGAATTTCTTCACATACCCATTTGGCATAACGTCATTTTCACTATCGACTTTTTAAATGATAGATTTCCCTAAGCGTGTATCGAAAATCCAAGTGAATAGCGTGAAATCTTTATTGATAATCATCAAATTTCGAGATTGTTAATCAAATCGATCACAAAATCGATCATTCACAAAAACCCGAGAATAATTATATGATAAAACATCTAAACTTCACATACCCATTTGGCATAACGTGATGTTCGGGTAGGATTTTGGTTTGTGTGTGAGACAAGTGTGAGACTCAAAAATCGAGGACCAGTCCTCGATTTTTGAGCCAAAAGCCAAAGTATCTGATCAGCTAGAAACCAAGCCTTGAACTGGCTCTTATATTGGCTTGGTCAATTGAAAACTGTGGGACTTTGAACTAAAATCTATTCAACATAAAACCATAAATTCATTACAAGTAATTTCCATTATTATTGACGACTTCTGCCGATTTTCCAGGCAATTTGCGGATTCCTCTTTCGTAGTAGGATTTTGGTTTTTGTATGAGACAAGTGTGAGACTCAAAAATCGAGGACTGGAGATGTCCGATGTCCTAGTTTGAGTACTTTCTTCAAAAGAAACCCATTTTCGTGTCAATAGAAAAGTTGTAGAGAATCAAAAATTAGGCTTATAGCCAAATTTCCAAGAAGATACACTTAGTAGTTTCAAGTGTTTAATTTCGATTAAAACTCAAGTTTATGCAAATGTTCAAATATTTTTTATATCATCAACTAATAACTCTTTTGCTAAGAAAGCTTGTTGTTGGTTTGAAGAATTTCGAGTAATTTTGTCATTATCATTATCCAGTTGGACTGCTGGACTGCTGGATGACCCTTTGTCTTCGAGGATTTATCCCCAGAACGGAATTTAGCAAACCAGTTTGCACATGTCCATAGTGCAGCTTATTCTTTCACATTTTCAAAAATTAGCTGAACACTAGTGGCCTTTACGACCTTGTAGAAATTCGTACAACATAACGCGTCGCAAATTCAGATTATCAATAGTTAATCCAGATAGCAGATTATCAATAGTTCAAAAGTTGAGACAATTTCGAAATAACAGAAAGTGAGGAAGCCTGTTTTTATTGTTTTTGGAAAAGTGTTCTTGAATTTATTAGTTTCACGCAACAGCCTTTACTTCCATTTTTGTTTACGTGTTTTGGAATGAATCGTAAAAATAGCGACTTTTCATACCCACTGATCCAATGAAGCCTTTTGTTTGTGATTGGAAAATCACTCGAATGAGTCTATAATTTGACTGTGTCTAGGTTATAGGTTGTTGTGTGAAAAAAAATTGGTGTAGGGGAATGGATGGAAAAGAGAAAGGGGATTCACAGAGCCCGGGACCACCCATCACGTTTCCTTTTGGCTATTTTACCCGAAAGCTGATAGGGTTCTCCGGAAATTCTCTATTAAAGTGGATAAAAAGTCTAAAAACTTCAAAAAAATAGCTTAAATTCCTTTTAGACTGTTGCCAAAGCTTACACGAATGAAAGATTGAAAGACAAGAATCAGCAAGCCAGCTGAAAAATCGATTACTAAAGGAGGGGATTTGATTGAAAAGTGGGAATGAGTTTTTTGGTAAGCATGAGGGTACAAGAGATAAGGAATGAATCAACAGTTTAATTTCAGTTTAATTTCAGTTTAACTTAGACACATTAGCTACACTACTGGACAATGAAATATCATATTTGAAAAACGATCGTCACTTTCGCGCGTCTGTAACTCCCTTGTCTTTACCGTATTTCTAAATATTAATATTACCATTGTGTAGCCCTTGAAAAGAGCTTTCAGAAAATGTATAACACTAATTGTTTCAACTCAAAGACAATGGAGTTCCAAACGCGCGAAAGTGACGATCGTTTTTCAAATATGATATTTCATTGTCCAGTAGTGTATATTAAAATAAAAAAATTATCAGATAAACTTCAGGATTACGACGATCAAACACGTCTCGAATTGATACATCGTGATCAAGAAGATGAACTCTATCGAGAATTTGATGATAATAGAGTGAAAGAAAAAGAACAATTCGAAAGAGAAACGAGGGTTAGTTTAAAGCAAAAAACAGAATGCGCTGAAATGCATCAAAAAATACCGTATTTCTAAATATTAATATTACCATTGTGTAGCCCTTGAAAAGAGCTTTCAGAAAATGTATAACACTAATTGTTTCAACTCAAAGACAATGGAGTTACAAACGCGCGAAAGTGACGATCGTTTTTCAAATATGATATTTCATTGTCCAGTAGTGTATCCGTATCCATTTTGGAAAAGTAAAAGTAAAATTCGAGCTTTGATATCATCAAATGAGCCTTGTGATTCCTCGTCGAAACGCCAATTGAAAATTGAATGAAATTGAATGAAATTGAATGAAATGGCAGCTTGTTTACGATAGTTTTGTGTCGCATTCCTTTCAAATATGATATTTCATTGTCCAGTACTGTAGCTATAAATGCAAAATATTGTAGATTTGGATGTTTAAAATGAAAATATAAATTTATTTCATTATCGACTTTTTAAATGATAGATTTCCGTGTATCGAAAATCCAAGTGAATAGCCTGAAATCTTTATTGGTAATCATCAAATTCCGAGATTGTTAATCAAATCGATCACAAAATCGATCATTCACAACAAACAACCCGAGAACAATTATATGATAAAAAAAACATCTAAACTTGAGCCTTTTCATAGAAAAAGTCAGCATTTAAATCTTTCGAAGTTCCAGTCAAGAGTTACTAATGTTGAAAAGAAGATTTAAATCGTATTGGAAAAAGCTGAAAGAAAAGATGAAAAAAAAAGCAGAATCTTGTTGCTTTAAAGTTTTTCTTTTATCGATAAAAATTTATTTCACCATTATAAATCGCTTTTCATCAATGAAAACCACAATAAACTTTATTCGAATACGCAAAAGAAAAATGATCAATGACTAGGATGTTGCAAGAAAAGAAAAGAAAGAAATGTGAAAAGAAATGAATCATGGAAATCGGTGGAGAGTTGAATGAATAAGTGAAAAGAAGAAGAAGAGTTGGAAAGAAGAAGAGAAGAAGAAGAAGAAGAAGAAGAAGAAGAAGAAGAAGTGGATATTGAGTTGAAATTTGAAATATATACATTTGTGGATATTTTGATAAGAAAAATTGAATGAAAAACAAAAAAAAAAGAGAGAAAGAATGAGAGAAAGAATGAGAACAGCACACCGGCAAGAAGGGGAGCACACAAAAAAGAAGAAAAGGAAATGCTTTGGGGGAAAGGGTACCAAAAAAGGGAATTTGTAAAAGGAATTTGAAAAAGGAAAATCTAATATCATGAGCTTTGAAAGATGTTCAGTTGACTCTTGAATGAATCAAGTATTTGCAGCAATGGGTCAGAAGTTGGCGAGAGCCGGGAGAACCGTCGTTTTGCCTAAAAATTGACAATATTTTGCAAATGTTGACAATGCTTTTTTTTAATTCCCACCTTGTATAAATATCCAATCCATATTGTCCATCTTCGGGGAAATCGACAAAAATTTGCACGAAATCCCCACGAATCGAGCATCGAGTACAAGGCGCAAGACTGCGGTCATCGGTTCGATTACGGTGCAGAGAAGCGACGAATTCGGTCAATGGACGGCTCATTCTAGAAATTAATAAAGATAAAGATTAATAAAGATTAATAAAGACTATTAATAAAGATTATTAATAAAGATTATTAATAAAGATTATTAATAAAGATTCTAGATAATAAAGCTTTATTATCTTTATTAATCAAAATTTGCTGAACAGCTCGCTTCCGGGTCTTTTGAGTCGAGTTTAAGCGTCCTTTCCAACGACACTCGTGGTCTATTGGATAGTGTGGCTGACTATAGAGCCGACCGGGTCTTTTTTGGAGTGGGTTCGAATCCTCCACTTGACAAACAGATTCGGATTAAAGATTTTTATTACAGCTTTTTATTGCAGAAATCGAATTCAAGCTTTTGATTACAGATTGAGATTCCCCGTTTGATTTTGTATCGAATGGGATGCGTCTCGTTTTGAAACACTTCTCTAGTCAATAGTTTCTGAACCCACTTGAATCGAATTTCAGCAGTTCGATTCGTGTTGATGATCGGTTCGGGATGGGAAATGGCGTCAAGACCAAAAAGACGTCTTGCCTAAAGAAATTGGATTGGATGGAAGATGACTCTTGAAATAAAAGAATAAAAAAAATGAAATGATTCCATAAACGCTCACCTTTGCCGGTCCCCACTCTCCACTTGCACATTCAGGCAAGGGCACCATTATCACCGATAATTCTTCACACATTATCTAAAGAAATGCTTGAAAGCTTGTTGTGAGAAAGTTTTTACTTTAAACTTGCAGACACTTTTGAATTTGATTGGTTGACCAGTGAGATAATGACCTGGAAATGATGATAATGACCTTTTTCGAGATTTTCTTAATTTTATACCTGAAGATACAGAATTCGCAAAAATGTCTAATAGCAGGGGACGAGGTGCGGGAGCGTGCACACGAAATGAGACAACCTGAATGGGGGAAATGAATAGAAAATCATGGAATTTTATATCATTGCATAGATATCATTTATATTCATAGAGAGATTGATCTTTCGATCATTCTTGTCTTTCAACTAACCCGATCTCCGACCGATTGCATGACGAATCGTTTCAATGAAAGACCATTCATTGATGTGTCCTCTGAGTCATAAAATCTAAAAAAAAAATGAATTAGCTTATTAATTTAAAATTTAATCTAATAATTTACTTGAGATTATAGTGAAATATCAAGTCCTCAGCTCCGATATCGGGTAAACGAATCGACACCGAAGCTGCACCAGTTCGATCGGTCTAAAGGATTGATTGATTGATTGATTGATTGATAATGATATCAAATATTTAAACTTACATAAATAACACTTTCCAATGTATCATCAGTGAAAGATAAACCATATTTGAAGAAAAGCGAGCGGACAAATGGGATTCGTTCAAATTGTGACAACGACAATGGACGAGGGAGGAGTTGCCATGATGGATCGGAAGGGAAAAATTCGTAGATGAATTCCTGAAATCAAGATTTTTATTTCAAATAAGACTTTTTCTTAAATCAACCTCAGGATCAGTCATAAAATAGTGATCATCGTATTCGTAGCGGAGATTTCCGTCATTTCCTTTTCCGCTCAATTCTCCTTCTTTTGCATTCCTGAATGAGTGCTCGATATTAGAGCTATCTTTTTAATGTTATCAATCACTTTATATCAACTATTCTTCTCATTTTTTTGGTTCTTCTAGGTCTTTTCTAGCTCTTTTTTTGGTTAATCCGGGTCTTTTTTTGCTATCATAGGCAAAACCCAAAGCCAATTCGATCCTTTTTTGAGCCTATATTCTCCAACTCCGAAATATCGAAAGACTTTGTCGGGAGAACACCGGAATATCAATGATGTAGCGTCTATATGGCTTTATCGGATATTGAAGAACGGAGTCAACTTTCCCAGTTGGTCTCAACCTTGAATTTCTCGGCTGGTTTTAATACGCCAGAATTTGAATTTGTCGGAAACATAATAAGAAATTCAAGCGTAAAAAGCGATCACAAAAATTTCCAACAAAGCGACGCCTTGGTCATCTTAACGGCTTAACGGAAAAGGGACCAGCCATCCATCGGGGACTTGTGCCAGAAGGCGAGCGATTACGCCTCCGCACAAAGAACACTGCGCAAGTCTGCCTTTGGGTTTTCAGGGTCGTAGAACCTATTGGTGGAGTTTATTTTCACTCTTTGTCCGAAGAAAAGTTTCAAGAGAATCGAATTGGCTTTGAGTTTTGTAAATAATAACTTTTCACAATGAAAAGATCCGGATTTCCGAAAAGAATCGATTTTTCTCTTCAACTTACACAAGATGTCTTGCTCCCCAATTACACTGAACAAATCGCCAATTTCCATCCAAATACGCAGCATTCCATGTGTTTCTGAAGCGATAACTTCGCTCATCGAATCTGGAAAATAGGCATAACTTGTTGATTGTTAAGAAAAAAATCTTAAAAGTTCTATTTTCTGAAGCTTAAAAGCCCTAGGAGGTGTTTGGAATGTTCCTGTGCACCGGTTGTAAGGTTACGAGTGCAAACACATATTCTTAGCGCAACTCACTTCAATCCCGGTTGATACCCAGCACTCTTCGAGAAACCCTTTATGACAACACTGTGTAAACCGGCATAACTAAATAACACCTCTTCAAGAGTGTTTTCAAATGAAAAAAAACAAACCTGCAAAGTCTTTTGAATAAAACATGATAACTCTCGGTTCCATATTTGATTCCCCTCAATAAACCCATCGGCGAATCACTGTCCAAACCCTCTTCAAAAGTCATCGTATTCAGATTTTTGATTGTAATCCATCGATAGATTGCTCTAGAGATTTGTTTTATGATTTTATGATTATAGGAAATTTGCCCGCCCCCTTTCCCATTGACAATCCAACTTTAAGCTCAAATTTCTTGGTGTTGGGCTAGGCAATTTAAATAGTTTTTGTACCAATCGACAGAGAAAGACTTGGGGCATCTAATGATATCAAGAATATTTCAATTCAATAGCACAACACCAAGAAATTTGAGCGTAAAGTTAGATTGTCAATGGGAAAAGGGGCGGGGCTTACCAAATATCTAATAAGCTTTCTTTATTAAGTTAATCATAAAACAATTTAAATAAAATTTTGAAGAATATCCAAACCTAGCTTTATCCACATCACAAGTGGCATTATAGGTGAGAATTCGGATTAATTCGGTGAATGAGGTGAACTCCGAATGGGCAATATCAATGGCAACTTGATCGATCGATTCAAAAACCTATATAAAGAAATAAAGAAATAAAGAAATAAAGATATTCAGCTATTCGAAAAGAATAAGAGAAAGCTTTTCAATGAAATCTTTTTAAAGACAAACATCAGTTGATGTGTAGACCATCTTTTTGGGACAAGATGGAGGAGCGGGTGGTGGTGGAGTGGCTGGATAAGCGGGCAATGAGGGATCGTTCTCGGAATCACCATTCTAAAATCAAAATTATAATCAAAGAACATGTTTATCAAGTGTTTATCGATTAAATTCGGTTTAAAAAACAAAAAAAAATCGAAGCGCCTACTTGCAAGCGACTCATTTTAAAGAGTTCCAACATTTCCCTTGCTTGCGCATCCACCAATTCGGCTGTTTTGTGACGTTCACGCTCCTAAAATTGTGATTTATCAAATAAACATTTCAAATTTTTATTTTTCAGCCCACTCTTCTCCTTTGTGTGATTGTTTCCAATTTTTTATCTCTTTTGATAGTCAATTGTCGAATGAGATCATCTTTCGCCACTTTATTCGCCTGTCCTTTCTCGAATTTTTTTGCAAATTCAGCCAATGCTTGTTCCCATTCTTCCTAGAACTTCGATGAATATTTGCTTTTTTTTTTTTTGCTTTAAACTAACCCTCGTTTCTCTTTCGAATTGTTCTTTTTCTTTCACTCTATTATCATCAAATTCTCGATAGAGTTCATCTTCTTGATCACGATGTATCAATTCGAGACGTGTTTGATCGTCGTAATCCTGAAGTTTATCTGATAAAAATGTATTATCCGATATGTATTCGCTTTTGCGATGGGAAATCATTCGTAGTTCTTGGACACCTACACTACTGTACAATGAAATATCATATTTGAAAAAAGATCGTCGCTTTCGCGCGTCTGTAACTCCATTGTCTTTGAGTTTAAACTATTAGTGCTATATATTTTCTGAAAGCTCTTTTCAAGGGCTACACAATGGTGATATTAATATTTAGAAATACAGTAAAGACAAGGGAGTTACAGACGCGCGAAAGTGATGATCGTTTTTCAAATATGATATTTCATTGTCCAGTAGTGTAGATACTTTATTCAGGAGCTGAGCTAAAGTGCGCTAGATTTAAGATTAAAACACATGAATTCATACACATAACACGAGAAGGGCCGATAAAAAGCAACACAATATAATATAATACATGTAATAGATGGATAGCACAGATAACGTCAAGGATCCACTAGAGCTTTAAGATCAAGATCATCTACAGAAAATTTAAAGGTTTCGAGACTATTGGACTCTCTCAAAACTCTGGGGAGTCGATTCCAAATTCTGGCAGTTCTTATTGGAAAAGAGTTATAAACAAACTTATAGATAGATTTATTGGAGGTGACTGGAATTTCTAAAACGAAAGAACCTCTCCTTGAACTAACCGTGGGATTAACTTTGAATAAATCTCGAAAAAGAGAGGGATAGGTTGCCTGCTCCTTTACAATTTTGAAACATTCTATTAAATCCGTGACCAAGCGGCGGTGTCTAAGAGATTTAAGATCAAAAAGAATTTTTTTTAGTTTTAAAAGAATAAATCTATTTAATGACTCTTTGAATGAATAATATTTAATGTTTAATGATTGTTTAATGAAGAAATCTTAATCGTTGTTTGTTTGATCTTAATCTGTTTGTTTAATCGAAATCTTAATCGTTGTTTGTTTAATGATTGTTTAATGATTGTTTAATGATTGTTTAATGATTGTTTAATGATTGTTTAATGATTGTTTAATGAAGAAATCTTAATCTTAATCCTCACCACAACATATTTTGCTCCTTCATGCACGATTTTCGGATACGGTTTCGCGACTTGAGTTGCCTTGATTGCGTGAGCGATTTTCATATCATTTATGCCAGCATCACTGAATTCTTTTGTGCTTTTTTTTGAGTTTAAAATCTCTTACCGATGAAATAGTTGCACTCCTCCTTTTTCTTTCTCATTCCCATTCATTTTCTTCTCAACCGGCAAATCGTGTGGACTAGCGATTGGCACATGATTTGAGCAGTACACTTCCTAAAGACAAATGTTCTCCCTTCATTTCTCTTTTTCGAATTTCCCTAATTCTTAAAGTAAAATAGAATGCTCGAGATCAAGATTGGCACATGATTTGAGCAGTACACTTCCTAAAGACAAAGACTTCCTGTTTCCCCCTCATTTCTCTTTTTCGAATTTCCCTTAATTCTTAAAGTATCATAGAATGCTCGAGATCAACATTGATCTCTTTTTCTTTAAAAACGACAATAAAATTGTTTGAGAAGGAATGAAAAGATGGAAAGAGGAAGAGGGCTAAACGGCTGCTTTCCCCGTCAATACCCGATAGCAAACATTTGACCCAAACAAGGGAAAAGCTGAGGTGATGGAAAGGTGAAAAAGAAAAGGGAGAAAAGAAAAGTGAAAAGGTGAAGTGAAGGATGGGACACACACACACTCATCCCATATTTGGAATGAGTGAAGAGAGGGGTAAAGATATCGTCAAGAGGGACAGATCGCATGTCGATGTCTTCAGTATCGAAGAGAGAGAATGAAGAAATTTTATGGAAATCAAACTTGAAAAATATTTCAGATGCTTAGTTTCTGAGTAGAATTTGCATTTAAAATCCCCTCACTTGGTTCAGTAAAATCTCCGTTTAAAAGTGGCAATTTCCATTTAGTTTTATTGGTAAGTGTGACTTGAAAAATCTAGATGAATTTACATGAATTTGCATTAAATTACATTAAATTACATTAGATTACATGAAATTTACATATTGATTCAAAATTTGTACAACATTTCGTCGTTTAAAATCAAAGTCACTCTGACTGATTGCACAATTTGCAAATAAACGTCAGCTTTATCAAAGTCAAACGTCAGCTTTATCAAAGTCATGATCTTTCCCATTTACTGCTTTGTTCAAATTTAAGAATTTGCAATTTCTAATGTTTTTATGATGTCAACAATTAGCTTTTTGCAAAAATTTTCTTTTAAAATCACGTTGATTATGCTAAAATTCTCGATTTTGGCATTTAAATGAAAATTTGTGACACTTGTTCAGACAAAATTGCGTCGTCTAGTCCATCTAGTCCACTGTTTGGCATTTAAATGCAAATTTGTGACACTTGTTCAGACAAAATTGCGTCGTCTAGTCCATTTTTAAATACAGATTAATTATTTCAAAGCAAAATGGGCCACAGCAAAAAGGGCCACAAGTAACAATATAACTTGTGGATAGATTTTCGGATTATTGTATCCTTGTTGGCTTAGCCAAAACTTGGTCTAACTCTAAGAATAGGAACATCTCTGATAAGCTAATCAATGGAATGACTCGAATCAAGAGCATCGACAAGTCAGCTTTTTCTTCTTTGTTTTCAATGGATCTTCTTTTCAACTCACCTTATCATCAATATTATTTCTATTATTGCAATACGTCTTCAACGCAAGTCTTGTTCCACAAATATAACATTTGAAGCATCCGTTGTGGAAATATGTCGAGTCTTTCAATGGACCAACCTGTAATTTTAAACCCTTTTTACAGAGCTGGCTAGCTGGCTTCAAGAAAACTTTTCTCTTTTATTTTCAAACTCACCTTATCAGTTGGATAAACTTGTTTCTGACATCGATGACAGCTCAATTTTGACATTCTGAAAACAGCATCGATTTCAATTGTAAACAAAAACTGAATCAATAATTTTGATTTGCAAACAAACAATCCATTGTCCGATTTGCACAAAATGTTCTTTTAGATGAATGGGAAAAGGAGGGGAAGAGGAATAAAAGGAAGAATAAAAGGGAGAATAAAAGAATCGTAAATATAAAAAGAAATGAATATTATATAATCGAGAGATATAAACCGGGGAATTTGATAAGAGAAAAGGACAATGAAAGTGTTTTCTAATAAATATTTAATGATATTATCATTAACCTGTTTCTTTGAAAACTTTATGCATAAAAAAATAAAAGAAAAGGAATTTTAGCGGAAGAGATCGATGAGAAAAGTCGATGTTGTGAACTTCAGAAAATTTTAAATCAAACAAAAATTGGAGTTTTTTTTTGGAAAAAAAGAAAAAAAGGTAACTCAAATGCTGACATAAAAGTTTCCTATCGAGATTCTTCTTGAATTTTGTACATTGGAATTAATTGAGTGGAATCTCGTTGAGATTTGAATAAAATGAGTGATCTTTCCTGATCTGACATAAAACTTTCCTATTGAAATGCTGACATAAAACTTTCTTATCGAGATTCTTTTTGGATTTTGTACATTGGAATTAATTGAGTGGAATCTCGTTGAGATTTGAATAAAATGAATGATCTCCTTTTCCCTCATTTCATTAAAATCTAACCCTTTTTCCTAAAAAAAGATCATCGACGGAGATATCGGGGACTCCTCATTTTTGCACTCCTTTTAAACCTGTTCCCATTTTATTTCCCATTTTATTGGGAATTGGAATTTCAGTTATTTTTAGATGCAATTGGATTCCATCAAAATTGTCAATAAACTTTCAGACTTTGTAGAAAGGAAAAAGAGATTTGCTAGCATTCGAATAAAGAAAGTTTCATCTTTAGATACGTGAAAAACTCACCCAGCCAATCCAGCAACCAAGTGCATTGTTATGGTTGTGCGAAAAAAAGTGAATAGTCTTTAGTGATTAAGGGATTTTTTTTTTCAGAGAAAATCGGTGAAGGTTTGCTAGGAGAAAAAGGAAGAAGAACAATTAGGAAAAACGGGTGGAGAAATGGGGTGAAGGGGAGGCAAGGGGGACGTCCAGTCGACGCGAAGAATTAGCACTCGCCGAGCCTCGGGTAGAGCTGTAGGGAATATAGGGATGAGAGAGACTGCGAGAACTGGGCGACTGCAGCGGTTCCGGTCCTCCACCCGACACTGATCGCATGGATGGATGGGGAAAAGGCTTGCTAGGCTGGTAGGGGATGAGAAAGAGATTGCGATGATTGAAGATGAAGAAGAGAAAATGAGAGAGATAAATATACAGAGAGATGCCAAAATTTCGAGCTTTTTCTCTTTTGTTTTCTCTCGTTTTTTTTTGTTTCCACGTGCTTTTCGATATTCTCTACCATTAAGTAAAACAAATTTAGAAGATTAATTGAGAATACTAAAGAGAAAAAGAAGAAAAAGCAATTGTTGGGTTTGTAAAAGTCTCTGAAAAAATCAAATTGACATCTTTCGTTCAAAAATGACTGAATGATTAGATTCTTGAGAACCGATAATGAGTTAAACTTGCGAAACACAAATCAACAATTGTTTTGTTGATTGGCAAGAGATCTTTTGACCGTGAATCACACTCTCACATACCTTTAAACTACTGCTAGAGTCACTGTTCTCCCGTTTGCGTAACCTTTTTCATTTGGATATGTTCTAGCATTTGTCTTTAACACATTCGTGACAAATGACCGCCCGACTATAGAACGGATATTCCGCCAAGGGTTGAACCAAAAACGTTAAAAATTTGCAAGAATATGTAATTTGATGATGTAATTTGGGAAAGTAAAAGAAATTGAAGAAATATAAAAAAAAGAACTGTAAAATTTGCACACCTAAACTTCGACATTAAAGAAACTTGTTTCTTATTCGATCAATTTAGATGTTTTTGGTGTTTAGCTGATCATAGTGAGTTCATAATTTAAAACTAACGACAGATTCGTATTTTCTAACCTCAAAAACGCAAAGTACAAATTTTCGTGTTAATCCGGCGCTAAAATCGTTCTGAACAAAGCATCGAAAAATGGTAAAATTATAAAATCTGTTTACTGGTTTAATTTAAATGAAATTTTTCATAATAAACTTTAGATATTGAAGTAACTAGCAAGAGCAAGTAACTAGCAAGAGCAAGTAACTAGCAAGAGCAAGTAACTAGCAAGAGCAAGTAACTAGGAAATAAAACGAAAATGTGAACCGTTTTGATGAATATTCAGAACGTATATGAAAAATTAGTTTTAAAAAGTGATGAAAGTTTTTATGAAAAGTTTAAAAATCAAAGTCAAAAAAGTGTTCTTCTGATTGAAAAGATGAAGAAAAGAAAAGGGATTTCTTCTACCATTGCTTCTTTCAATCTTTCAGCTTGAAAAGACTCTCATAAACTTAAAAGAGGAGAAATTTGAAGGGGGGAACAGTTCGATGGGGAAAAGGGGAAAAGGGGAATCGAGTGAGTGTCCATCCCCTCCAACACATCATAGAGAACGCCGACCATGTGATCTTTAGGGATTTTTGATCACGATATAATTCTACTTTAGAAATATTAGATTGACAACTCGAATGTTGGTACACTTATTCATTGGACTTTTTAGAAATAACTAGTGCACTAATTAATCTACAGTTTTTACCAATAAAAAGGTCTATTTATTCTCTAAGACATGCTTTTGATAGATTTAGAAAAGAGGTTTTGTGGGTTTCTAGGGGGGCAAGAAGTTGAGGAACCAAAAATGATGAACAATAGTTGTATAGTTATGAACCATGAGATCTTTAATGATGAACCATATGATCTTTAGGGACTTTTGATTACGATATAATTTTACTTTAGAAATATTAGATTGGCAACTCGAATGTTGGTACACTTATTCATTGGACTTTTTAGAAATAACTAGTGCATCAATTAATATACAGTTTTCATCAATAAAAAGATCTACTTATTCTCTAAAACAAGCTTTTGATAGATTTAGAAAAGCCTCGATTTTCTAGGTTCCTAGGGGGCAAGAAGCTGAGGAACCAAAAATGATGAACAATAGTTGTATAGTTAAACATATTTTTAGATATACCGTATTTACTCTATTATTGGGGTCCTCTCTAATAGTGGGGTCCTCTCTAATAGTGGGTCCTCTATTTGGTAACGAAGTGATATCAATTGTTGATCTCTTGTTGTCTTTTACTGTTGTTAATGTTTGTCGGTTAAAGCTAAATAAATATGAAGCCAAACTTGTTTTTCAAGATTTCGGAAAAATTGTCTTTTCAACTTAAATTTGTTTTGTTCTTTTCTCTATAGTGGGGTCGTCTGGAAGGGATTGAAATGTGGGGCCCCTAATGGTAATCATGTTGCTCTATAGATAGCTCTAAAGATTTTTTTTAATCTCGATTTTTTTCTGATAAATTCACTATTGTTTAAAATCAAACTGCAAGAGCTTAGAATTGTAGAATAAGCTTACCATAAAGATTCAAAAAAAAAAACAGCCAACATTGAGTAAAACTTGGTTTATTTTAAAAAACAACTAAATCTTAGTAAAGGAGAAAATGAGAGAAAGGTATTGAGTGAAAATTTCGACGATTAAGGAAATTTTATTCACAAAATGGCGGGATATCATTGTAAATCATATTATGGATGAGATGGAAAACGAAAAGGGAAAAAGAAACGACGAGAAATGAGTCAATGTTTGGTGGGGAAGAGATGGGGATCGAGGGGAGGAGAGGAGGAGAGACTCCCCTCATAGTCAGCCTCTGTACTCCTCCCACCCCCGCCCCATTCCCCCATTGCCCCTCAGGTTTTGACCTTGACGCTTTAGACCCCTTTTTCTCAAATGTGTAGGGATCGTGAATGAATGAAAGAATCAAAAAGGGCCGATCTCTCAAACACACGTCGGAGAAGAGCCTTCACTTGCACATCGATAATATACATTCGATATTATTTGAGTCATTCTCGGGAATCTGTATATGGAAATTTTGACCTTTATGAGTGATTTAAAACTAGAATTGACAGTCAATGAAAGAAGAAGATAAAAAAAAGAGTGACAGTCAATGAAAGAAGATAAAAAAAAGAGTCAGCTGAAGGGAAAATATATTTAACAAAGATGAAAGAAGAATGCTTTACATAAAGGAGATGAAATATGAACTGAAAAAGGCGGAAGATGGACAGTTTGATGGGAAGAAACGAGAAGAGGAAAGAGAAGAGAGGAAAAAGGTATCAAGTTTGCGTACACAAGCCCCCGCCGTGTTATGCTTGCTTTGCATGCCATCCAGGGTACCCCCCGATTTCTCTTTTCCCCTCTTTCATTTCCATATTTCTTTTGCACGACGATGATCATTGCCATCAACGATTGACAGATCAGAAAAGAATTAGGAAAGGATTTGAAAGGTGAGCGTCATGGTGACGACACTCTCATTGGTATAGCTAAAAACAAAAATATAAAATAAATTCCAATGCATTTTTGTATTATGAGAATTTAGAATTAGATCAATTTCTGTTTTGAAGGAAACAAAAAGAGAATCAAGTTATGAAAGAGATGTTGTTATTCAAATTGTTATTCAAAAGGTTTCAAAGGGTTCTATCAATCACTATTGATTCAGAGTCGGGTCGGAAAGCTGAACCAAGCTCATATCAACTTTATCTTTAAACTATTAGGTTGATGCATAAGTGTTTTTGTTCCTTTTCGTCTGCCGTTTCAAGCCAACAAATGCACAAATTAAACTACGGTTGATTTCATTAGAAAAACCAATTATTTTTCTGCAAAATAACATTAAAACGGGTTTAAAAATCTTTTATGCCTGGATTTTCTTGAGAGTATGAAGTCGGGTACTCAAAAAGGGCTAACTCGATGATGCGGTTTAGACACCTTAGCTAAAGAAAACCTATCTTCGTGTCAATACATAAAAGATAGAGAAAAAAAAGTTTGATATTTCGCCAAAATTTCAGAGAAATTCATTCAGCCAATTTTTCCGTAGAGTTTAAAAAAAATACCGACTGGGGCTACCAGTGGTGAATTTATCGCATACACGAAATATATGAATCACAATACAACGACACACACAATACTAGGCTATATCTTAACTTAACCCACGTCATGACAGACGGCTCCCTAACCCTAAGCTCAATGGGGAACTAAATAGCTTTTTTGGTGGTGAAGGGAAGATGACGATGAAGGAGTGGCTTGTCACTTTAAAGAACTGGGGCCACAACCACCAGACTGCCCTCCAGAAAACCTCTCAACCCGAAGGGAAAGGAAATCCGAAGGGGGTGACCATGTCGCATGTGGGGTTCGAACCCTCGACCTTCCGATTAAGATAAAAGACACTTAACCAGTCAGCCACACGTGCTTTTTTATAGATTTTTACGAAAAAGGCGTTTTTCACTCTCGAATTTGCTTGAAAGTGAACCGAAATTCATTTAAAAAGATGCAAATTGAACAAAAAAAAACTTTTTTTATAGAGCAAACTATAGATTAATTCGTGAATTTGTTACTTTTTAACAGAAGTACGAAAAAAACGAAAAGACTTAGGCATCAACCTATTATAAGAAAGTTTTGAAGCAAACAAAATAAATTCCAATGCATTTTTGTATTATGAGAATTTAGAATTAGATCAAGTTTCGAAAGTTCCGAAAGTTTTGAAGCAAAGAAATTCTTATAGTTTAAAGATAAAGTTGATATGAGCTTGGTTCAGCTTTCCGACTCGACTCTGAATCAACATTGATTGATAGAACCCTTTGAAACCTTTTGAATAACAATTCGATCTCTTTCATAACTTGATTCTCTTTTTGAATGTCAAGAGATATCATCAACTTTCACACTCATCTCATTTTTTTTCGTTTCAACTAGTTTTCACAAAAGTTTCCTGAAAAGCGGCAGAAAGTGACGTTTTCAGAAGAGTGTGTGGATTGGATTGGTCCTCAATAGGGCTCTCGATCGAATTACGTCGTGAACCGGATCAATCCGCCAATAGAAATTTTCGGAAAAAGGTGAAGAAGTATCCATTAAACAATGGGGTTAGCAAAAGAGAGAGAGAGAGAGCTAGAAATGTAGAATGTTATATAAAATAAAGAAAAGCAGCAAGGTCAGTAACAAAAACATTAGTAATCAAAACTGTAAGCAAAACTGTAATCAGAACTGTAATCAAAAACATTGTAAACCGTAGAAAGATTGTAAAAGAAAGAATGGTTTATTGGGAAGAATGAATGAATGAAAAAAGAAAGAGGAAATGGTGAATGGACAACAGAACAGTGTTTATGGGTGGATGGGAGGTGAAGAGAAGAAAAGAAGGTAAGAATGAAAGGTGATGGAAAGAAAAGGGGAAGAGAGGTAAAGGTAATGGGTGAGAGACACGGGGGACACCCATGGGTCACGCATCTACCTGGGGAGGGGTGGGGAGGGGTGGGGAGGGGTGGGGAGGGGTGGGAAAGAGGTGGGAAAGAGGTGAGTGAAGGGAACCCATAAAGAAACCCAAATCCTCGCGAAACTATGTAAAAAAAAGCGCGTTTTCTAACTAAAAATTGCTTTAGCTTAATTTGCTTCAGCTTAGTCAACTCAGAGAAAATGCGCGGAAACCGAAAATAGACATGATTTTGCAATCGACCTTACACATTTTGTAGATTAGAAGCTAAGACAACTGGGAAATTCCTTTGACTGACTGTGTGTCACTCAGAAGATCATATTTCTCCAAAACATAGATAACTTTTGTGAGGAAAATCATTCCGAACATTTTCATACCATTATGAAAGAATTTGGTTGTATTTAAAGGAAGTTTATTGCATTTTTTTAGAAAATTACAAGTAAAAAGAAGGGAAAATGCGCGACCTTTTATACTCAGACGGCCGTTTACGATAGACTTTCCACTCTTTAGAGAGCTGAACGCGTTTTTCTTACCTTTCCTTTTTAATTTTCTACAAAATGCAATAAATTTCTTCAAATTCAACAAAATTCTTTCATAATTGTATCAAAATGTGAAATTTGCTTATAAAATAAAGAGCTGATTTTTAAAATTCTATACAAAACTGCATGCTTATAACTTTTGTGACAGAGTGCTTTTTAGTAGAAACTGAAAGCAGATTCAGAATCAGCGTAAAATTCTGCGTTGAGTAGTATATGGTTTGTGTTTGGTCACCACATCCAATTGACATTCTCTTGTAATAAAGAAGTCAAGGAATTAGCAAGAAAAAGCAGATTTCTGGAGAGGTGGTTGAACCCACGCACTTTTCCTTTCCAGGCAATTGCTCTAATCACCGATTTATCCGGTACCTTCACTTGCCAAGAGAAAGAAGAAAAGACAAGGGGAAGAAGAAAGAAAGAAAGAAAGGAAGAAAGAAAGAAGGAAAATAAACTAGAGCTAATTGTAAGTAAAACGTTATCTTTTTTCTATACCTTTTTTGGGGTTTAACCTTATCCCCGGTCAATTTACAAAAACAAGAAAATAAAAACAATTAAAAATCAGAGGTTTAGCATTGCGATGACATTCGATGTATGGTATATGGCAAGCCAATTTGCCTTTAAGGGAGAATGTGAGAAGGGAGAACTGGTCTTGTTGAGGGGAGGAGAGGGGAGGATAGGTAAGAGAAGGGAAAAGGAGGGGAATCCAAGAGAGTAGAGAAGGCTCTCCCCATCGACCATTCAAGGGAATTCACTTCCAGAATCGCCCTTCAAGCAATTTGTCGCCCTTTTGTGTGTTTGGTGGATCGGGGGAGCGCCTGTATGAGTCAAGTGCCGAGCAAAATATATAGGTTTTGATGAAAAGAGAAGCTAAAGGAGAAGAGGTACCTATTCGCCAAAGATCGAGGTTTTCGTTTTTGCTGACCGACTAGAGTTTGATGTGAAAAAGAAAAGGAAAAAGCCTTTGTTCTTTAAGAAGAATACGGGAGTGGGACAAATGCGACCTTTTTTTTGCGCACCCGGACATTTGCGCACCTTGCCCATTAGCGCACCTTTTTTCGCGTTTTAAAAAGCTCTAAAAAGCTAATATTAACCAATTTCTACTCCAAAAGTTGTTTTTCTAGGTAATTTGAGGGTGTCGAATTCAAATTTTGACATAACAGAGCGTGTGGAACCAATTTGAAAGACAAAACGGCTAGATCAAATTACAGAAAATGTTGATTTGTTGATTTTTCTCTTTGTATAACTCCGTCCGTTCGATTCCACAAGCTCTGGTATGCCAAAATTTCGATTCTACACCCTAAAATTACCTAGAAAAACAACTTTTGGAATAGAAATTGGTTAATATTAGCTTTTAGAGCTTTTTTAAAACGCGAAAAAAGGTGCGCTAATGGGCTAAGTGCGGAAAAAAAGGTGCGCAAATGTCCGGGTGCGCAAAAAAAAGGTCGCATTTGTCCCACTCCCGAAGAATGCTGTGAAATGAAAATATCCTTCTAGATTAGAAAAATTTATCCTTTCCACATTACAAAGCTTCATAAATGGTTGCATAATCTCGATTCTTCTTCATATTGTTCAGTCGAGGTGATCTCTTGTCAACAACTCCATATTCTGCTGACAGATCAAGTGCTTCTTTCTCATTTTTCTCATCTTCAACATTCATCTTCACTTCTTGAATCGAATATTCGGTTGATTGGAAAAGCGATGGATTGTTTCGTTCACTAAAATGATTGATTTATTTTGAGATGAAATGAAAAGCTTACTATAATCCATCAAAAACTAAATTCAAAGGAACTGGCGCGATCTTTGGTCTTTGAAGTGTTTGAGCGAGAATCTGGCGATCAGCGAAAATTTGTTGTTCTTTCAAAAATCTGAAATTTTCTTTGAGTTTTTCTTAAATTTCTTTTCCAAACCTTCCTCGATAATAACACATTAGAACTAAAATTACGCAAAGAATCACAATGAATAAAATGATGAAAATAGTGATGAGAAGGATGAGTGGAGTGGAGAGATTTGGGAGGATTGATGAAGAATGGATTTGATCAGAGAGTGGAGTGATGAGGGGACGAATTTGGGGAGAGAGTCCGCCGAATCTCCATTGTTTTGTGTTCATTTGTGTTAAAGCCTAAAAAACTCGAGCATTATCTTATGTGCTAGCAAAATTACAATTCGAATCTAATTCCACCTTCTTCGCCGATCTCTCTCAAATTTTGTCTACAATTTGAAAATATCGACTTCTATCTGTAGACAAAATTTCAGAGGGCACAAGGAAAGACGAATTAGAATTAGGTTTGGATTGAAATTTTCCCATGTCTATCTCGTACTACGGTAAACGTACGCTCTCTGGCATACTCAATTAATATTTTCAAATATCTAGTGTACCAGAAAGGGATTTGTGCAAGGTGAAGTTAAAGCTTTGCCTTTTCTAAAAGTTTTCTAACAAATGTTACCTCTTTTGCCGATAGAACTCTCAGCAAAGAACCATTTGCAATGATAAAGAAAAGATCAGAATTATGGGGAATTGGATGTCCTTCAACACGATGAATATCGATCATTAATGGGATTACTTGAAGGCCCGTTCGATGGGAAAGCGATCTGCAATTTGATTAGATAAACATATCAAAAAGCAATTCGAGTATTTTGAATGAGTCGTCATGTTTTGAAGGTTCATAATCTTGCTTAGAGATAATATTATTGATTTTTATTGGGATGAACCGATGCATTTAAATATCATTTGAAAGCTACGAATTTTATCTCCAAGATAGACTGATAAGTTCTTTCTTTATTTAAAAGTTTAGACCAATTAAGCCCGGGGTCCAATTGGTAGACTCAATAAAATGAATAACTCTAAAATAAAATGAATATTGATTGCTTGAACCCGAAAATCCCAGGATACAAATTTACAGCTGAATATCTTCTTTTTATGCAATTTACAATGCAAAAGCCAAAAAAGCCTTAAATGACCGGGCGGGTGTTCTTTGTGTGCACAATCGCTCTCCATATGGCAAACCGTCCCAGTATTGGGTTGCTTTCCTTGTGGCAAGGCAAGGCAAAGTGGCAAGGCAAAGTGGCAAGGCAAAGTGGCAAGGCAAAGTGGCAAGGCAAAGGGGTGGTGTGAGACTGAGCTTCCTACGCACTATGCCCAAATTTCTGGGATCAATTTTGGCTTTAAATTTGTTTCTAATTATCTACAAAGTCTTTACTCAAAACTCATTCATAATTGTTGAATTCCCGCAATAGCCCATTCCCCCTCTCACTCAGTGATCGCATTTGTGTTATTCCAGAAGATTTCCACGGGATTTTTCGTCATTTCCATCACCATAATGCTTTCCTCGGTGTACACAAAAATCTAGATTTTTAAGTATTTCTTTTTTTTTTTCTGGAAAGTTTTCAGCCATTAAACAATGAACCTTGAGCGTCGCAACATCTTTATGTGATCTCTCATCGATTCCTTCATTTGCTTCGACTTGCACATAAAATGCACCGCCATTAAATTCTCTAGAGAAAAAAAAGGGTAAACGTTTTAATAGGGTAACCTAGAGGGACGTTTTAAGAGGGACGCTTTAAGAGGGTAACCTCTTAAAGCGTTTACTCTTTTTGCCTTTATCATAAATTCATATTCATAAATTCATTGTGTCACTCACTTCAACGAGAAACTCTCCACTCGAAGTTCTCCATTTGTCGAATTGATCGTGAAGATTTCGTCAGCTTCTTTCTCATGATGATTCAATACAAAAGTTGATGAAAGAAGACGGTAATGAATGGCTTTAATTTGAAAATTTTACTTTCACATGGTTCAGATCCTTTCTTAAACGTGTCACCGGGGGTGACTACTTCGCGCCAAATTTTCTCCGCAACTCGCCATAACTTTCTTCTAAGTGAGCCAATCTTTATGATTTTGGTATCATTTTGTTGCACTTGTTTGAGATCTACAAAATACCACCAAAATCATCAAGATTGACTAACTTGGAAGAAAGTTATGGCGGCCTACGCAAAAAAACAAATTTGGTGCTTCTTTCGCGACTACCATTATTTTGCCTTTAAAAAGGTATTATTTAAGTAAATCTTGGTTTTTTTGTTTTGAAATAACATAGATTACAATGAAAAGAAGAGGTATAAATTGTTGTTTTTCTAAGAGATCTTAAAATTTTGTCACCTTTTTTCTCTTTATCTGGATCGTCAGCCCGTAAAGTGATCAAAAGTGTCCCTGGGAGAGCATCTCGATCAACACCCAATAAATATTCTTTTCGCAAAAACACCGGCCCGTTGTCATTACTTAAAATTGAAATCTTTTTTTATTATTATTTTTGAAACCCTTTTTTCTCTCTTTTAATTTCTTTTATTAACAAACTTACACATCTTGAAGGGAAATTTCGACGAAAATTTCTTTTTCTACAGTTTTTTCACCATTTTCATTGATCACATTAATTGTTAGGCTAAAAATAATCAGTGATTTTATAAAAATAAATAATTTACTTATATTTTTCGTGTTTTTCTGCATCAATTGTTCCGCTCAACAGAATTTCTCCAAGTGAATTCAAGGCGAATGGAGCTATAAAGGGGAAACGGTACTTTTGAAGCTGTTGCACGCTGTTGCACTATTGTTTTGAAAATTTGTCTATACGTAGGCGAATGTAATATGCGACGTAAGCGTGTAAGCCTAAGCCGTAGGCGACGGTAATATGCGTGCAATAGATTCGTTCTCCGTAATTCGTTCGCCGTAAGCGACGCCCGTGCTAGCCGTGATGCGCGGCCGGGAAGTGACCTGCGCCACACCGTTTTCTTTTTTAAAGAGGCTGGAAACCACGTGACGCGCAGAGAAGGCACAGAAAAAGGCAGAGCTATGCCCTAATTGTGTTTTTTATTGCACGCCACGATTTATATGCAAATTTTCAAAAAAAGCTAATTGGGTGATATGCGTGCAACAGATTCACAAGTGGGGAAACTTTGCAATCCTTGATTTAACAGCTTTAACGATCAAATTTCAAAACTAACTGTCCAGTTGATTGATTGAATATTTGAGTTTATTAGATAAAGAATATGATTCCTTAATTGGAATCCGTCCAACAATTGAGCCAATCGGGAAATCTTCTGCAATCTAAATCCGAAAAAAAAATCTCACCATATCAATAAATCAATAAACGAACTTCAAAAGACAATTTTGAACTTAAAACTTGAAACTCGATGTCGTCAGCATTTCCCTTTTCAATTCGCACATCAATTCCCATTTCTTTCACTAATTTTCCCGATTTCAATTGAACAATCTGAAATTTGAGAGCTGAATTATTTGAATGATCAAAAATTTACCAAATTTCTACGTTCTTTTCCTTCTTTCATTAAGAAATCTTTCACGAAAAGTTCTCCAGTTTTTGCATCAATCTAAATCAAAAATTCGAATATTTTAAAGTCCTCATTGAACCTCAAATTGATTTCCGTTCAAAGTTGTGTTCTTAATTGAATAAAAAACGACACAATCCTCGTCAAAGCTTCCTTTTCTTTGTACTCGACCAAGCAAAGTGCGTTCTTTTAAATTCTAAAATTTAAAATTTAAAATTTAAAATTTAAAATTTAAAAGAAATTCCTTTTTTTTTTAGCTTACTTTTCTAATGTGAAACTCTTTTTGAGTGTTTGAATCGAATTGAGGAATGCATTTTTGTGATTTCTTCACTTTCAATTCAAATTTGTTCATCGCTTCATGTAAACCATCGCTTGCTTTCACCGAATAATTCAAATTCGTTTCAAAATCTAAATTTGGAATTTGAAAATTAATGATGATATTCGTTATCACATTCGTGACGTAGCGGTTTTTAGGCTTTCTCTCTGGGAGGAGAGTGTTTCAGAAGTCCTAAGAAGCTCAAAATTGGTACCTAGGGGTTTTCTGTGGTGAGAAATCTGAATCTAGTGTTAGTTTTTGTTTACACCATCTCACAAACCATCTCACCAATCTCTATCCAATCTTCATCTCATAACTCATCTTTAAGTATCTACCTTATCAGTTAAACTCGTTAGATTAGGCTTGTTGAAGGCTTAAATTTGTATCTGGGGCTTGTTGAAGCCGGAAATCCGAATCCGTTGCCAATTTTATGGTACTATAAACCTGAGATTTGGAATTTACAGTGTCCCGTACTCGAAAGGACTTCAGTCTTTTTCGCCCCATCTACAGATGTTTTGGGTCAAAAGAGACAGTGTTTATACTTTTCACTTTTGTTTATATTGGTAGGAAAGAAAGGGGCATCTTTTGGGGGTCATCCCTATATCGTTAATACAAAAAGCCTAAATCACAAAAAACGATCAACTACTCTTGACTTCTTAGGGTTTCTCAATCTTTTTTTTCTTTTCAACTTCTCCAAACAAAGAGAAAAGAGCTAGAGAGCATTTTGTAGAAACCTTCTGGCGCACCGTATTCCGGAATTACCGTGATTTTTTTCGCAAAAAAAAATGAAGAACTTTGTCTCTTTTCTCTTTTGTGAGGGTATCTTTTGAAATTAAAAGCATTAAAATTGATCAAGTAGGAGAAACGTTTCTTTAATGTCAAAGTTGAGGACTCTTCGAAGTCCAAGACTCTTCGAAGTCCAAGACTCTTCGAAGTCCAAGACTCTTCGAAGTCCAAGACTCTTCGAAGTCCAAGACTCTTCGAAGTCCAAGACTCTTCGAAGTCCAAGACTCTTCGAAGTCCAAGACTCTTCGAAGTCCAAGACTCTTCGAAATGGCCAAGGTCAAGATATTTCGAGTATTTGGGTTTACTGTTGGTGCAAATTAACATTAGATTCGAATTCCCCGACCCCAAAAAACCAAATAAACAAATTTTCAACTTAATCTTTCCATTGGGTTCTCTAAATTTTAAACTGATCCACTGAATGTTAAAGTTTATAAAAGAATGCAAAAAGATCAGCTCAGAGATATTTAGAAAATTCTCAGGATAGGCAAAAAAAAGGAAATTCTCCTTTTATCACTTTTGTCACCTTTAGATAGATAATTGACCACTTTCACATATCCATTTCCATCAATCTCGAGGATTTTCGGATCCATTTTATCCCCACAATCACATCGAATTGAGTATCGCAACTCATCTCCATCTTTATCGATTCCCTGGACTTTTTTTTCTTTGCTTTTAAACAATTTCTTCTTTAGATTATCATTTATACTAGTTAATTCTTATACTACTTTCTTAATTCTTATATTCTTATACTTTATACTCATTTACTCACCTCAATTTTGGCAATTTTCGTTCCAAGCGGAATATCATCAAACAATTCAATTGAATACTTCCCTTCACCGAACTCAGGAGCGTTATCATTTTCGTTTTTGATATTAATTTTTAACTGAAAAGAAAATCTCTTCATCAGTTATCAGTGATCGATCAATACTCGGTCAATTATCGGCAAAAATTCAGCTTTTTTTTTGGCTCACTGGATACTATACGATTATCGATGTTGTGTGTGGAAAAATCGTGTACAAAGTAAAGGCAAAAGTCGAGGAAACTCACCGACGCAATCGAATTCATCATTTCCGTGTCGCCGATTTGCACAAATAAATCGATCGTTTCCTCTTTTTCGGCATCAATTTTCTCGGCGATTTGAAGATTTCCCTAAATAAGGTTTCGTTTTTTAAAGCAAAATTTTTCTTTCAAACCTTTTCATCAATTTTGAAATAATGAGAAGCTTCACCGATAAGTCGATAGTTTTGTGGGTTTTCATTGACAATCTAAATCCTTTCATTTATTCAATCCAATTCAACCTACCAATTCATTTTTACCTGCAAAACTTGTGCTCCAATTGGAAGATTCTCAGAAATTGTCACTTCAAATTTCTCTTTTCTGAGTGTCGGCTGAATAGCTTTTGATTGATTTACACTAAATTTCGATGATGATTTTCGTTTTTTTTTTTTTTTTACTTGACAATCATTGAAACATTCTTCTCGATTTTCATTTTCTCATTTCTCATTGTTATCGAAAGATTATACGGTTTTGTATTGAGAGAATTAATAAGAGAATTTCGAGTTGTTATTTCGCCTGAAAACTTTAAAACTCAGCGGCAATAAAATGGAATTCACCAGTGGATGGATTTATTCGAAAATCCCTCAAAACTTTTGTGTTATTTGATCGATTGAGAACAAAAGAGCACGTAGAGTTCTCGATTTCACAAGCAATCGATGAAATTGTGAAAAGATAAGTGCCGATTGGTGTCGACGAATCGATTGTCATCGTTGAGGGAATCTCAAGAAAGAAAAAAAGACATTGGCCAGTAGTTTACCCATAAATTTGAGATTTTGATGCGCCAGTAAAGCGTGCGCTTTATTGGCGCCTCAAAATGTAAAGCGTGCGCTCTATTGGCGCCTCAAAATGTAAAGCGTGCGCTCTATTGGCGCCTCAAAATGTAAAGCGTGCGCTCTATTGGCGCCTCAAAATGTAAAGCGTGCGCTCTATTGGCGCCTCAAAATGTAAAGCGTGCGCTCTATTGGCGCCTCAAAATGTAAAGCGTGCGCTCTATTGGCGCATCAAAATGTAAAGCGTGCGCTCTATTGGCGCATCAAAATGTAAAGCGTGCGCTTTATTGGCGCATCAAAATGTAAAGCGTGCGCTCTATTGGCGCATCAAATGTAAAGCGTGCCTTATTGGCGCATCAAAATGTGAAATTTTGCACAAAATACAAGCATTTCTGTTTGGATTTGTATTTGTTTGTATCTGTTTGTAACAAATACAAACTGCACTTTTTTTACAGATTCAAATCGTTTAAACGAAAATCCTTTACCGGATTCAATTGATCGATCAATGTTGCGTCAACTTTTGCATTCTTTTTAAACATTAGAAGAGTTATATTGGCTGAAATTTGATGATCTTTTGGTACCACGCAAGTTGGACACGATTTTTCTCTTTAAAACCCACTTTTTCCGGGGTAATTTTATGCGTAGATCTCAAAAAAGGACAACGATTGCATGGGAAATGGCGTTTTAAGCCGAGTTTCGCGGGCTTCAAAGTGCAAAGCTCTACAGTGTACTTCACTATGTGGAGCTCAAGCCATAGACTATTGGGGCACTTCTCAACATCAAAACTAAAGCCAAATCCATTTTTAACCATTAAATATTTATTTTCTAGCTTAAATTAACTGGTAGAGACAAAAGAAATTGAAAAAATATTTTTGAAGATTTTCACTCATGTGGGGGACCACAGGGTCGAAATTTTGGAAAATAAAATTTTGCTCTAATTTTATTAGAAACGTAATCAGTAGGTTAAATTATGCCAGAAGAAGTGTTTTTGGTTTCAAAAAATCTTTTGAGAGACGATTTTTAGATCTCTTCCCTTTGTGTATCCCTCTGATATCACACTGAAATGAGCGCGCACTTTGAAGGCCACAAAACTCGGCTTAAAACACTATTTCCCAAGTTTTCGTTGTGTTTTCTGGAATCTACGCATAAAATTAGCCCAGAAAAAGTGACTTTTGAAGAGAAGTGCCGTCAAACGGGCGTAGTAAAGATCTTTTCGAAAAATCGAAAATACCGTATGCTTTTGGTTCATTCAAATGATTGACATCTTGAGCACTCATCGATATTTGCATAAAAGAAACGTTTAAAGTATTCAACGGAATTGCTCGTTCCAGGGATAATTCATAAAAATTCGACTTTTTGATTGATGTCAAATTGAAAAGATTCTTTGAAAGAGTTTCTAAAAAGGAGAAATTGAAGAAATTCACGTAATTCCCCCGACTTTTCTCTCCATTCTCCTCTTCGCCAGTAATTGAGTGAATCGAAAATTCGAGTTTCGCATCCTTATCTTCGTCCTCAATTCGCAAATTGTCAATGATCAAATTTGACGGATTATCTAGAGTTTAAAGAAATCTTTCTTATTAAGAATTCTTATTATTGGGTCGGTGAATTGAAAACTGCCGGCTATTGTCATATGCGACAGTTTGAGCACTTTCTTCAAAAGAAACCCATTTTCGTGTCAATGGAAAGGTTGTAGAGAATCAAAAATCAAGCTTTTTTCTCCACTTAATTTGTAATTGATCCCCTTTCTGTCATACACAAATATTGGGAAAAGAAAAGTTGAGATTGGGAAAAGAAAAGCTAAGGAACATTTTGGAAAGCGAAACATTTAACCCACAAAATACTCACTATTACATTTGTACGTTTGTACATTTGTACGATCTTCATTTCTATTTTTCGAGCTCAACTTAATGGTAAGAGAAGTCGATTTTTTATGGGACTATTGGGTTGGTGAATTGAAAACTGCCGGCTCCCGTCATATGTGACAGTTTGAGCACTTTCTTCAAAAGAAACCCATTTTCGTGTCAATGGAAAGGTTGTAGAGAATCAAAAATCAAGCTTATATCCAAATTTTCAGAACGATGCAAAAACTTGTTTTGAAGAAATGCCAAATTTACGAATTTTCACAAAACTTGCATTTTAAGCGAAACTACTAAGTGTATCTTTTTGGAAATTTGGCTGTAAGCCTAATTTTTGATTCTCTACAACTTTTCTATTGACACCAAAATGGGTTTCTTTTGAAGAAAGTGCTCAAACTGGGACATCTCCAGTCCTCCATCTTTGAGTCTCACACTTGTCTCACACACAAACCAAAATCCTACTACGAAAGAGGAATCCGCAAATTGTCTGTAAAATGGGCAGAAGTCGTCAATAATAATGGAAATTATTTGGAATGAATTCATGGTTTTATGTTGAATAAATTTTAGTTCAAAGTCCCGCAGTTTTCAATTGACCAAGCCAATATAAGGGCCAGTTCAAGGCTTGGTTTCTAGCTGATCAGATACTTTGGCTTTTTTTAAAACCTCGAACAATTGAGCAAATTGAGCTAAATTGAGCTAACCAACCTAATAAAAATGTTCCTTACCCATATCAATGACTTTTGTGATTGAATCCTTTTGAAATCTTGGTATCATTGATCCCAATCCGATCACTTTCACCTCAACATTCCTTTCCCTTACCCCCTTCTCTCCATGGTGATTATTTTGGGTGATTATCTAAAGAAAAACCAAGCTTTATATATAAATATATGAACAAAAACCTTTAATTTGTAGCTTTCCGTTTCTTTTTTGAAAGATCCCACATAAGCAAGAGTTCCAATTTGTGGATCAATTGAAAAGCTAAAAAAGGAATTTTCTTGAAACTTTGTGATCACTTTTCGATTTACCTAAAAGTATCTCCTTCAGAAATTGAATATTTTAAATGTTTCTCTTTTACATTCAAAGGGAAAACATCAATTTCCCGTTGACCAATTTGAAGTATAAAAGAGGATTCGGTCTGAAATTTTGATCTCTTGAATGGTCAATGATAATGATTATAAACTTGATCATTTTTCGGGAGACTTTCAGACAATTCATTTCTTCCAATAATATCAACGAGAATTGTGGCCGTATCATTGAATGAGCCATTCTGTGTATGAGTGGTGAGATTAAGTTGAGAACCCAGTGATTGACGGGAGATGAATTCGGGATTCTGAAAAGGGAAATGGGAAATGGGAAATGGGAACTATTCGTAGTAAGGTGGGCGGGTTGTTGAGTCTTTTTGCTTCTTATATAATAAATATTATAAATCTATCCAAAAGTGGATAGATTGGATAAAAACTGGAGACAGATTCCAGTTTCGAACTGTAATCTGTCTCTTTTAAATGGGAAATGGGAAATGGGAAAGGAAAATGGAAAAAGCTGGTTGAAATTTCGTTTTGATCTGTTAAATAGTAACATTTCTTTAAAGTCAACTTTGAGCTTTGAGTCTAATCAAAAAAAAAGTCATTCTGATCTCTGTTTGGTCGATGTGCACTAGAAAGTGCTAAAAAAAGTGCGCTAGAAAGGATCTCTTTCCGTTTTTGAGCACAAATTACTAAGCACAAATTACTGAGTAGTTTTAAACAAACTTGAATCGACAAAACTCCAGTTTTCCCATCAATCGCGAACACTCCATTCGAGTTCTCCAAAGTGAAAGTGGCCTTAAGAAAAATTTGTTCAAGAATTTTACCATAACATTTGTCATTGATCTCTCTTCTACTTTAGATGATCGATTAAAGAGTTTCACGGTATTTATAGACATTAAATTCTCATTACATTTTGAGCTTTCGTTCCCACTGAGCGTAGTTTAATCAATCTCGCCAATGATCGAGATCCTTCAACGAGTGAAGTCGAGTAGACTTTTTGTGAAAAATGAAGAGATTCGGACTAAAAATTTTCGAAATTAAAGAGATTTAAATATATTTTATATATTTTCCCCTTTAAAACGAACATTTTCATTTCGACAAACGAAAATAGCGGACAATCTTCGTTTACTTTTCCCATCTCGTCCCATTAAACCAAACGAAAATTTGAATGGAGCATTGCAAGTTGGGCAATTTTTCATTGAAATTACAATTGAATCATCTAAAAATATAGTTAATCGGGAAAAAAACAAAAAGAAACCTTTGTGTTTAGCTGTGAAAAGCTTCAAAATCTCTGGATCACCAACAAGACGAAAATCGAAATGTTTAGTATGATTTGGAGGAAGATTTCTCAACTGAAAAGAATAAAATTCGGTTTAATTCGGTTTAATTCGATTTAATTCGATTTAATTCGGTTTAATTTGGTTTAATTCGCTTTAATTCGGTTTAATTTGGTTTAATTTGGTTTAATTCGGTTTAATTCGGTTTAATTCGGTTTAGTTCGGTTTAATTCGGTTTAATTCCGTTTAATTCGATTTAATTCAGTTTAATTCGGTTTAATTCGATTTAATTCGGTTTAATTCGGTTTAATTCGGTTTAATTCGATTTAATTTGGTTTAATTCCGTTTAATTCCGTTTAATTCGCTTTAATTCGGTTTAATTCGGTTTAATTTGGTTTAATTCGGTTTAATTCGGTTCTTTTCGTTTCCCATCTACTCTTACCTTTACAACAATGTCCCCATCTTGTAATTTCCCGTTCACGAAAGCGATTTTGTAGAGATTTTTCTCAAATGATGGCCCATCAACAATCTTAAGTTTCATAGAAAATTTTAAAGCAAAATGGCGAAACAAACTTTTTCTGTACTTTCAGTTTTCTTCTCTACGTTTTTCTCATTCTTGATAATCTTCAAATTAAGCGGAAAACGTTGTTCATCTCCACTGATCAATCCCAAAGCAATCACCTCAAATCTCAGCTTCAGTTCAGCTTTTTTTTTTGCAAATTTACAAAGGAAACTCGTAGTAGCAATTTTAAACTCCAAAAAAAACCTGAAATTTCGAATCATCGTTTTCTCGAAGTGCTTTTGGATCTTTTAAAATCATTTTCATTTCTTGTCCCGGTGAGAGAATTGATGGAGAGAGGTTGAGAGCTGGAGATGGAGGATCAAGGGAAATCCCGATCTCTTCTGTTACCTAAATATCATCGTTTATATTTTATTTGAAGAAACTATTAATGATGTAAAGAAAATGTTAGATGTTAGAAGGAAATCTCTATTTTTCTTTACTTCGTGTATTTATTTTTTTTTGGAAGATCGTCTGAGGGTTTTGGGTAAATTGTAAAAAAAGTATAGGACCCAGAATACTTCCTTGGCGTACACCGCTAGAGCAATTAAAGGAATGGCAGAGAGAATCGTTTTGAAGAACTTTGGAAGTTCGCTGAATAAGGAAACTTTCAATAACTGAAATCATCGAGGGGAAGAAAATATTTTCACTTTTAAATATGTTTTCTGTATTTTTATAGCCAAAGGGCTATCGTTTAAAATAGTTTTTTTTAAAAAAAATAAATTTCTGATTTATGTGGGGCACCGTTACCTACTTTTTTTTGGCTGGCCGATTTTGGAGGGTTGAAAAATAGAAGCTCTGGGGCTTCTTTTAGAGTTTGCACGGTATATTAGAACCGTAAAATTTATTGTTTCACGGTTTCCTTCTCAACATTTTTCGAACTTACTTCAGGTAAAACTTTGAACTTGAAATCTTTTGTCAACTCATCATTTTCAGTTGCATTTTCCGTCAACACAAGTTCATTAGTGGGTACGGTTAGAAGATCTGAAAGTTTTCTCTTTTTAACATCACAAATTTGTCATCATAAAGTTGGCTACCTTTTTGTTGGGTACTTTCAAAAAATACCGAAATAAGGAATAATTTTAGAAAAAGCATCATAGAAATTGAGTTTAAGAGAAAAGATTCGAGAATGAGCCTTCAAAAAGGATCTCAAAAAGGATCTTTTCTCAAAAAAAAATTAGGGGAAAGCGGGTGAAATTGGGTCGTTCACAAAAGAAATCTTTTCGATTCTCTCTTTTTTTTCGATTCTCTTTTTTTTCGACTGTATTCCCTTTAGTTAGGGATTAAAGGGAAAATTTACAAATAATTGTATCACAAATTTTTGAAAGCTTTAAAGCTTTTTATTGGGTTGGTGGAAAAGTCCTTTCCGATTTTTTGGGAGAGTACCCTAAATTTGTCGAATTTTGACGTTTTATAGCTCATCCTAAAGCTGAATTCAAGACAGATCGATTGGTACAAAATCGTTTTGAGATATCTCTTTTCTAAAAGTTTTTACAGCTATTTTAGTAAAGGGCGGCAGAGCCAAAAATGGCTGTTTTCACGTTTCGTCAGTTTTCCGTGCAGAAACCTAGGCTAAAAACATGTGTTTCGTGATCAGCGTCAAAAATAACCCCTAGACACAAATTTTCAGAATCTTAGCAAAAAATTTTTGAAAAATATTGTCACCGGTGGAAGTCGAACCAGCGACCCTCAGATCAATAGCCTTTCCGCCGCTTTTCGCGATTTTCCTTCGTTTTTCATTTCCCAATAAAAGCGTGAATCAATTGACGAGCGGAGAAACGAGATTCTTCCATTCTCCATCAACGAACAAATTGTTGAAACAACAAACCAACAAATTGTTGAAAACAAACCAACTTCATAGTCAAAGCTTCAATTTGAAGGTAAAGATCTTATTAAAGTGAACTTAAACTTTGAACTTTTAGAAAAAATGAAAGCTAAACACTTCGATGAGTATCACGAAATTTTGAAAGCTTTAAAGCTTTAAAGAAAGCTCTTTAAAAGCGTGAATCAATTGAGAGTCAATCAATCAATCAATCAATCAATCAAAGCTTTGTCTTTTAGGGTTTTAACTCTGGCTATTCAAACGAATTCTCATAAAATCAAAAGGGAAATTTTCTTCTACATTTTACCTCACAATTTGGATTTTTTTTTTGTGATTTTCAAAGTTCCAGTATTTTCGTACAGCTGATAAACTTTTTTGCCTCAATAAACTCACAAAAACGTTTCCATTTTCAAAATTGAAAACGTTATCAATGGCAAGAACTCGTAGAAAAATGCTTAGGCGATTATTTTTTTTGACGAAAAGCCTTCATTACACATCCCTTCATGCCGTACTGGGAAAAGCCTCTTTGCCTTTTGTCTCCTTTTTCTCTATCTTCTTCTCATATTCTCCTTATCTTTTTCCTTTCATTTTCTCTCTTTACGTTAAATCTCTCGTTTTTCTCTCAGTTTTCTTCATTTTTCACGGACTCTGAATACATGTGGTATTGAACGCAACGCGGCCGAGCGGAGAAACGAGATTCTTCCATTCACATTCTCCATAAACCAACAAATTGTTGAAACAACAAATCAACTTTTACAGTCAAAGCTTCAATTTGAAGGTAAAGATCTTATTAAAGTCAACTTAAACTTTAAACTTTTAGAAAAAAAATGGAACCTAAGCCCTTCGATAAGGACGGCAACCACCCGGGGACTCTAAAGGTATTTCCAAAAGAATAATGACTTTTCCAGGCCTAATACATGCGCAAGACATAGTTTTGACATTGCGACGCCATAAACTTTTACCAGTAAACTTTCAGAGCTCTCGAACGGCACTTGCCGCTACTGGTCGGAAAATTTTGTAAGTTTATGCCTAAAAATTAAACTCCAAATCTATGAAATAGGCTTTATTTTAGCTATCAAGACCTGGAAGAAGGGTTGAAACTTCCGAAAAATAGTTGGGTCCTTCCCGTGGACGTGTTGGATGGAGAGATGGATGGGGACTTGAATCCTCCTCTTAAGACACCCCCGCGTCTCACCATTGGGATTGGGTTTGTGTTTAAGGCTTGAAAATTGATCATATATCTACTTTAAATACAGTAGACTTTAACGGAAACTATAACTGTTCTCGATCAGGATTTTGAAAAGTCTACTTTTCTGAATTCATTATTCAATCAAATATTTTGCAGCTCTCCCCCTCAGCAATTCGATTTTCCAACACCACCACCACCAATTTCGTGCAATGATTGGGAGATGGATGAAAAAACTCTAGGAGAACGAATTCGAGAAAGGAGGTAAGTTTGTCACAAAGATTTTAAGATTTTAAAAAAACAATCGAAAATCAAGCCAAATGTTTAGTTACTCCTCAAATTCGAGCACAACTCTTGGATCCGAAGAAGCTCAACGTCTACTCGATGAAAACATTCGGGATAACAATGATTCAAACTTTGAAGACATCAATCCAGCATCAATCCAGCCCAATGATTGCTTACCCGGGGACAGGCATGAGGGCAGCAACTGCCAACAAAACCAGTTGTACAATGATCCCCGCTTTGAGGACGATTCGGCAAGCGGTGAGTGATCAATGAACGCAATCAAAAGTCAAAATAACAAGTAGATCTATTACTGAATCTCTTTATCTCTATGTTATCGAAGTTTAGATTCATTGCGGTCGTTGTTAGATCCTTGTGAACCGACCGTCGACCGTCCTCTTGGGGCGGTGTACCTGATCCAAAATGGTGCGTTCAGAAGGAAATATTTTATCGTTTTTATTTGATGATGATTATACCATAAGTAGGATTATGACAAATCTAAGTTTTAAATTCAGATTTCGATTCTCTAACGCCGATCGATGATCCCATCCATCGTCCCACCGGCGGCTTTGTGGAAAATGGTGCGTTGTAAACTCTAAAGAAAAATTACAAAAAAAAACGAAATTCCTAGTGCTAAGTCGTTTTGTAATTCCATATGATAAGCAAAAAAAAAGAAACAAAAAACTTGTTCGCTTCAAAATATTGTGAATTCAGTGCTATACGAACTCGTGCCCATCTATCCCCAGAACGAACCCACCGCTCTCCCAGCGGTTCGTTACTGATTGTTTTTAAGAAAAATTTATTTATCATTTCCATCATTCTATTCAAATTTCAACAGGCTTTCTCTTATAAAAAAACTTTCAGAACACTGCGTGCCCGACAAACGACGTGGCCTCCATTGGGCTCGACCATGGAATTTTAGAAGCAGTAAGTTTTTAAGAAAGAGAAAGCTTTCTGTAAATCAATTTTATTTACAAACTTATACAATAAATTTAGATCGATTTGGATAAAAGACTCTACAAGTATCAAGGAGCCTATGGGACTTTCCTTGTCCCAATTATCGACCCGCTGTATGCTTATGAAGCATGCGAGAACGCCTACCAAGAATTGGTAATTGCTAGAGTAAGACTTTTGAAATCATTGTAAATAAAATCATATTGAATTTTCTATTTTATTTATGAATATCATTTTATTGAAGCTATTTAATCAATTAAATCGTTTAGTGCAATGGGCATTTCGTGCAATGGGCAGAAACGCAACCAAATCAAGTGAGTTTTCAGTTCAGAAAACACTAAAGTTTATTGTATGCTGTTATTGTTGCAGCAATAAATCTATTTTAGTTTAAACCCGATCAACGAATAGATGAAGGAATGACTCTAGAAGCTCTAAACCCTTCGACTGAGGTTAAAAGTAAGTTGAAATCAATTAAAGCTGTAAAAATTACTATTATCATTTCAAAATCTATTTTTCATGCAACAATTTAGAAACTGCCGGTCGTCCAGAAAAATATAAGATAAAGAATATTCGTCCGGAAGAAAGCCCGCAACATGCTAGGGAAAGGGAGACTCAAGAAAGGGCACGAGGGAAGAAAAGTGATCGACTTCAAAAGCAAAAGTTCGTTAATGCTTGCTATTAGATTTATCTACATTTAGAACATCCATCAAATAAACATTTAATCGCAATTCGTTTAGCATGGCCGTCACAACGGCCCACAAAACCCTCCAAGCGATCGGCTTAAAGTCAACTTCGAAACTCATGGAGGTACTCAAGGATCATCGCTCGCTACAACCCGGAAATGCAGGAAAAAAGAATGACAAAAGTGAGTTAGAAAATCAAATAAATAAAAATGGATATAAAGTTTAATGGTAATCTACAGTAAATACAGAGATTCTACTAGGATTCTTTCCAGAAAAAAACAAGAAAATGAGACTAAAATCCAAATCAATAGAAATCTATGCTTAATTTTTCACTTTTCAGGATCGACTCGTAAAACAAAATCTAACCATTACAAGGATGCAAATGAAAAATTGGCTGCAAGAAGGCAAAGTGGGCAAGAATCAGCGCAACGATTCAGAGAAAGGGAAAATAAAAGGATTGATCTGTTCAAGTAGGCCAATTTGAAAAGCTAACAATTATCGATTTAAATGTTATCAAACCACCCGAAAACTACAAGTAACTAGTAAAATATTTAGAAAAATCATTGGAATGATTGGAGAGTTGGAGAAAATGGGAAGTACAAATAAAAGAGCGAAAGAAGACAAAAAAGCAATCGACCGTGTGATCAATCTCTTAAGGAGTGTCCCCATGACCGATGGATCGCCGAAGAAACGCAAAAACTAAAATACTAGTAAGCTTTTGAAATCAGAAGTGTGATCGCATTTTGACTAAACTTTTTGAAATAAAAATGAAAATGAATTTGATGAGTGGTGATTGAGAATGGGGCCTAGTTGTTGCAGTCGTCGAGAAGGGACGATTCGAGGGGAGATCGCGTCGAGGATGGAGATTCGAGAATGAGAAGGAAAATCCGAGGGAGTCTTGAAAAATTTGATATAAAGACTTCTCTCAAGAGTCGCCTCGTGTAGACACGATAGCTTCACCACCAGAGATTTTCAAGTGAAATCTCTGGTGGTAAAACTATCGTGTCTACACGAGGCGATTCTTGAGTGGAGTCTTTATATCAAATTTCTTCAAGATCTCCAAAACTCTCTCCGAATTCCCTTCTCATTCTCGGATCTCCATCCTCGACGCGATCTCCTTCTCAATGAATCGTCTCATCGACGGCTTCCTGTCACTTTTCCTATTCCTGGGCCAGAATGTGGAAAAGTCACAGGTACATTTATGCCGTTTTGGCGTCTGTGGCGCTCGAATCACGTCTTTTTTGGTTCAAAGATGGAATGAAGAAATGTGATAAGCAATTGTTTAATGGAAACTAAATGCTTTGTTGGAAGGAAACGTTGGGTCGGGAATAAAGCGGCTTCTACAAGATCCGTTAGGAAAATTCGCTCTCCTAGCGGATCCTGTAGTAGCTGCTTTATTCCCGACCCAACGTTTCCTTCCAACAAAGCATCCAGTTTCCATTAAACAATTCCTTATCACATTTCTTAATTCCATTCTTTCAATCAATTGGTCGTGGTTTGTCAAGAAGCTCGATTGGTTTATTGATTTCAATGGTTGAAGAAATTCCTTTCATCTTGGAGACAAGAATTCAAGTCTAATAGATAGAATTCCTCTGGGAAAGCACAAAAAGAGAATATTTTTCTCAACCAAAAAGTCTATCGAAAGCCATGAGCTTTCGCTGAACTTCAAGGCCGAAGAGAACACGAATCAAATGATCTTTGCTTTGCGTTCTCTTCGGCCTTGAAGTTCAGCGAAAGCTCGTGGCTTTCGATAGACTTTTGGTTGAGGAAAAATATTCTTTTTTGTGCTTTCCCAGAGGGATGCTATCTATTAGACTTGAATTCTTGTCTCCAAGATGTAAGAGAATTCCGTCATTCAGCGATTTCATTTTGATCATTCGATGTTTTCTTGTAAGTTCCCATTCTCATCCACAGCTCATCAAAAGGAAAATATTTTTTGAATTCAATGCAAAAACCAATAAGACAAAGAAAATGCCAGCACACGGACCCCAAAAACTGCACATTTTAGACATCAACTGTCTGATATCTTAATGGTAACTTTATCGCAATGAAACTCTTTGCTTAATGTTTCAGCTGCTTATGCTTATGCTTATGCATGCGTCATTTAAATTTACGATATGATAACAGTGATTTCTTATCTAAATGATTCCCAAATTTGGCCCGGTCTAGGCCCAGACTGATTCATCGCATTCCCCTTTCCCTCCCCAACTCTCGCAGCTTAACTGCAAAATGTTGCTTAACTGCTTAACTTAACTGCTTAACTGCAAAGCTTAACTGCAATAGTGCAATATACATTTTCACATAGATTAAACCTTTTTACTCTATCTGTTATAGAAATTTTACATTCACTTAGTTTAGTCCTTTATTTCTGTCTTTAGTCCTTAGTCCTTTATTTGTCTTTTGTAATCATTTTTGTATTCATTTCTATGTAGCTTTTTCTATCTTCTCTTTGTAACTTTTTTTCTTGTAGTTTGGGTAATAAATGGGTTCAAAAACAATCACAAAAACCGACAAAAACAATGAAACAAAATGAAGTGCCGATTAGACTTTTGATGCCGATTGAATTGCTTTATTTTGTTCAACAAAAACTTTGCGCAAACACATCATTTTTCCTTTGGAGCGATGATTTTGTGTGCTTTTTTTTCTCCGTTTCACTAACTTCGTTACGGGCCTGGGAATTTTTCAGAAAAGTGAAGAGAAAAGAAAAAGAAATTCGTTCGGAAAACGTTCATTTGCAGATTTTCACAAGTGTTTTCCGGCACGTGGCACTGACAGGTTGAATCGTGGTTTGAAGAATCTTCAATTTTCAACTTTGCAGGCATTTTTTGGTGTTGACTCTTTAAATAAGTTTAGAACTTGATCTTGATTCTTGAAATCTTAAATCCCTTTCTTTCCTACCGTAAATACTGTAATAGTACCCCACCCCCATAATGACGGTGCGGAGTGTTGCGTGGTCTAGCTTTGAACGAGTTTTTCTCGACACTGGGTGATGCTACAATGCGCGCTTAGGTATCAAAAAATAGCCCAGGATTTCAGCTATTTTTTGATATCGAAGACGCATTTTTTGAAAGTACGGGTGCTTTGCAAAAAATGAAATACTAAAAAACTTTTGCGACTACGCGACTGTACTAGAGGGGTGAGGTACTATTACAGTATTTACTGTATCTTTTCGCTGGACCTGAACCTCTAAGCCTTTACTTTATAGCTAGTACAAGATGAAACGCACAATCAACTCTACAACTAGATGTTGTAGATGTCAGACGATTGGATTGATAGAGTGAATGGGTCAAGGTCCAGCTAATGAAAGTTCTGGCAAAAGTATAGACTGTTGAGCGTATCCAAGGCCTACAACAATCAAACCAAGAACTAGCTTTTGGTCTGACCTTTACCGGAGGAATTATCTTTACAACTCTGATGGTTAGCCCTGAGTTTCAGCTATTTTTTGATACCAAAGACGCATTTTTTGAAAGTACGGGTGCTTTGAAAAAATGAAATACTAAAAAACCTTTTGCGACTACGCGACTGAACGAGGGGCTGGGGTACTATTACAGTATTTACGGTAAGTTTTTATCAAGAAATTAAGTAATTCGATGATTTTTACAGTCCAAATTTCAATATCTTCATCTTTTTTACAAACAATTTATGAACTTTTCCTAAAAAAAGAGAGCACAACTCATGAAATTTTGATGATCTCGTGATTTTCGATGAATGTTTCGTTATAGGTTTTTGAGAGAAGAGGGGAATTGGTTGATGTCCCAAAAAAGAGATGATGGGGTTGCGTGCCTTTCTTGCATTCAAACAGCTCTAAACGAGTTCACTCCTCCTTTTTCTCCTTTTTCCCCTTTACTGATCCAATTTTGACCACACAAATACAAATTTAGTAAATCAAATCACAAGAAAAAGCCGAGCAAATTGCTATCAAATTTTTGCTGATCATAACAGACTTGAATTTGCCCTAGGCTTGTTGGTAAAATTATTTGATTTTTAACTGAAAGTTGCAATTGCTTGCTTGCTTGCTTGCAATTGATTGTTTGCTTGCTTGCTTGCTTGCAATTACTTGCTTGCTTGGTTACTTGCTTGCTTACTTGCTTGCTTACTTGCTTGCTTGCTTGCTTGCAATTGATTGTTTGCTTGCTTGCAATTGATTGTTTGCTTGCTTGCAATTACTTGCTTGCTTGCTTACTTGCTTGCTTGCTTGCAATTGCAATTACTACCAACTTGATTATTTGTGGAATAATTATCTATCAAATTACCATCAAGTAAGCTATCAGTGTGCCAGAAACGGGGCTGGGATTCAGTTATGATCAATTAGAAAAAAAAATGACATTTCTTAATGATAAAGCACTTTGATAAGTTTTGATTTCTTTATATTTTCTTCATCAAGATTCCCCTTCAAAATCTTGGCCATAGATTCAGTAACAGAATCGGTCGTTAGTCTCTTTTTGTCAATTCCCTCCACCCATCCCCATTTCTTTTTCCTTTTCCCCCATCATGTTTCCACATTTTTCTTTTTGATTTTCAATGGACAACAATAAAGAATTTGTATTCAAAAGCTGTCAATCTTTGCCTTTTTGGCTACAAAACATTTCCCAATTTTAATTGAGAACTAAAAAGTTTTCTCTTTTTCTGTTTTCTTTTTTTCTATAAGTTTTCTGTAATAGCCTTTTTTAGCCTTTTAGTAATAGCCATCAACAATTTTTAATTCTCTGTGAAGAAATTTAAAATTTCTAAGTCTTAGCAAAATCTTCCAAAAAATACGGAAGTGTTCTCTCTTGATAAAATTCTTTTCAAGTAATGTCTATTAAGAACTATTCAAGCAAATGAAAATGAAGAACTCTTCAAATATTTTGTGTGAATGGAGTAGAAAAAAAATGAGGCTTCCTTTTCAGTACTTCATCTTTTTGAGAAGAATGGGTGAATCTTTGATGGGACATTCCTTGTTTCCCCATTTTCTCTGCAACATTCCCTCTTTCTTCCACTTTTCTCACCTCTTCACATCAAAATAAAACGCGATTTTGCATAGACGTTCATTCTTTTTTTTTTCTTTCTTCATTCAATTTCAAACACCGATAAAACACTTTTCCATTCAGACATCATTTTTAAACTCTTAAACTTTTTGAGAACAATTGAGATTCTCGATTCATGCAAAGAGCTTTTAAAAGAGTCTTTTAGGCTTTTAAGAGGCTAAAAGACTTCGTTTAGGCTACTAAAAAGTAGCCTAAACGAATTGTCGTTTATCGGCTGATTTTTAGTACAAGACTCAGCCAGTAATTATGATAGTTTTAGTAGAAAACGTACTTGATTCTGAGCTTGATTCTATTCAACAATCGTGCTTTTAAAAAAAAACACAAATCAAAAGAGGCCCCAAATTCTATCAATTTCCTTTTATGCTTATTTGAAAATTCTATTGTAAAATTGTGTTGAATTTGAATCAGAAATCATTTCTTTTTCTCACTTGTTTGTTTGTTTTTTTGAAGAACGCATGGTGATTGAAAAATGAGGTTTGGCTTGTTCTTGTTTTTTTGTTTCTTTGTCTAATATTTGTTCTTTGAAAGACCGAAACAAAATTCCCATGAGAAAAAAGAGAAAAAAAGAAATGAATGAGGATGAAAGAGGTCTTTTAGGTACTAGGTACACAAATTGTTGCTTTCTTTTCTTCCTGTTTTCTCTTTTAGACACATCACATTGAATACTAATTTGGTTTTTTAAATAATCAAATTTACAAAAAAATATCCAACGATCTGTTTTATGTGACTTTTATATTAGGTTGGCGACATTAAAATTTCGTTTGCGTTTCTCTTTATGGATTTTAACACTGATACTATTTAACACGGATACTATTGCCACCGCAATCTCTTCTGTTTTAAAGATATAATTATTGTGCTTTATTACGTGTCTTTTCTTTATTTCCAGTTGAAGAATTTTAATAAGAAAAATCTTTTAGATGCTAGACGACCTCAAATATCGACTTCGCATTTGTTGCTTTACGATTTCAAACATGAGAAAACATCAACTGAATCACTGTAACGCTGTGGCAAATAACGGAAAGATGTAACGCTGTGGCAAACAATGGAAAGATGTAACGCTGTGGCAAACAACGGTTTGAAGCAGATAATCGAAAGTGATCCGACAAAGACTACACGTGACGTATTTGGGAAAGATGTAACGTATTTGGGAAAGATGTTATCACTGTTCATCAATGTCAAAACTGATTCAAAAGATTTCGAAATGGTGACGGAAGTCTGGAAGTTCTGGAACGAGAACACCGATCACAGGCTGTGGCAAACAACGGTTTGAAGCAGATAATCGAAAGTGATCCGACAAAGACTACACGTGAACTTGCGGAATATTTTAATTGTGATCATAAAACAATCGAAAACCACTTGCATGAATTGGGCAAGCTCAATAAAGCTGGAAAATGGATTCCACATTCACTAAGCGATGCAAGCAAAGCCATCAGAGTTCTTTGTTCAAGAAATTTGCTTCGAATCTCCAAGAATAGTGGATTTTGGGATGCAATTTTAACTTCTGATAAGAAATGGATTCATTATGACAATATTACAAGGATAAGATAATGGCTCGATCCGGGTGAAATTCCAAAGCCGATACCTAAACCCGATTTTCACGGAAAAAAAGTTATGCTATCGGTTTGGTGGAATACCCGAGGCCTGGTTCATTTCGAAGTGTTAATTTCTGGTCAGAGTGTTGATGCAAATCTTTACGTTCAACAACTAGATCGCGTGGACGCGGTTCTTCGCTCAAAAAGGAATCGATCCGACAACGGTGCGATTTTTACAAGACGATGCCCGTTCGCACGTTGCCAAGATTACGCAAGAGAAGATTGAGCAATTGGGCTGGGAACTTCTAGTTCATCCGCCTTATAGTCCAGATATTGCCCCGTCTGACTACCATTTCTTTCGAAGTTTCGGGATTCACTCGAAAGCCACAAGTTCCAGAACATTGACGACATCAAAAAATGGGTCTCTGCTTTCTAACCAGCCCAATTCTTTCAAAAGAGTATCCATAATTTGCGTCAAAGATAGAAAAATGTTATTGATAGCTGTGGAGAATATATTGTTGATTAATTGTTTCTAGTTTATTTTTACGAAAAAATTTTGTTGTTGCTCAAAAACGAAATTTCAATGTCGCCAACCTAATGATACATTTTTTGATCTTTAGCAAGAAAATGAATGATTTCTTTTGCTGGAAAGAGTGTGTTTTTTGCTTGCTGAGCACAAAGTACATTTTATTGGGAGAAGGATTGTAAGAAGAGTGTTTTTAGCTCTTTTAATCACTTCTAAAGTTCCTTTTTCTTTATTTATAGCAGTATTTACGACTCACTGGTTCTTTCGCAGACTTATAAGTCAATTCCGGAGATCATTAATCTTTTTGGGGACAAAATATGAGCCTCAACTCTATTCGGATCCTTTCAATGGGTTGTCCAATAGACTCCTTTACCCAGTAAATTAGAAAAAAAGGTTTTTGAAAAAGTTTATAAATGAAAAATTCTTGAAACTCCAAATTTTTGGCTCATCAACGATCTTCTTGTTCATTTCCGTCATTTCTCTTTACATTTTTTTTTATTTTCACTCCATATTTGTCTTCTTTTTCTTTTTCCACTCATTGACCCATATCGAATTTCAAAAATTTGATGAAAATTTAAGCATTTCCTTTTTAAACAGAAATCTATTTATGAAAAATTGCTTAATTTATCGTATTTTCTCTAATAGTAGTGCACCGTAGTTGATGTCTATTTTACGGTTTCCAATTTTTCCCAGAAACTCAACACTCAAATCCCCCACAAGATCTCATCGTCAGCTACATTTTCCGACCGATAGGTTCTGATAAGCGCTTCTCAAGATTTTGAGCCATTTAGGCAACGCTCTGGGTGCACTACTATTAGAGTGAAGACGGTATATTATTCCAGGTTATGCTAGTAGATCAGAGACTGATCTATTTCCCTAATATTTCCGGGTGAGCCGAGTTGATGTCTATTTTAAGGTTTCCAATTTTTCCCAGAAACTCAACACTCAAATCCCCCACAAGATCTCATCGTCAGCTACATTTTGCGGACCCCACATCGATAGGTTCTGATAAGCGGTTTTTGAGATTGCGAGGAATTTAGGCAACGCTTATGGTGCACTACTATTAGAGAGAATACGGTAATTACTAAATCAACTCACAAGGAATACCGTTGTCTCTCTAATAGTAGTGCACGGCGGCAAGCCGAGTTGATGTCTATTTTACGGTTTCCAATTTTTCCCAGAAACTCAACACTTAAATCCCCCACAAGATCTCATCGTCAGCTACATTTTCCGACCGATAGGTTCTGATAAGCGGTTTTTGAGATTTCGAGTAATTTAGACGACGATCAGGGTACTATTAGAGAAAATACGGTTTCTCGGAAAATAATTCGCAAATCGTTTCTCTGATTTTTCAACTCCTTTCAAGTTTCGATCGTTTCAAGATCCCTTTCAAGACCAGGAACCGAAATTTGAAGCATTCACTAAAGAAAATCTTGAACTTTTCCTTTATTCAGCTTCATGTTCTTGCTAAAGTTAATTGAAAATCCCTCTATTCTTTGCACAGATTAAAGGCCTTTTCTTTCTTCTTTCTTTTTCCTGAAGAATTCGATGGGTGAATGGTCCCTAGAGGTCTCTTTTCTCTTATTCTTCTACTAAAATAGAGAGATATGAATGCACTCACCCATCTCTCTCTCTCTCTCTCTTTCTTTCTTTTTCTATTCTTTTCCCTCTTCATTCACCTTCTTCTTCTAGATCTTTCTACCTATTCACTTCTTTGTTTCAACATTCCCCAAACCAACTAAACATAGCCCAAAAACAGCACCTTTCAAGGGCCATCTTGAATCTAAGATTTGATTTTTAAAAAAAAATATATCTTACTATTAGGTTGGCAAACAAATCTTTACGTTCCTTTTCGTACTTTCGTTTAAAACCAACAAATTGAACCAATTGAACTACGGGTTTTTTTTCAGTAGAAAGGCCAATTATTTTTCTGCAAAATAACATTAAAAGGTGTGTTTAAAATGACTTATGTCTGGATTTTTTTTGGGAGCCTGATCGGTCGTCGGGTAGTCAAAAAGGGTGACGGTTGATCGATGATACGGTTTAGACACTTTACCTAAGGAAACCTATCTTCGTGTCAATAGATAAAAGATAGAGCACAAAAAGTTGGGTATATAGCGAAATTTTTAGAGAAATTTATTCAGCCAATTTTTGTGTAGGGGTTTTTGATAGATTTTTGACGAAAGCCACGTGTTTTCACTCTTGAATTTGCTTGAAAGTGAGCCCAAATTGATTTTAAAAGATGGGAAATTGAACAATAAACACTTTTTATTTAAAGTAAACCATAGGTGAATTGATGAATTTATTATTTTTTAACGGAATTATGAAAAAGAACGAAAAGATTTGTTTACCAACCTAATATTTTTTATTTTTACTTCCTTATCACCTAAGTGCCCTTCCTCATAACCTTTTTTTTGTAATCATTCATTTGCTTGAAAGTGAGCCTAAATTGATTTTAAAAGATCAGAAATCGAACAATAAACCCTTTTTTATTTAAAGTAAACCATAGGTTAATCGGTGAATTTATTATTTTCAAACAGAAGTACGAAAAGGAACGAAAAGACTTCTTTGCCAACCTAATATTTTTTGTTTTTTACTTTCTTATCACCTAAGTGCCCTTCCTCATAACCTTTTTTTAATCATTCATTTTGTAATCATTTCTTAGGCTACAGTACTCTTCAAAAAAAGGCTTGTTCATCTTGTTGGAGCCTGCTCCATTCCATCATTCTCGTCATCATCCAATTTTCTCCAATTCTTTTTCTTTTCCTTTTCTCTTTCTTCATTTCTCTGCAATTTCCCCTCATTTTCCCCTATCAGTCTTTTCTTTTTAAACTGAGCGTGAAAACAAATGATCAATGAGATTAATTTGGGATTCCTCACCCTCATTTTTACCCTTTCCCCATCTCTTCTCAAACAATATGCTTCAATTCTAATCGATTCTTTTATTCTAACAATTGTAAGATTTCACTTTTTCTATATAATTTTAACTTTTCTTACTGTTTTTGAAAAATTTCCTAGATTCTTGATGTCATCAGCAATCGAAACGATCAAAGAAACCGAATTGCGTGAGATTTTTCGAGATTTTGACAAAAATGGAGATGGAAGGTGAGGAAGGATGAATAATGATTAGAAAATGATGAAAGACTTTGAAAAGCACTTTAACGAGAATTTTAGAATAACTTGCGAAGAGTTGGAGATGGCATTGTTGAAATTGGGTGAAATGCCATCAAACACGAAAATCGGACAACTCATTCAACAGGCTGACACGGATGGTGGGGAATTTGAAGCAATTGAAGGAAATAAGAATTTATATTTATATTCCTATACTAAAGATGAAATTACATAGAAGTAAATGGAAAAAGGCAAAATTTCGTTTAAATTAAATTTATTGTGACTTATCGACTTATCGATTTCAAATTTTGGCAAATTTCACGGTCATTCAAATGAATGAAAGATCAAAAATTTGATACATTATCCATATTTTTATTCTAGACTGAATATCTTATTCTAGATTGAATACCGCAATCCAGAGAGCCTAGACTGAATCCCCAAATCTAGACTGAATACCCAAATCTAGACTAAATACCGTAATCTAGCTATTCTAGACTGAATATCTTATTCTAGATTGAATACCGGAATCCAGGCAGTTTTTATTTCTATATTTCTCTAAAAAGAACATAAAAAACATAAAAAAACAGCACAATAACAAGTTTTTTCTAATGTTGCTCATTGAATTTCTCCCATGAGATCCATTAAAGATTTTCAAGAGGAAAATTCCAAATTCCATAGAGATTTTTAAACGATAAATAATCAAGAATCAAAAGAATCAAAAGAATAAAAGTAAAATGTTTAATTTTAAAATTCGAATCTTTTTTAGGCAATGGAGTGATCGATATCGACGAATTTTTGTCGGTTTGGCGTCGACAAATGGCTGAACCGAATGAGCAAAGAGAATTGGCTGATGTGTTTAGTGTAAGGAGAAATAAAAATAGAGAAAAATAAATAGAGATAATTAGAAGCTTATATTGTATAATGGAACCTTATAAATGGTATAGTAAACTAGGATATTCGACTGTGAAAGCACTATATATATCTGTAGTTACTAAAGTTCTTGAACCTAAAAAGTTTAGGCGTTTGATGTGGATGGAGATGGATTGATATCAGAGGATGATCTCAATCAGGTACACAATAATTACTTCAGATATAACAGATCTTTTTTCTATTATAAGCTAATTGTTAGTAGTCTAATAATCGTTTTTTTATTTTCTTTTTAGTTATTTCTTTCGCTTGGCCGACCAATTCAGGGAATCGATCTCGCTCAAATGCTTATTTTAGCTGATCTCGATAATGATGGACAAGTTGATTTTCAAGGTTAGTTCTAGGAAAAATACCTCCAGTACTAGGATTACGATAGCTTTTTAAAGTGCTTCTCTTTTAGAATAGCTCCTTTCCCATAAGAGTCAACGTTTAAAGATTCATGTTTAGAACTAAAAAAACACGGTGCTTTGCGGTTAACGAGCGGCCGAGTTTTTAGCCAACTTGTAGCTCATTTTTAAGCACCTTAAACTTATCAGATTAGGATATTTCAACAAGATTTAGATAGCTTAAAACGTCAAATTTCAAAAACTATTTGTTTCATCAAAAGTTATTGACAAAAATCTATCTAAAATGGACAAAAACTCGCCCCCCTCCCCGTTAACCGTAAATGAGAAAGAAAAACAGACTAAGAATTCTCATTGTCAAGTGAATTGAAAAGAAAAAAGCTCAAAAATCTCTTAATTCCCATTTAAGCATTGATTTTTCTTTTATCCTCAAAAATCATCATTTGTATCGCATCATTTGTACCGCAAACACTTCATTTACTATTGTATTGTAGTTAGGTTATTGTAAAATTTGCATGACGTAAATCGAATCCTTTTTAACACTCCTAAGCAACAAAAAGCCATTACTGTATGCCTAAAGAAATTCTTTTTATTCAAATTTTCAGAATTTTGTACTTATATGAAGCAAAGAAGTTGATTAGCCACAAGAAAAGAGAAATTTTTCGCAAAAAAAAAACCTATCATTTCCCTTACGGTTACTGTACTTTTGTGTGTGTGTGTTTCAATATAAACATTTCATTTTTTATGCATTTTGCTTTTTATGCATTTTGCTAAAATAAAAAAATTTCATATTTACTAGAAATCTGGAGAGAATTTCGTGGAAATAATTTTTTTTTATAAAAGATAGCTTTGGAAAAACACAAAATAAACAATGAAAGAATATGTCGTTTGAGTCAAAAAAAAAAAGAAAGAAAAAGAAAGAAAAAGAAAAAGAAAAAACAAAGAGAAAAGAAGAGAAATTAATCAGAGAAAAAAAAAAAGAGTCAAATTTGACATGAAGTGTCATGCATCAATCAGAATACCCGAATATTGTGACAGGAGTGTTTTTGGGTGAAAAAAACATTGGGAAAAGATTGAGAAAAGATGAATTCGGATGAGGGAAATGAAAATCGAATAATCGGGGAAATCTTTTTTTGCGTTGAGCTGAATTGGAGACTAGAAATTTTTTGGAGAAAAAAAAGAACATTTTGTTTTTTTTTTGGCAGGCTTTGATTGATTGGAGAAAAAGAAAAATGGTCTATCATTTCATTGTATTCATTAAACTCTTGAACTCAATCTTTTTATCCAAAGAAAGGCAGCGAGAAGTTCTTTGTTTTTGAATCATCTTATCGTTTTCACAGAGTTTTCTTTTCTGATAGACCTTTTCTTTTCAAAAGAGCAAGTATAGAGTGAAATAAAGTAAGCAAGAAAACAAAAAAATTAGATCGTTGTTTATTTTTTTGCGATCGGATACGTGTTTTTTGTGGAAAAGTTAAAGGAAAGAAAGAAATTGAATGGAGGTTTTTCATGCATTCATTTACGAATGAGGATTCTGATGAGGACGACCAATTTGAAGGAAAAGACGCTCACCTGAGTTCTTCACGAAAGTCACCGCTGAGAGCTGAAAATTACGAGATATCTTGAGGTTTTTGAGGCAAAAAGTCAAGGTTTTGTATTTTCTGAATGTAAACTTTTTGATGAACAAAAGAAAATCGTTGAAACTGAGTTTCCTAAAAGAAGAAACTTTGTTAAATAGAGATTTCTGATTAGAGATTAAATAGAGATTAAATAGAGGCTAGAGATTAAATAGAGGTTTCTGATTGACTATGACTTGACGGTTCAGCATCTTGTTCTGATTGACTGTTGACTTGACTGTTCAACATTTCTTGTTCAGCAGGCTGAACATGAAATCTTGTCACTATTTTCTAGAAAACATTGGGTTGATTGATTGATTGATATCGATTGATTGATTGATATCGATTGATTGTTTTCAATGAAAAATACTCTACCTGATCAGTGACTGGAAGCGCATTCACGGCCAAGATTCGATCTCCGACTTTCAGCTTTTCGGCAGCTGCACTTCCCGGTTGCAGTGATGTCACAAGGATCCCGCGGCTTCTTTTACCGATTCCCATTCCAAGTTGTTGATCGACTTGCTAGACAAAGATTTATAATATAGGAAAAAGTTAACAGAGTCAACAGCTCTTTCTTACCGTATAACTCACCTTTTTCAATTCGAGAAGCAATGTATCGGATCCCTCTTCGTTCAGCTCTTTCAACAGCTCCACCACTCCCACCGGTGATGTGCCCATTCCCGTTCCTCCCGGCGCCAAACTCAGTCTTCCACTCGTCGATGCCACCGATCCTTTTCGGAGTCGGAATTGTGTTCTAAAATGATGAATTGCTATCAATTGCTGAAATGTTTTCTTTACCACTTGATGTGATGTGCCTGAGCTGGACGGTTCTTCAACCAATGGACTCAGTGTCCCTTCTCGATCCATTCTTTTTCCATCTGTTGGAGTGCCGGCGGCTGTTGAACTTGCCGATTCATCCCTAAATCATCAATATGCTTATAAATATCAAAGTCTACTGTATCTTTGGATATATTTATGTATCTTCCTTTTGTCTCACCTAGGTGTTGTCGAAGTGATGGTCGCTCTAGCTGCTTCAGCTGCTGCATGTACTCTATCAGCAGCTTCTGTTATCTTCCATCGTCCCAATTTGATTGTCACTTTTCCAACGCAAGCCTAGATATGTTTAGATATGTTTTTTTCAAAAATTAATATATTGGGTTGGTGAATTGAAAACTGCCGGCTATTGTAATAGGTGACAGTTTGAGCACTTTCTTCAAAAGAAATCCATTTTGGTGTCAATGGAAAAGTTGTAGAGAATCAAAAATCAAGCTTATATCCAAATTTTCAGAACGATTCAAAAAGTGATTTTCAAGAAATGCCAAATTTACGAATTTCCACAAAACTTGCATTTTAAGCGAAACTACTAAGTGCATCTTTTTGGAAATTTCGCTATAAGCCTAATTTTTGATTCTCTACAACTTTTCTATTGACACGAAAATGGGTTTCTTTTGAAGAAAGTGCTCAAACTGGGACATCTCCAGTCCTCCGTTTTTGAGTCTCACACTTGTCTCACACACAAACCAAAATCCTACCACGAAAGAGGAATCCGCAAATTGCCTGTAAAATGGGCAGAAGTCGTCAATAATAATGGAAATTATTTGGAATGAATTTATGGTTTTTTTTTTGAATAAATTTTAGTTCAAAGTCCCGCAGTTTTCAATTCACCAACCCAATACATATGTTTAATGAATCTTATAAGATCCCTCACTTTTAACATCGCAGCCACTTCCTCTTGCATTAGATTAGCCACATCGGTTCCGTTGACAGCAAGAATCTAAAATGATTTAAATACCGTAATTCAACTTTTAATCTATTTAAATATGATTCTAGATATACAAATTATTATCCAAACCCCAACCTGATCTCCAGTAAACAATCGACGATCAGCATCAGCCGCTCCTCCTTTCACAACTTCACTCACATAAACACCCGGCTCGTTTTTTCGACCAACAATTGACAAACCCAATCCTGGATTTGTTAGATATTTATAATATTTATTTAATACCGTACCTCTTCCCTGTTTTTTCACCAATTCCACTTCGAAAATGTTATAGATTTGAGTGGGATCGAGAAGGGAAATTTGAAGATTCGCGTCTCGATACACTTGAAGGCGCACCTAAAACGAATCGACGAATTGAACACAAATGGAAAGACCCATGATCGAACCAAAATAAATTTCAGGCAAATATTTACACAAACTTTTGCTGGTGTCCGTCGAAGAAGCGAGATTGCGCGTTCATGAGTGACCCCACGCAAAGTGACGCCATTCACCTAGGAAAATTTGGGTTATTTTGATGGCAAAAGAATGCTTTAGATAAATAGAGCGGATTTGTACCTCTAAAACTTGATCTCCCGGTCGAAGACGTCCATCAATTGCAGCGGCTCCATCTGGATACACTTCATGAATGACTACAGTGCCCAAAACTGTGTCCGCGCCGCCAACGATTGAGAGACCAAGACCCTTTCCGTCCTAAACATATAGAAATCTATTCTAAAAGTTTAATCTTAATGCTGATTCAATTCTCTTGAGTTTGGAATTGACCTGTGATACAAAATGCTTTCTATCTCAGTACTATTCATAGAATAATGTGGTAAAAACACCCCCCTAAGCTCTACCTCTAAGCCTTAAATGTAGGGAAGGCCCATATAGATGAGGGAAAACCCATATAGATGAGAAAAAGCCTAATAATCTAACCGCCGGAATTGAACCCTTGATCTCCCGACTAAGATACAGGGCTCTTAGCTAGTCGGCTAAGTACAGTCGACTCTCTCTAGAATGGAACTCTATATAGTGGAAAACTCTAGATAATGGAATGGAATTTTGGTCTCGGTCGACGCTAAGCTATATATAACGACACTCTATATAACGGAAACATTTTTTTGATTCCTTCCATTCCGTTATAGAGAGAGTCGACTGTATCTACTATATATAAACGAACTAAGACGTCTGTCTCTCTGTCTGTCTCTCTGTATGTCTCTCTGTCCGTCTATCTGTCTGTTTGTCTGTTTGTCTGTGCGCTACTCCTTAGCCCTCAGAGGATCGTTTCAAATTATTTATAGTTAGTTTGGCTTAGAATTTCATCTAGTTGTGCAATGTGCTTTAAATTTTGAAAAAGCTAAAAGTACCGACGCGGGCGGGAGTCAAACCCGGGTCATGTGGGCTAGAGACAAGTGCGCTCGCATTGCGCCATCGAGTAGCCGAGTGGTTAACGCGTGCGTCTTTCAAACGAACGGAAGAGAGAGGTCGCGGGTTCGCTTCCTCCCACCGCCAATTCTTTTGCTTTTTTGCTGCGGAGTATCAGCAAAGTTTCTGGTTTTTAGTATAAAATAGAAAAGGGTAAAGTAAAAAGAGTCTGTGTAGTGTTAGTACTATAAATGGGTATTCTTTCAAGTTATTCAATCTATGAGAAGATCATCTTTTAAAGCAAAATGTTAATAGGCTAATTGCAAGTTTTACGACTACTTGAAGTCGATATTGGTTTAAATGAATAGCTCTAAGAAGAATCATAATAATCTATGAAAAGTTAAAGCACTCGAATTACTACCTTATCAATTGACTTGACTTGACTTACCTTATCAATTTCGATGAGTGTTTCCTTTCCGGTCTCAATTTGTATCGTTCTCTCAATCGCGATCGACTTTTTGCGAGCATCGCTTACTAAATGTTGGAATCTCGTGATCATCATCGAAATGAATTTCTTTTCCAAATTTTCACATTATACCCTTACTTTTTTCTTCTGCATTTTTTGATGGTTTTGCGAAATTTTGATTAACCCATTCACAATTCTTTGTCTTTTTTTTTAGGCAGATCTTCATTGGTCTTGTCTTGATCAATTTTGACGGCCTAGAAATGAGAAAAAGTGATGAGAACAATTCTCTTAGATAGATTTCATTGGGAAAAAAAGATTCAGACATTATTTTGGAGCAATTCCACGAATTGCTTACGGATTCACTTTGATGTCACAAATAAGTTGATTGAAAGGAAAATGAAAAAAGCTGACAGAAATTTGACGGCACGAAATTTCATTTTCATTTCATTTTTGATTAGGCTACGAAAAACGGTTTCCTTTTTTGAACGAATAAGAGAATTGGGAAGTTTTTAACAGATGACATTTTTGATATTTAAGAGACAAGATTCCCTGGTTCGATTTTGATTAAAATACTGGAAAATCCGATTCCAATTCGATCTTGATTACAATATTCTTCCAAAGTTACTCGAAATGAAAAGTATTCAGCTAAGATAGCCTTTTCTTCACCGCCAGAACAAGCTATCTAGGGCCATCGCTTAAGGGTAGGGTTTAGAGAGCCGTTTGTCAAAGGAAGGCGTGGGGTTAAGTGAAGATATAGCCAAGTATTGCGTGTATGATTGTGATTGATGTCTTTCGTGTATCCAATAAATCCACCACTGGTATGAATTATTGAATATATATGCATACCGTCAATACTGTAATAGTACTCCACCCCATAATGACGGTGCGGAGTGTTTAGTAGTCTAGCTTTGAACGAGTTTTTCTCAACACTGGTTTATGCTACAATGCGCGCTTAGGTATCAAAAAAAATAGCTGAAATTCAGGGCTATTTTTTGATATCAAAGACACATTTTTTGAAAGTACGGGCGCTTTGAAAAAAACGAAATACTAGAAAACTTTTGCGACTACGCGACTGTGACGCGACGATTGATACCTAGTGACTGATATTTCTTAAATATGAAAAAACAAGAGAATGGCAATAGAAATATTTACCGTAAATACTGTAATAGTACCCCAGCCCCCTCGTACAGTCGCGTAGTCGCAAAAGTTTTTTAGTATTTCATTTTTTTTCAAAGCGCCCGTACTTTCAAAAAAAGCGTCTTTGGTATCAAAAAAATAGCTGAAATTCAGGGCTATTTTTTGATACCTAAGCGCACATTGTAGCATAAACCAGTGTCGAAAAAAACTCGTTCAAAGCTAGACTACGCAACACTCCACACCGTCATTATGGGGGTGGGGTACTATTACAGTATTTATGGTATCTGACAAAGTCGACTCAAGCTTCAAGTGTTATTCTTTCCGCTTCAACTACTCATTTCGCATTGCATTCAGAAATTCGAATACTAATTTTCTTTTAAAAGTCATTAGTCATTAGTCATTCTATCTTTAGCCCGCTTTTCCCAACCGACAAAACTATTCTCAAAAAGGGTAACTTCAGAAGAATAGCTGAATCTCGCAAAAAAAAAAGGTGCGAAAAAAGCGAGTGATGAAGCAGAAAAATTCGATTCGTTTTCCTTTTCTACTTTTCTTTTTCCCTTTCTTATTCTTGTGGAAAATAAGGTAAAGCTTTTTCTTTTTAGCCTACTTTTTTCTTTTCTTCGCTTCTTCATCGCTAGAACGTTTGAGAGTGAAGAGAAAATCTTGAAAGAATTTAAAGAAAAATTGGGAAAGAAATCGAGAAATGATAAATGAATATGAAAATCTCGAGATTTCATCCTTTCTCCATTCTTTTTTTTCTCTTTAAATTAATGGGAACGCCCCATTAATTGCCCAGTGGAAGATTAATGATATCCCTTGAGAACGAAGAATCGAGAAATTTTAGAAAATCTATAGTTTAAAAAAAAAATGCTATTCACGGTAACAAAATGGAGTCAAAATTCAGAAAATTTCTCAATTTTTGCTTTAAAAATAAAAATAATTGGGGATCTTATTGGAAAAAAAAAAAAAAAAAAGAAAAAGAAAAAAGGAAAAATGTCCCAAGGGAAAAATGTGGAGAAGGGTTATAATTTTGAGTAAATTACAGGCTGAAAACAGAATTTTGAAGAAAACAAAGTAAAAGAGAACTTAAAAAAAAGAAGAGAAACATCTAATTTACTTGGAAAATGGAAAAGGAAAGGTTTTGAAAAAAAAAAAGAAATCTTTTGAGAATTCCGTAAAGTTTCCTATTTGATAAGATCTCTTCTAATTGTTGACTACAAAACTTTGAGCTTTTGACAGTCATGGTAACGTTTATTTTTTTTCTTTTTCTTCGGTAAACTCTCAAGAAAAGCTACAAAAATGAAATAAACCTTGAGGTGCAAGAGAAGTCGACTCGGTGGGCGGCTTCATCTGAAAATTGAGAAAAAAAATGAGAAAATCTTCGAGGGAACATTCGAAAATAGGGGGGTGGGACAAATGCGACCTTTTTTTTGCGCACCTGGACATTTGCGTACCTTTTTTTTGCTGGAAAAGGCCTTAGGAAAAGTCGTAGAGCTTCAAAAACGTTTTCATAGAAGGGAATCGTATGCGTAGATTCCGAATTTCGACAAATCAGACCTCGCTGACACGTCAAATTTGGGCTAAAGGGCAAAAACTACGCAACTTAACGCTTTTCCGCAGTTTTTGCCTTTTAGCCCAAACTTGACGTGTCAGCGAGGTCTGATTTGTCGAAATTCGGAATCTACGCATACGATTCCCTTGTATGGAAATATTTTCGAAGCTCTACGACCTTTCCTAAGGCCTTTTCCAGCAAAAAAAAAGGTACGCAAATGTCCAGGTGCGCAAAAAAAAGGTCGCATTTGTCCCACCCCCGAAAATAGAAAAATTCTTTCATTTATTCACACTCTGCGAAAGTTCAGGCTATACTTTGTGCTCTTTTAAACAAGCACTTTCATTGGTACATTCATTTTCTGTAGGTGCTTCCCCGTAAAATGTAAAGACTTTAGTGTACCAGAGATTTACAGAAAGTATCGCTTTTCAACAATCATTTTTTTTATTCTTTTTTTGCTTTTTGCTCTTTCTTTCATTTCTCGAAATATTCTGTGATTATTTTTTCACATTTCTCCAATCTTTCCAAAATAGACATTCAGCCAGAAGGGACTAATCTTATAGAAGAAAAAGAGAGAAAAAAAAGGAGGTGACAAATGAAAACGAAATGATTGTAACAATCAAGAGGATTGTAGAAGATGGAGAAGAAGTGGAAAAGTGAAGTGAAAATAAATAAAAATCCTAATCCGATGAGTAGAGGATCATTCCAATGTGTGGGTCTATGAATTGACATAGAAAAGAAGGAGGAAAGGAAAGTGGATACTCAGAGAAAAAAGGGGGAGATGCCCTGGGTCTAAAGGAATTTCTTTTCCCTCTCCATTTCTAGAAAAGGTGCCCGATGTGGAAGAGAGGGATTTCATAGGAGAGAATTGATCAAATTGGGGAAAAGATTCGAGAGTAGGAAAGACGAAAGTAACTAGATATGGAGAAGGGGGAAAGAATCAGATGAAAAAGTGTCTAGATATGGAGTAGAGTGAAGTAGAGAGTCGAAGGTAGATGGAAAGAAGAAAGAGGCCGTAATCTGCCTAGCTCTTTCTTCTTTGGGCTCATTCAGAATCGATGCCTCTCATCATTTGACGAAGAGAGACGCGGGGCTCAATCTCCCTTTGCACTCTCTTTCCATCCGCTTCTCAATTGGAGAAAGATTTCGAGAAATTGAGAGAATCTCGAGGCTAAACAAGAAAGAGAAACCAAGTAATTACACAAATTTATAAAAAAAGAGAGATGCATACTTTTAGGAGAAGGAAAAATTAAAGAAAGAAAAAGAATTGAGTGATGCCGTCAGAAATCAATTATTCGAGACCTATAGATGAAAGGGTTTTCTTCAGAAGAAAAGAAAAGAAAAGAAAAGAAAGATGGATGGGAATTTGTGAAGAGTAGACCAAAACTTGTTGAGTGGAGGAGGAGGGCCAAGCACAAAGGATGGCTTTTGGGAAGAGGAAAATGAAGAAAAGGGATTGGCGGCAGTTTTGTTGAGGGGAAATTCCAAGAGATGAGGTCATCGAGGAAAAACAAAACAAAATAAATGAAGCGATTTCGAGGCGAAAGATTGGAGAAGCTTTTTTTCGAGAAATTCTGCTTACAACTAGCGCCTATCTGGACTCGCTAATGGTATTTTGTATTGAAAATCTATTCACCCTATCCGCGTGTCTGGGTGATGTGGATCCTCGTCTATTCGCATCTCCTTTTCTTCCTTCATCCTCAAATCTCACTGTCATTTCCTTTTCTTTCTCGACTTTTCCCTCTTCTTTCGGTGATTCGGCTTTTCCATTCAGTGTTGAGGGGATTTCATTTGAAGTTTCTCCGTCAATCTTCTGAAAAATCTTCATCTTTATCTGCATAAATCTTCAAAATTTTACTGATAACTCTTTCAAGTACATTAAGTTTTCTGTTTTTATGGAATACTTTTGGATTTCAGTGTTCTATTTCAACTGTATAGTGAGCTGAAAGTAAGCTAACTATGGTGAAATAAACGTAACACAAACTTTATACCAAAACTTTCATTTTACTAAACTATTTGGCTGTTGCCTATGCAAAAAACTATACAAAAAACTATACAAAACTATACAAAAATATTGAAGAAGTGTGCAAAAAAAAATAGGCAAATTTAGGGCTAGAATTTGCTTCAAAAAAAATTGGGCATAGTGACCTCTAGAAAGCGGGAAAGCTCAGTCGTCTGGTCAACTGGTTAACTGGTCAATCACCGAATCCAAAAGGGAAGCCCTTATACCAGGGCCCTATGCCAGATGGCGAGCGATTACCCATCACCACAAAGAACACCAGTTGACTCAGAGAACAGTGAGACTGAGAGAATCTTATGTTAGAGTTTTTTTTCTTGATTTTCTTTTGTAATATCAAATTCTATTTAATACCATTTAAAAGTCAGAAATGTTTTTTTTTAAACTTTATAGAAAAATCAACGAAATATTATCTCTAAATAAAGTTAGGAATCACGAAATCTCTCGTTCAGACTCATTCAAAAGGCCGGATCACGGACAAGAGCCCAATATTCCACCTCAATTACCTCATTTTGATATCTTCTCAACACAATGAGTTCAATATAATCGTTCTCGGTTGCCTCTCGAATATATCCCGAAGCTGACGTTGGCGATAGACCGATCAACACTTTGCCATTTACCTTAAAAAAAACTTGTTTTTTTAGCGAGAATGTTGAATAGATATTGTCGCGAGTCGAGTTTAATTTTAATAGCTTTCAGAACTTTCAGAACTTCTAAGCTTTCAGAACAGAACCAAGCTTCTTTTGACTGAATACATTTTATAAAATAAGCTAACTGGCAAAACAAAAAGGTTTCTAGATTTCTGGCAAAAACAAACAGATTTCTAGATTTCTAAAAATCTAGAGAAAACTCTCTCACAAAAAGCTGAAGAAGAGGGAGACAGAAAAGTACAAAAAAATGGATTTAGATTGCTAAAAAAGCAGGCCATACTACGGTAGCTTATTTACATTTTAGCTTTTAGCTTACAGTAAACTGGATAGCTTTTTCGTGATATAAACAGCTAAACACAAACCTCAAGTAGTTCATCAGCTGCTCGAATGGGAAGTGGGCAAGCTGGATGAGCCGAGATCACGAGAACCCCGTGTGGAAGGGTGTCTGTACTGTCAGCAAGACACAAACCTCAAATTGTTCTCTCTTTTTTCTTTGAGCAATAAAAATCTTTCTGCCATGATTTGGCTTTAAAGCTTTAAAACTAACCCAATCCAGCCTCGGGAATGCCTCTTAATTGGAAGAAAAGAGCCTCACCGGGTAGACTCGCGTACTTTAAGTCGATTTTGCCTAAAATATTAGGGTACAATCATTTAAACTATTGAAATACTTGTTTAAAATCTAAACAATCTACTAATCTACGTCAAAATTTTGTCTAAAACTTATGATTTTACAGAGAAAAATTGTCCTTAATTGCAATTTTCACTTTGAAGATCAATTATTCGTGAAAATCAATGTTCTTTTTTTGCTTTTTAAGTTTAACTAATGATCTTTCAAGTACTAAAAACTTCCGCTAGGATTTCCCAATGATTTCCCAAACCTTGAGTATATCCATACGTTGACAATGGTTCATTGTCTTTTGTTGATCGTTTCAATGCAGCTGCACTCTCATCATCGATTCCCTCAACTGTCACATCTTCTTTCTCAAACGATCCCGGCACAAAGAAGATTTTGTCCTAAATTTTTTCTTTCTTCTTTTCTTCTTTCTCTTGGCAAGTTAAGGTACCAAATAGCTCAGTGATTAGAGCAATTGTCTAGGTCTAGGTCTAGGTCTAGGTCTAGGTCGGTCTAGGTCAGGTGGCTAGGTCAGATCAGACTAGGTAGGTCTAGGTCTAGGTCTAGGTCTAGGTCTAGGTCTAGGTCTAGGTCTAGGGTTCAATTCCCTCTCTAAATCTACTTTCTCTTTCCAATTCTTTCGATTCTTTATTACTAAATATGTCAATTTGGTCAAATTAAAAGTGAAATGAAGTTTATAAACCTGCACTGATGTAGACGGAGTGATTGGATTGACATCAACTTGAATACTTCTTAATGAAGCTGAATGAGCCGAGTGAATCGAATGATCCGAGACATGCGATTGGAGGGATTTTTTAGACTAAATTTAAGAAAATCCAAAAAAAGATTGAGGACTCTTCGAACCTCGATTGTGGCTTGTCGCTGAACAATTTCTTTCTCGATAGATTGTGATTGGGAAACGGATGGAGTTGATTCCGACTCGAATGGCTCTCTTTTCGGTGATGACGGAGATGTGGCCTCGATCTTTGCCGTTGTCGTTTTTGTCGACGCCTTTCTCTTCAATTACCGAGATGTCGTGTTGCTGAAAATGAAAAATCTATTCAGCATCAATAGTAGCATCAATTATTTCGATGCCACTACTAACCAACAAAACAATTGCTTTTGAAAAGTTAAAAATCGTCTTTTTTACAAATTCAAGTACACGAATTATTTCTCCCGCTTACAGTCGAAATTGTCTCAATTTGTGCTTCATGCGTCCTTTGGATATTCTCAATTCGAATTGATCCAATTGTTGATGATGAAGTTGAAGAGATCATTTGCTAAACTCTTTTTTTAGAATGATTTTTGGTTTAAAATGGCTTTAAATTAGTTTAAATGGCTTCAAAAGGCTTCAAAAGGCTTCAAATAGTTTTAAGGCTTCAAATGGCTTCAAATGGTTTCAAATGGTTTCAAAAGGCTTCAAAAGGCTTCAAATGGTTTCAAAAGGCTTCAAAAGGGTTCAAATGGTTTTAAATGGTTTCAAATGGCTTCAAAAGGCTTCAAATGGTTTCAAAAGGCTTCAAAAGGCTTTAAATGGCTTCAAAAGGCTTTAAATGGCTTCAAAAGGCTTTAAATGGCTTCAAAAGGCTTTAAATCGCTTCAAAAGGCTTCAAATTTGCACCTAATCTCAACTATGAAAGTGGAAAAGATTTTCAAAGAAAGCCAAATAAAAACAAGTGCAAAAGAAGATCGAATTTGCGAAATAAGTTCTCAAATGTGTACAATCTTTCAAAGATATTTAGGCATTATAATTTACCTGATGTGGCGCAAAAGAATGAAGAGATTGAAGCACGAATTTCACCGGATTTTCGGCGGATTTTATCGCGGCAACAGCTTCTTCATGCGACGCCTCACGCAAATCGACCAAGTTCACCTAAAAGGATTTTAATTTTAAAAATTTCAAAGATATTTTTAAAAAAACTTGTTCATAGCACTTTACAAATCAGATCAATCTTTATGAATTTAAAGCTTTTAAACGAATGAAAACTCCTCACGGAAAGCACTCGATCACCCATATTGATTTGGCCACTCACTCCAGCGGGACTATTCGGCAGTACACTTTTAATGAAAATCCCGGATACCGTATTCCCAGTGCCTAGAAATTATTCTCATTTCACCGCATTTTTGCGTAAAGTTCCAACACGTGTATTGGAACCGTATTGAAGATCAAAATGATCAAAATGATCAAATGATCATTAGATCAAAATGGGAACCGTATTGGAGCCGCATTAGATCAAAATGGGAACCGTATTGGAACCGTATTGATCAAAATAGGAACCGTATTGGAACCGTATTGGATCAAAATAGGAACCGTGTTGGAACCTGTTGCATTTCCAAATTGTGGCAACTTTTTTTTTGCGCTTTTTAACCAACCTGGGAGTCCGCCCTTTTGTGAGACTTCGACCCGTCCGCCAACGATGCTGATACCTAAATAATGTTTAGATTCAATTAAATGAGATCATTTTTAGCTCATTTACTAAAGAAATAGTGAATTTCGAATAGTCTTCTTTGAAATAAGCACTCACCAAAAGATTTATCGGGTTCTCGATTTAAAGTCACCGTTCTCGCCTCTCCCCAAAGCTTTGATCTCATCAAGGCAACTCGAGCCTGGAATTGAAGAATATCTTTCCAATTTTCAATTTTAACTTTAAAAATAAAGATGCTGCGATGATTCTAATAGAAAAAGTCGGCTTTTCTATTTTCAATTTTTCCTCTGAAATTCTTTTTTGTATCCAAATTTTCAAGAGCTTAAGAATGGATGTTTTGTTGGATCTTGTTTTCTATTCTAGCTTTTTTTAAAGTCTATAACTATTTAAAGCCTTTAAAAGTCTTGAAAAAGTTGAGCAATTTCTATTCGGAGAGTTGATAAATCCGAAAAAATGAAAAACTTTGTCTAAAGAGAATTGGAGAAGGCTGCTGATCTTCAATTAGAATAAATGCATTAGATTAGACAAAAATAGAGATAAAATTATGTTAGTAAGAGAGAAAGGGACACGTTTTAGAGCATCCGAGAATCTTTATTTTCCCAGGTTTGCCTCAAAACGATACTCAGCGATGATGATCATGGTGAACGAGCCGTTCACCATCATGATCATCGCTGAGTATTGCTGAAAGCTTTGATCTGTCTCACCTGTGTCTCACTACCGGCACTCGGTGTCCTCGCTTCTAATGGTACTCTTTGTATGATCGGCGATGTCTCATAGTGCTGTTGTGGTATTTCTCTTCTCATCATTTCTTCATCTTTCTTCGATTTTGCTTCTTTTGATTCACTCTGTGTCTCAGCATCGGCCTCTTCACCCGATGTTGTCGGTGATATCTTAAACAAAAAAGGGTAAGCTTTGGGTTTTGTACTATTTTCTGCTTTCTGGTAAACACACACACCTTCTAGTACAATCAATTCAAATAGAAATTACTCGAAGATGTGTGATTTGAAAAAAAAAAATACACCATTTTTTCACTGACCCGCTTTTGAACGAGTTGCGCTTCTTTTTGTCGATTTTCCTCTTCAACTTCTCTCTGAAATTCAAGCTAAATTTGAATATTTCTCTCTTTTTTTACGATAGTATCGTTCCAAGCAGCTTCGAGTACAGAATCGACAACTCTTTGAACGATTTCAGATGATGGACTTTCCAAGAATGAGATCTCAACGGGACTTCCAGAAACGAGATCTCTCTTTTTCTCCTCAGGACTCTCAATGGGACTAAAAAAATGGTATTTTGGATGAATTGCAATTGCAATTTTTAAAATGCAGTTTAAAATTGCATGCAGTGCAGTTTAAACATTCGGTTTAAACATTGCAGTTTAAAAACTACATGCAATTTAAAATTGCATTTTAAACTACATTTTATGCAGAATTGAAAGTTTAAAAATGATCTCGTTAGGCTGGATAATGTGACTTATCTCTATTTCTCAAAAAGTACCTTGCTTTAAATGATGGTGGCTCGGAATCTCTTCTGAAAAGACTTTCCCGTTCAACTCTTTTTATTGTTTCGGGTGTTTGTTGTGGATGCAGTGGAACACTAAAATCAATACATTGAGTAGAAAATTGAAAATTTAAGAGAAACCCTATTAACAAAATGCTAATTCTACTCGAAAATACCTGCTAGCTGTACTCCAATCTGGTGTCTTTGAGAGGATATCCAATTGAAGAGATGCTTCTCGCAATGCCGACTAAAAACGATTTGTTTGCATTGATGAAAGTTTTATAAAAATATAGTGTTGACGAGGAGAAAATGAGTGGTTTTTTTTTTCATTTCCCGAGAGAGCTCTTTTTGCGTGAAAGAGTGAAATGCCTAATGGATTGATGAAAAGAAAAAAAAGATCCTTGCCATCGCATTCCTTCATTCCCTTCATTCCCTCCATTCCCTTCATTCCCTTCATTCCCTCCATTCCCTCCATTCCCTTCATTGCCCCCCTTTTTCTCCCATTATGCACACTAATCAACGAATCGTGGGTCTTTTTTTTTTGGAAAACTTTTAAGGTTAAGTGAGCTGATATCTGTAGTAAAATTTAAAGGATTTAGTTTGAAAAAGCACGTTTGCTTTTCAAGGTATCTATTTTTCAAATAGTGAAGAAAAGGAGAGCAACAGGGAAGTTTCTATTCTACGAAGGAGGAAATGGGGGTGATGAAAGAAAATTATGGATAAAAACAAACGTAAATAGGTTTAAAGATTATCTGATTAGTTCTTTATGTATCTTATTTTGACTGTTTGGGAAATTCAATTGAATTGAATCGAATTGAATCGAATCGAATTGAATCGAATGGAATCGAATTGAATTGAATTGAATGGCTTTGCTATGACTTTGCTATGGCTTTGCTAGGGCTTTACAGTAGCTGTAGCAATAATTCATTTGATAAAAAATCTAATTTAGCTTTAAATTGCCTAGCTGAAACAGGTTGAATCCTTTTACTACTCATAGTTCGTGATTTGATTGCTGAAGATTCAGATTAAATGACCAAAAAATTAGGGTACCCGTTTGTTTAATCTCAAATCAAAAAAAAGTCTGGGTTTTCAAGTAGATATTGATGCAAAGATTAAATAAAAAGAATAAGAAGAAGTGAAAGAAAAAGAAAGAGAAGAAACAAGTGCGGATGAAAGGATCAGAAAATGGAGGTGGAGGGGGAGAGCCTCGCTGCCCATTTCCCAGCTTAGCGCCCAACTAGGCCGAATCCATCTAGGCAAGAAAAAAAAGACCCCAAAATGTGTGAGAGAAGAGATTCTCTTTTTTCTTTTCCTTTTCTTTTCTCTTCTCTAAAGCTTTTCTCTTGATTTCTCTTGATTTCCCCTTTCTTTTCAACTCTTCTAACTTGTGTAGAGTGTATTCTCTATTCAGTGGATCGTCGAAGCGAATAGATTGCCTTCTGGAATCACTTCTTCTGCTCCGATAGTTGATTGCCTTCATTTTCTTGCTTATAAGTGCTTATTTCAAGAAATCCCAAATGCAAAGAGGGTATTGAATTTGTTAGATTTGATAGCCTAACCCAAAAGATATTCAATTTTTTATATAACACTTTCAAATCCAGTTTTCTGTGTGGGAAAAAAACCCATTACCGTAAATACTATAATAGTACCCCACCGCCATAATGACGGTGCGGAGTGTTGCGTAGTCTAGCTTTGAACGAGTTTTTCTCGACACTGGTTTATGCTACAATGCGCGCTTAGGTATTAAAAAAATAGCTGAAATTCAGGACTATTTTTCGATATCAACAGACGGAGCATCGCGTAGCCTAGCTTTGAACGAGTTTTTCTCGACACTGGTTTATGCTACAATGTGCGCTTAGGTATCAAAAAATAGCCCTGAATTTCAGCTATTTTTTGATACCAAAGACGCATTTTTTGAAAGTACGGGTGCTTTGAAAAAAAATGAAACACTAAAAAACTTTTGCGACTACGCGACTGTACAAGGGGGGTGGGGTCCAATTACAGTATTTACGGTACCCTCTTTTATCTTTCCTTACCTCAATAATCTCTCCAAGTAATTCTTCAAGAATCTCTTCCAACAGTTTTGTCAATCTCAGAATATCGTTATCTAAATTTCTTACATATAAATGCTAGAGTTTAAATCAAAAAAAACCATTAGCAATAGAGTCGATTTCAGATGTTTCTGTAATCGAAACAGCCGTCGAAACATCGGGTTGACTTTCCATTGACGCTTTCCTCTCCATTAAAGTCGTTCGATAGAATTTCGGGAATACTCTAAAGTTTTATAAATTTATGAAAATATAGAACAAAATGAAACACAAAAAAAAACACAAAAAAAACACAAAAAACGAGTCTGACCTAGGCGATAAACGATTCATTTCGGGTGTCTGTGGTTCGACTTCTTTTCCGAAACGCTCTTTCCAGATTTTCGCATCGGCGCCCGTGATGTAAACGATGCTAAACAAAAGCATTGAATACAGAAATTGAATATGATTTTTTGAAATATATAAATATTGAACCTGCAAGTTGTCCCAACGAGATTCGTCCTCTTTAGGATTTGCCTTGCCTGCGCACTCGTCGTGTTTCGCAAAGTCTCATGGTTGATCTTCACGATATAATCGCCAACCTAATCGATTGAAGTCAAGAATTTTATTATTTGAAATATTGAAAATCAATATTTTAAAGGTAGCTTTAAAAATGAAACCATTTTAAAGTTAATAGCTATTTGAAAAGCCAATTTCAAGTCATCGATTGGAATTTAAGATTTTCAAGATCTATTGGGTTGGTGAATTGAAAACTGCCGGCTATTGTCATAGGTGCCAGTTTTTTTTGAGCACTTTCTTCAAAAGAAACCCATTTTGGTGTCAATGGAAAAGTTGTAGAGAATCAAAAATCAAGCTTATATCCAAATTTTCAGAACGATTCAAAAACTGGTTTTCAAGAAATGCCAAATTTACGAACTTTCACAAAACTTGCATTTTAAGCGAAACTACTAAGTGTATCTTTTTGGAAATTTGGCTATAAGCCTAATTTTTGATTCTCTACAACTTCTCCATTGATACCAAAATGGGTTTCTTTTGAAGAAAGTACTCAAACTGGGACATCTCTAGTCCTCCATTTTTGAGTCTCACA